ATTTGTCACTTTCATAGATGATTGTATAAGATGTATGTGGACATTCCTTCTAAAATAAAAGTTTGATGTATGTGATATTTTAAAATTCATTTGTATCATGATAAAAAATCAGTTTGGTACAAATAGTAAAAAATTCAAATCCAACAATACTAAAGAAATTTTGTTTAAAGTTTGAACTCATTCTTCAAAACATAGTGAATTATACATGAATCTTCTTTTGCACGTACTCCACAATGAAATGATCTAATTGAAAAGAAAAATTGACATATTTTAGAGGTAAATAGATCCATCATCTGCTAAATATTTTTTGAAGAGAGAGTGTATTAATAGCTACATAACTTATCAATTGCATGCCTTCTTGAATCTTAGGCTTCCATAATCCTATAGATTCATTAGCCCATTTTTTTCCACACCACCAAATTAACATTATAATAAAATTGAGAATATTTTGGTGTATCTCTTTTTTTCATAATCATAATTAAAATAGAGGAAAACTCAAATCAAGATCACTTAAATATTTTTTCTTGGTTATATTATTAATCAAAAAGATTACAAATGTTACCATCCACTTCTAGATTTTTTTGACTTCTATGGATGTTACATTCTATGAATCAATATCTTACTTTCATAATTCATCATCAAATGAACAATATCTATTATCTATATCATGTTGTTTCATATGAATCTTCTTCAACTCCATCTTCCACAAGTCAACTAATTATTCCTATCCTAAATTATCTTATTCTATCTTAGATCTATTTTCTAACAATCTTCGATTTGGCAAAGTCAACTGTAGGAGAGGTGAAATTCATAATTCATAAGAAAATCAAGATTCTGATGTGGCCTTAGAAAATGTTCAGATATCTACCTCTTCATCACTAGATGATTAGCCAAACATACATTGTGATTCACTTCCATTTGTTTTTCAAAAACCCATCAAAGAGTGTATTAAAACTCCTTTAAACTTGACAGCCAATTTAATATTTTACTACATGTTTTCTTCACCTAATAAGTCATTCTTTGTCTCCTTAGATATCACTGCTATTCCAAAAAATATCTTTGAAGCTATATATGATTTGAAGGGAAGCAAGCCATGGATGATGAAATGGGTGCTATTGAGAAAAATCAAACTTAGGATTTAGTAGAATGATTATAAAGCCTGGCTAGTGGCTAAGGTTATACATAATATATGGCATTGATTATTAAGAATCTTTTTCACCGATAGAAAAAATGAATATTATATATTTTTATTATTTTTAGTTGTAATTTTGAATTAAAATATTCAACAATATGACGTTAAAAATGACTTCTTACATACGGATATCGTGGAAGAAGTGTATATGACTCTACCATCAAGCTATGAGGGTCAATTATCCTCTAATATTACTTTCAAATTAAAGAAGTTTTCTATAGACTAAAATAGTCACCAAATGCCTAGTTTGGATGATTTACAATCACCATGAAGAAATTGAAATATAGTCAAAGTAATCTTGACCATATGGTATTCTTTAAACACTCTTCTTCAAAGAGAATCATGGTGCTATTGGTTTATGTTCATATTATCATCACATGAAATGATGAAGTATAAGCATATAACTTAAACACATGTTTGGTTTTAGAATTTGACATTCCGACACAAGGGCAATTAAGATAATTTTTAGGAATCAAAGTGGCTCAGTCTTTAAAATTATTTTCATTTCTGAAAGAAGGTACATGACAAATTTATTGATTGAAATAGGAAAATCTGCATGTAAATCAGCTACTACACCAATTGATCCAAATCATAAATTGTATGGCAAAGGGAGAAGTTTAAGTTGACTATGAGATGTATCAACGATTTATTAGTTGCCTGCTCTATCTAACACATACTTGACTAGATATCTCATATGTAATGAGTATCTTAAGTCAAATATCTCATTAATCAAGAGAAATCTACTTAAATGCAGCCTATAGAGTGCTACATTATTTGAAAGGCACACTTGACAAATAAGTCCTTTTTAAATGAAGCAGGGGGTAAATGTTGAAATGTTTACATATTGACTGATTATGTAGGGTCAATGTTTATAGGACTCACCAACTTGAAGGGGAGTGTTGTTAAGAGGATTTAATAACTAAATCTTGTATACTTTTATGTTGACAGATATGCCCTTATGTGATTGAATCTATGTTAGTTGTTCTAGAACTTTCAAGGGTCTAGTATAAATCTTAGACCTTGTCCCTCTTTATATAGTGGATTGTTTTCCATATCAATAAATCATCTTTCCTCTACAAAGGTGCTTTGGGATTTACCAACACATCGTATTGAGGATTATACTGTGTACAAGAATAAATGGGACTCTAAATAGTTCTAGAAACATTCTAGAGTTAGAGTTGGTTTTTCCTTCAAAATATTTGAAGACCCCATCTAAATTAATGTGAACTTGGCAATGAGTTATAAGGGGCTTATTGTGATCTAAATTAATATGAATGAATTTCGTTTTTAAGATCACTTCTAGATTTAGGTCTTTTAATAGTAGTTAGTCTTGGTAAAGTCCCCAGACCATTTTGTTTTGAAAAGAGGTCATGGGTAATGAGACATAAAAAGTCCTTTATTTAATTATTTTATTGAAATTTTAATTTACAAAAAAAAAATCTGTCATCTGCTAATGTGAAAACGTTGTTAGTGCATTTTATTCTTCCATCAAGGAAGAAGAACAATTTTTTACTTAGTGGGATCAGAGAAAAAATCTTATAAGTGACAAGAGAAGAAAAAAAATATTGGGATGACCATGAAGATCCATTCAAATAGAAAGCAAGAGAAAGGGGTAACAGAATATCAAGCATAAAATCAAGCTAACCATTTGACCACCCTCCGAGGGATCTCAAGTTTAATTCATCAACATCTAATGCAACTACAAAGCATCAACATGCGTCATAACAAGAAGGGAATAAACATGTGCAAGGTAAACGGAAAGATCAAAGGAATCAGCGGAAGCCCAAGATTTCCCATTTCCACTGAATTGAATCAGTACAAAGACTGTTAGCAAGGGGAACTTTCCATTGTTAATTTCTTCACCTCCCTTCTTTAAACGTGATGATTGAATGTAAAAAATTTACCTTTATAACAAGCCCTTCAATCCTGGAAAACTCTTTTTTTTTTTTCAGTCTAGTCTTCAATAATTCGTCTTCCAATCAATATCCACGTGTGGAGTTAAATTGGTTAAACAGATGTTACTCATACATTGAATAAGTGTTGATTCTTCAAGAATTTGTCTTCTAGGTTCAACAAGGCCTTGGAAGAAGTAAAGACGAACACGAGATGTGAGCTTTTTGTCTCAGTGTACATTGCCCTGCGGGTGTCCACAGTAAAATATGGGCCAAGCTGCAGTGTGATCCTTCTGCTATTTCATTTCTTGGGATATTTTGAGCTTCAGAGAAGTTTAATTTTTTTCTCATTGTTTATATGGCTGCTCCGCCACAGATGGCAGCGAGCAAGAACTTCAATGGGGAGTGCTGGTGGAGAGGGAAAGGCCACCTTGAAAGACAAGGGCCATAGACATCTGTAACAGAGATCACACTGCCAAGCGACAGATGCTCTGTGCGCGCTGTCCTCCTTCAGTGGCATCTCGAAGAATGGCACCATACGCGCACAAAATGGCCCCCGGTCGGGCCTCAAAATAAAGCCCAAAATTGACAGCAGGGCCCTTTCTGGCCCCTCATTAGGCCCATCTTCCAGCGTTATGGCTCTCTTTCTTTCTATCTCATTTTGTACGTTTCATTTGATTCCATTATTCATTCAGATGTGACATGGAGAGAGAAACAGAGAGAGAGAGAGAGAGAGACGCAGAGAGAGTCAATGGTATCCCATCTGGGTCCTCGAGAAACAGGGATTTCTCTCTCTAGAAATAAATAAAATATGCGTTGGGACTTTGGAGGAGCAACCAGAGTGGCCATAACTGCGCCTCTTCACACTACGGTGGCTTTTCTCCTCTACGTACGTGACTTGCCGTCTCGGGTTTTAGAGCGCCACCGTGATTCATCACGTAATCACTTTTCCACCTTGGAAGTCGAAATATTCGTGAAGTACCCCTCTCCTCTTGGATCATCTCATGCGTCAAATCATTCGCTGTTCTTGGAGACGAGATCACTGCCGGCCTCCGACACCACCCATCTTGTCGGAAATCTCCTCGAAGATCTGAGAGAAAGCGTATAATTTCTGCGAATCTTCATTAATTAGCGGCCGATGGAATCGCAGAGAGAGAGAGAAAGAGGGGGGGTTTGCAACGACTCCGGCGCCGCCGCCGCCACCGCGGCGGAGATGGGTGGGGGAGGAGGAAGATGCCCACCTCCCTCCCTTCCCCTTCTCCTGTAGAGAATAATGGCGGTGCCCGGAGAAGAAAGGATCTCGAAGAGGGGCGAGGGGGGCCGAGTTTCCTCTGTCCTTTTATGGAAACGCAGACGCAAATCCTCAGCGTCCCCTTGGTTTCTCTCTCCTACACTAGAGAAACAGCCTCCCCTTTCTCTCTCTACTCTCTCTGTCTCTTCTCTCTGTCTACCACTAACTGTTCAGCTTCTCTCTACCTCTTTCACTTCAAAACAAAGCATCCCACTGGTCTGTTCCTCTCACTCTCTCTCTTTCTACACCCTTTTTTCTGCAAACCCAGAGGAACCCACCTCTCTCTCTCTCGGTAACGAAAGAAACCCTTGTCTGCCATATCCGCCCTCCTTTTTCCTGGTTACCGAAGAAACAAACCCGCTGTTCTGTCCCCCCCCCCCTTCTTCCTCTCTGTATCTCTCTTTCTCTCTCTACCTCTGAAACTCTCTGAGTCACCCTGCTCCTGCTACAATAATGGCGCAGAGGTTAAATAGTCCTCTCTGCTCGAAACCAGGGAGTACTCCCACCCCTTCCCCGACTTCCTCGTCCTCTCTTTTCACCCGGCTGCCGCCCTGCATACCTTGTGTCCATCTCTCTCCTCCTCTCTGCTCTCTCCTTCTCTCTTCTTCCTCTTGGGAGGAGGCCCATGGACGGAAGAAGAACCCTAAACCGCGCCATGGAAGAGGACTCCACCAAGTTCAGCCACCACCACCACCACCTCCTGCTGCTCCGCCACCACGGCTTTCCCTTCCACGGCGGCGCCGGCTACCAGGCCTACCCCGCTCTCCTTCCCCTCCTCCCTCCGGTGGCGGCGCCGCCGCTATGGCCTCCCCGAGCCCCCCCCGTGCTCCCAATCCCTAGAGGTATCCTCTCTCTCTCTCTCCCTATCTATCTATCTATCCATCTATCTATCTATCTATCTCTTTCATGATTTTTAATCGTATCCTTCTGGGCAGCCATGGAGGCGGCGCCACGGCAGAAGATCAGCTACCCCGTTGCCAAAAAAGCCGCAGCGGCGCCGGCGCCCGGCAAGGACTGTTCGCATAAGAAACCGGCGGCGGCGGCGGCGGCTGCAAGAAGACCGGACGGGGGGGGACAAGACGGACGGCAGATCCACCTCCTTGCCAATCACTTCCGAGTTGACTTTGATCCTTCCTTGCGAGTCTTCCACTACGACGTGGAGATCTCCCCTCGCCCCTCCAAAGATCTCGCAAGACTGATCAAGAGGAAGCTGGTCCACGACAACCCCGCCGTCTTCTCAGGTCCGCCGCCCGCCTTCGACGGCCGCCGAAACCTCTACAGCCCCGTGGAGCTCCTCCCCGACCGACAAGACTTCCTCGTTACCCTCCCGCCGTCTACTGACGGCGGTGCTGCGGCCTCTGAGGGAGCTCTAAAGCCTTTCAGGGTCTCCATAAAGCTGGTCTCAAAGCTATCGGCGGAGGGCTTAACCAGGTACCTGACGAAGGAAGAAGACGATAACGGAGGGGGCCAACTTCCTCCCCAGGAGCTCCTCCATGCCCTCGACGTGGTCCTCCGGGAGAGCGCCACGGAAAGCTGCACTCCCGTAGGGAGGTCCCTCTTCTCCACTGCCATGGGCGGCGGCGAGGACATCGGCGGCGCCGCCGTCGCCCTTCGGGGGTTCTTCCAGAGCCTCCGTCCGACCCAGCAAGGACTCGCCCTGAACGTTGACTTCTCCGTCATGGCCTTTCACGAACCCCTCGGGGTCATCCCCTACCTCCAGAAGCGCTTCGACTTCCTCCGGGACCTCCCGCAGAGGAAGACCAGGGAGCTCGCCGGAGAAGAGCGGAGGGCGGTGGAGAAGGCGTTGAAGAACCTGCGAATCTCCGTCTGCCACCGTCGCTCCGACCAGCGCTTCCGAATCCTCGGCCTGACGGAGGTTTCCACGGAGAAGCTCCGTTTCAGGGACAGAGATGGGAAGGAACTGACCATCGTCGACTACTACAGGAACCAGTACGACTTCGAGCTCCAGTTCCTGAATCTTCCATGTCTGCAGATCAGCAGGAGCAAACCCTGCTACCTGCCCATGGAACTCTGCGCCGTCATGGAGGGACAGAAGGTCCTCGGGAAGCTCTCCGAGGAGCAGACGGCAAGGGTCCGCAAGATGGGCTGCCAGCGGCCCGGCAAGCGTCGGGAGATCATCGACGCCGTCATGGGCGGCGCCGCCGGCCCGACAAGGTGATGGAAGAGAAAGCTCGGTTTTTTTTCCTGTGAAAATGCTCGAGATTGCTGCTGACTGAGTTCCTTCCTGAGAGCAGCGGGCCGTACGCCGGCGGATTCAACCTGCGGGTGTCGAGGGATATGACGCGGCTGAGCGGACGGGTTCTTCCGCCGCCGAAGCTGAAGCTCGGCGACGGCGGCCATGTCCGGGAGTTGACCCCGAGCCGCCACGACCGGCAGTGGAACCTCCTCGACAGCCACGTGGCCGAGGGATCCCGGATACGGCGGTGGGCCCTCGTCAGCTTCGGCGGCGGCCACGAGCAGCGGTCCTCCATCCCCCGCTTCGTTTCCCAGCTCGTCCACCGCTGCAACCAGCTGGGGATCTCCCTCAGCAGAACCACGGCAGTGGCACCGATGTTCGAGCCACTCCACACGCTTGGCAATGCCGCCCTGCTCGAGTCCAAGCTCCGCCAGGTCCACGCCGCCGCCGCTGGCGACCTCCAGCTGTTGGTCTGCGTCATGGAGAGGAAGCACCGCGGCTATGGCGACCTAAAGCGGATCGCCGAGACCGCCGTCGGCGTGGTCACTCAGTGCTGCCTCTACTGCAACGTCGCGGTGCCAGCATCGCAGTTCCTCGCCAACCTCGCCCTGAAGATCAACGCCAAGCTCGGCGGCTGCAACATGGAGCTCTCCAGCCCTCTCCACCGGCAACTCCCCCGCGTCTTCTCCGGCGAGGAGCCGGCGATCTTCATGGGCGCCGACGTGACCCACCCGCACCCGCTCGACGACACGAGCCCCTCCGTCGCCGCCGTGGTGGGCTCCCTCGACTGGCCGGCGGCGAACAGGTACGCCGCCAGGATGCGGTCGCAGGCCCACCGGGAGGAGATCATCCAGGAGCTCGAGGACATGGCGGGGGAGATACTGGAGGAGTTCTTCCTCCGCGGCTCGCAGAAGCTCCTCCCCGGGAGGATCGTCTTCTTCCGCGACGGCGTTAGCGAGACCCAGTTCTCCCGGGTGCTCAAGGACGAGCTCTCCGCCATTAGAGCCGCCTGCAAGAGGTTCCCCGGCTACCAGCCCCGCATCACCTTCGCCGTCGTCCAGAAGCGCCACCACACCAGGCTCTTCGGCGGCGCCGCCGCCGCTGCCGACGAGAACATCCCCCCGGGGACGGTCGTTGACTCCGTGATCACCCACCCCCGGGAGTTTGACTTCTATCTTTGCAGCCACTGGGGGACGAGGGGGACCACCCGACCCACGCGGTACCACGTCCTGTGGGACGAGAACGGGTTCTCGTCGGACGAGCTTCAGCGGCTGATCCACAGCCTCTGCTACACCTTCGCGCGGTGCACCAAGCCGGTGTCGCTGGTGCCGCCGGCGTACTACGCCCACCTCGCTGCCTACAGAGGGAGGATGTATCTGGACAGGAGCGACATCGGCGGCGGCGGGATGGCGGCGGTTTGCCGGTCCTCCGCTCCTCTGCGAGCGCCGCCGCTGCCAAAGCCGAGGGACAGCGTGAAGAAGCTCATGTTCTATTGCTGATCCCCACCGGCGCCGGTTCTTCATCCGGCGCTGTCTGTTCTGAGCTCATCCACGCCGGGTTGACCTTGGAGCCTTGAACAGTGGGACGGAAGGCCCCCACTCGCCGGATGAGGAAAGCAAAGCTCTCCTCCCTTTCTTTGCACTGTTCGAGAGAGAGAGAGAGCTTAATGCGTTCGCTGCCAGATGCAGGGAGGGAAACCTCAGTGGAGAAAAGACGTGGCGTGTAGAGAGAGAAGAGGAAACAGTGCAAAGGTGGAGAGAGAGGAAGGGGAAAGGTGTGGGGGGCCGAGCTTAAACTGTCTTCTTGGGAATCCATTTTGTCGACCGCATGGGCTGTCGCAGACGGCGAAAAGTTTGGGATGGGTAGAGAGAGAAGATTCTTTAGTGATATTGTAATAGAGAGAGAAAGAGAGGGAGCCATTAACTGGTCTCTCTCTCTCTCTCTCCCTCCAGTCTCTCTCCTCCGATGCCTTATTTTGACCATATATAATTCTCCGGCTTTATGCTCTTGACCGCACTTACTGTGAACCATCAACTCAAAGTCAGCCCGTCTCTCTCTCTCTCTCTCTCTCTCTCTCTCTCTAGTTGCTATAGAGAGAGAAATGGGTTGTCACGTGAGTCATCCTCGAAAGTTTCACGTGACTGGGAATACAGTAGAAAACGAGGTTCTAAGGTTGGTTGACCTTTCTGACACCTGATCTCATTGAAGGAAAGAACGAAAAGACCCTTCATGTAGTGTAATTGAAATCTAGAAGAAGGGTATGTACGCAATTTTTGAGATTTTAGATATTGTGCCTAATCCAAAAAATAATGACGTCACTGTCTTAATATCCCCAATTCCGGGGACTTAAAGTTAAGATACTGACAAGCATGCCAAGTGGCATTTTTCTTGGGTTCGTGCCCCAAAAATAAATTAAATTCGTCAATTTTACTTACTACTATATCCCTTGCCGAGCTTTTTTCCTGATTAAAAATGGCCCACTCTCTCTCTCTCTCTCCAATTACGAGCTTGTTGACTTAATTTTTTCAGTAGTTGAACGATTTGACCATTCAAGGAATGTCAACATGCTCAGACTATCCAATTACGGTCAACGGAAGCCGCCAAATGATATTCTGTCTAGATTTTTAATTTTTAAATTATTTAACCTCGAAATTAATTCGCAGAGTCAACCAGTTTGAAGATAATTATTATTGACCATAATTTATTAACTGTTCTCTGGAGAGCGGCAGATGGGCCAAAAATATGAAACCCAGAGTGGCGCCCATTAACGGATATTTATATTAACACCTACTTAGTCGATACGACGACCTTATCGTTTTGCCCTATATGACGTAAGAGAGAGAAAGAGAGATAGGGTTTCAAAGGTCGTGAAGTCAACTTATTCGAGACAAACAACGTCAGCTGTCAGAAATGAACTAGCCATGCTCAGAGGTGATACTTCCAAACTGGGTTACGTGCCCGTGCTCCGAGAGAGAGAGAGAGAGAGAGAGAGAGAGAGATGATTGCCGTCCATCTCTCTCTCTCTCTCTCCGTAGTGTGTGAAAGTGGAGGCGGCGTCGTAACTGTAGTCGTCTCTCCTGAAGCCAGACAATGGGCTCGAGGGGAGGGGGAGAGAGAGATTTAGGGATGTGGGGTAGAAGTGGAGCTTTCATGGAGCCGATTGGAGGGGCGGAGTTCGGCGGGGTTGACGAGCTTCTGGGAATGGAGGGGGAAGAAGGTGGAGTTGACGGCGGTTGCCTTCCCAGATGCCTCCCTCCCTTCACACCTCCATCGTCTTCCCCTTCTCCCATGGCCTTTCTTCAAAGAGGAGACGAGGGCTTCCCCAAGAATGGCGAGGGTTCCACCTCATCGTCATCCTTTTCTTCCGGCAACTCCATTCTTTCCAAGGCAAACATCTCCCTCTGTGTCTCTCTCTTCCTCCCCTCTCTCTTTCTTCGTCTTCTTCCGACAACTCCAGCTACAAGAAGGCAAACCCCTTCTCTCTGTTTCTTCGTCTTCTTCCGGCAACGGCAGCCACTCCAAGACAACCCCTCCCCCCTCTTCCCCCCCTTCTCTCTCTTTCTTTCTTCTTCGGGCAACTCCAGCCACTCCAAGGAAAACCCCCTTCTCTCTCTCTCTTTCCTTCCACTTTCCCTTTCTTTCTTCGTCTTCTTCTTCCGGCAATTCCAACCATTCTAGGGCAAATCCACCGCCCTTCTCCCTCTCTCTCTCTCTCTTCCTCCCCTTTCTCTATCTTTCATCGTTTTCTTCCGGCAAGTCCAGCCTCTTCAAGGCAAACCTTTTCTTCTCTCTCTCTCTCTCTCTCTCTCTCTCTCTCTCTCTCTCTCTCTCTCTCTCTCTCTCCTCTCTTTCTTCGTCTTCTTGCAGCCATTCCACCTCCCCAAGGCAAACCAGTCTCCTCTCTCTCTCTCTCTCTCTCTCTCTCTCCCTCTGTCTCTCTCGCTTCCTCTCCCTAAACTACAGTGGATATGTACAGCAGAAGACGGCGGCGAGGAAGATGAAGGCGGGGAAGAAACGGAGGAGGGAGGAGCAACGGCGGGGCTCCCCTTCCCGGCGGTGGTCGTCGAAGGTTCAAATAGAATACCCGCACGTCTTCTTCCTTCTCAACCATTTCCTCCAGGACCCCGCTCTGAGGGCCATCTCGAATCTCCTCCAGGTGAAGAAGGAGAAGCTAGGACAGAGAATCGGTGAGCTACAGCGTCTCGTCTCCCCCTTCGGGAAGGTATGAAGACGCCTGTGATCAATTCAGAAGAAATTAACACTCCCTCTTCCTCCCACCCCCCGTTGACGGATTCTTCCTTGATGGGTTGCCGTCGATTTCCCCCCGCGGCGGTGCTAACCATGATGCCGCGGCGGCTGGGTTTCACAGTCGGATACGGCCTCCGTCCTCCATGAGGCTCTCGGGTACATCAGGTTCCTACACGACCAGGTTCAGGTACCTCTCTCTCTCTCTCTATGCACGTATTTATATATCTCTCTCTATACACAGTTAATATATATCTCTCTCTATCTCTCTCTATCTCTCTCTATCTCTCTCTATCTCTTGCTTTCTCCTGTTCTTCTGACGTCACAATCTTGCCCACATCTGCGACAGGTGCTGAGTTCTCCCTACCTGCAGCGGCAGCCGTCCTCTGCCCATCCCCACGTGAAGCCTTTAGATGCCTTGCTCAGTCGTCTCTTAGCGCTCTGCAATTGATAGATAGATAGATAGTGACCCTTCCAACTGTTTGATGTAATGTCTTAGAAGAACTCACTATCTCTTCGTCTGCCGTCGGTCGCAGGGTGGTGATGGTGGCGGTATGGCGGTGGGGCTGGCGCAAGATCTGCGGAGCCGGGGGCTGTGCCTTGTGCCTCTGGCCTACACTTCTCACCTCGTCGCCAATAACGGCGCCGACTTCTGGTCCCCGGCCATGGGATGCGGCGGCGGCGACGACGACCATCGCCTCAACGCCTACAAGCTCTAGGAGACTCTCTCTCTCTCTGTACATATGTTTATTTCTCGCTCACTTCCTCTCTTTTTTCTCTCGTGTCTTATCTCTCGCTCTCACTCTCTATCCTACCTCCCTCTAGGGTCTCTCATCTCTCTCCCATGGACACCATCTGTCTCTCTCTCTCTCTCTCTCTCTCTCTAGTTTCATCTCGCTCCCACGTACACTCTCATTCGCCCTCTCTTCTCTCTCTTTCTCTCTCTTATTCCATCTCTCTCGGGTTTCTCCGGGCCTCGGGAGCCGCGTCCACCTGCTGCCGCAGGGAAGAGAGCTCGGAATCGCCCCCTCCTCTACCTCGGAGTAATTTTTTGCTTCTCATTGTACTTGTATATCTAATATTTAGTTCAATGTGCAATAAGATTATAAGGAAAATAATTATCCCGCCATTCATCCCCACCCCCCTCCCACCTAGTTCTTTGTGCTGCCGTACCATCCAACATAATTAATTAATTATTTATGGACATAGCATATCCAACATTATTAATTATCTAATTATTCAACTCAAGAACAATGTCAATATTAACCTAATAGGAAACTTGTGCCTAAGATAAAAAACATTTTATGATAGGGCCAATATAAGAATTTGACCCACCCACTAACAATTATATTCCGTAATAAGAATCTAGTGATAAATATATATTCATAATGAGTCATCAATGTTATTATCCAACAGTCGAACATACTACAATAGTGTCATCTAACTATTGTGGAACCCATATTTGACTCAACATTGGATCTAAGGTTGATCATATTAATACAAGTCAAACCCATTATTGAGGAGCTCCCATTTGACTTAACATTGGATATAACGTTGGACCTTATTAATAGAAGTCAAAGTCTTTATTGATTGACTAGTTACTTTCCTAATGTGGTGCAATAACACGAGGAGTGTCTACTTGATGAGGAGCTCACATTAAGCTTCCGTTTGACTTAACATTGGATCAAATGTGTACATTATTAATTGAAAGTCAAACCCATTATTGTTTGACTAGTTACTTTCTTAATGAGGTGTAATAACACAAGAATCATTGGCCTCATGAGAAGCTCACAGTAAGCTCCCATTTGACTTAACATTGGATATAACGTTAGACCTTATTAATAGAAGTCAAAGTCTTTATTGATTGACTAGTTACTTTCCTAATGTGGCGCAATAACACGAGGAGCGTTTGCTTGATGAGGAGCTCACATTGAGCTTCCGTTTGACTTAACATTAGATCAAATGTGGACATTATTAATTGAAAGGCAAACCCATTATTGTTTGACTAGTTACTTTCTTAATGAGGTGTAATAACACAAGGATCATCGGCCTCATGAGGAGCTCACAATGTTGGACCTTATTAATAGAAGTCAAAGTCATTACTGATTGACTAGTTACTTTCCTAATGTGACGCAATAACATGAGGAGCGTCTGCTTGATGAGGAGCTCACATTGAACTTCCGTTTGACTTAACATTGGATCAAATGTGGACATTATTAATTGAAAGTCAAACCCATTATTGTTTGACTAGTTACTTTCCTAATGAGGTGCAATAACACAATGATTATCGGCCTGATGAGGAGCTCACAGTGAGTTCCCATTTGACTTAACATTGGATCTAATGTTGATCATATTAATAGAAGTCAAACCCTTTATTGATTGACTTGTTACTTTCCAAATGTGGTACAATAACACGAGGATCATCGGCCTTATACATAACTAGACTCATTGACATAGGGTTGGCATTATGCATAATGGTCAATTTTATTGTTAATACACTATTTTGGTTAATAATTGTGTCATGCAACTTTAAAATTCTTCTCTAGTAGTTGGAAATACAGCAGAGAGCGTCTAGATATAGACTCGTGTATAGATCCGGCACGTGAGTACACGTGTGGGAGGATCATACCAGCCGTCGATTGGGCCCACGTGAGTAGCAGAGCTAACACACGTGTGAGTCTTGGGCGGTGGATGAGTGTGGCCCATTAGTAAATGGGCTGCTCGACTTGGCCCACGGCCCACCAGGTCGCCCTATTTTCCCACCCAGTGTGGGAAAGATCTCTCGGAACGAGAGAGAGAGAGAGGTTCTGTCGTAGCCCTCTCCACCTAGCTCCCGGCGAACCAAACGCACTTCACCGGCGACGCACTTCACCGGCGACGGGCAGGCCATGTTCGTGGGGAGGCGGGGGATCCCATGACGACGCCATCGATCACCTCAAACGAGCTGAATTACCTCGTGTTCCGGTACCTCCAGGAATCAGGTCAGTCTCATGCGTATCTCCCATTTGGGCCGCTCCGGCGATCATATCCATTGGGACGGATGTCTTCTATGGTTCTCCTAGTTTCTTCTCCCGCTTTACTCTCCCGAGTTTTTCTGTGGAGAAGCTGGGTCGCCCCAAGCCCTTTTCTTCACGTTCATTTATATTGGTTCCTGGGCGTTTGAAAAGTCGTCCCCGTTTACAAATAGCGCACATGTAGGCTCCACATGAGTTTGATGGGGACATTTTTCATGTTATATGCGCAGAATAGAAGTTCAGAGAGGTGAACTGAACCAGTGATTGCATATTGCGACAAGTAGCCAAGTATTTTAGAGTATCAGTTTAACATTCTCTTTTTAAACAGATTCAATCTTGTGGTTTTGAGTTTGGTCTTCCTCTCTGTTACCCTTGGAAAAAAGCCTACACCCGAGCAAATAGTAATTTGTGCTGTGAATTAATTTCGCTTTGAAGATTCTTTTGCCACTGCTATTCTACCTCCCAAGACTACTCAAAACTTGTTCAAGTTGTTGGTGGATGTTTTTTCTTTTTAAGAGACGTAGATGGTAATTGTGTGGATAGAACTGAGTGCCATGGACTTGTTTCTATTTTTTGTGTGTGGGGCATATTTTTTGAGCAGGTGATTGATGCCCAAATTTTCCAATCAATGTAACAAGATTCAGAGGAAATGGATTGACAACTGATTAAAGGATCGGAGGTTGGGATTTCCTCGGCCAAAGATAAACTTGGGACAGAAACTCTCCGTTTTATCTGGGTGCAGCGGACTAGATCAAGGGAGATAATTTAGAGGAGCTAAAAAAAAGGGACAAAGAATTGAAGATCGAACAAATAGTCCACCTTTTAAGAAAAACAGTTTTAGGATTCTGATGATTTAACCAATGTAAACCATAACCATTACACCCCACGGTTGCAATTAGTACAAGTACGTACTTCATAAAGTCTCAATGTGTAACAGGCTAAAGTTAAGGGCTTGGAACTTGAGAAATATTCCACGGGTCATCATTTTGGCAATCTACCATTTTGGAAATGTGTAACAGTCTGACGTGATTCTGCATATCCTTATTAGCACATCCATTCCACAAATTTCCAACTTTGACCACTTGCACCTAGTTATGCCTATTTGGTGTCACCAAAACATCAGAATTTGCATGAAGGCTGTGGGTTCCAGGACTCGAGGTTCTTGATCCTTGAGTCCACACTTTAAAGACATTTCAAGAAAAAAAAAGAAACCTGCTGTACTCTCGAAAATCCTGAGGATGGAGGTAATGATAACTGCACGGGTGAGCAAATGCTTGTTGTGGATAACGACAACACTTGGTGGTGCCTCATTTTAGGTGGGCCTTTCTTGATAACTAGGGCATGCAGATGTGAATGACCGGTTTCTCTTACTGGAGTAGTATCCATGAGGAGCATTATTCGTGTTGCCATTTCTTTTAAATGTGAAAAATGGTCCCTTCCTAAAACTAAATTGTGCATTCATAAATCCTTTTTAGGTTTGCTCTTCTTATTTGGAGTGTATTCTAGGATTAGGTATTAAAGATGGTGCGATATGTCCAACTTTGCGTTTTTTGTGAGTAGCATACTCTCCATTTATTCGAGTAAAGATTGTCTTTCATTCTGTGCATTTTCTAGCCTTGTTTGTTTGCGGATACCATAATTTTTTTTCCTCTTGATGTCACAAGCCCATCTTAAGTATTGTATTTTTGGTCATGAGTTGGTGGAAGGAAAAGTGCATGAATTGACGATAGAAAAGTTGACCCATATGTTTATTGCTGTCTCATTCTTTGTCAATCATCTTCAGGTTTCACGCACTCAGCATTTGCTTTAGGTTACGAGGCAGGGATCAACAGAAGTCCTGTTGATGGAAATTTGATTCCTCCCGGTGCTCTCGTTACATTTGTACAAAAAGGTCTTCAATACATAGAATTGGAAGCAAATTTAAGCAATGTAAGTTTTCTGACTCATGTGAAAGCCATGCAAATGTTTCTTTTTCATCTTGACTTTTAGCTATGTACTTTCAGAAGGGTCATGAACTGATTGTTAGATCGCTTGCTTTGTTTCTGCTCAATGGCACCTATTCCCCCATTTCTCAGGATGGCCATGACGTAGATGATGATTTCTCACTTTTGCAACCGTTGGACCTTATCACTAAAGATTTTCATGAATTGCGACGAATTATAAAGGAGAAGAAGGAAAGCCTTGAAAGGGACCAAAACAAGGGCAAGGAGAAATCCAAGGACTCCAATCGAGAAAATGAACATGAGCTTGCATACGGAAAGGAGAAAGAAGTACTGGAGAGAGAAAAAGAGAAAGAAGAGGTTAGAGATAAAATAGAGAAAGGTAAAGAGCAAGAAAACGGTAAAGATAAAGACAAAGATAAAGATAAACAACAAGAGCAGCATACAGAGAAAGAATCTGCAAGAGAGCATGAAGATAAGATCGAACTTAAAACTGAAGAACATGGAATTTCTGAAGGTACGTGGACTCTTAGCTCTCATCTCCGTGCTGTTTATTATGTAATGGCGACTGTAATGAGCTTTAATGTGGAATGCTGATTTTCATCATTCTTATTGTCTTCGCTTTTCCTATTTATTAACTGCCAGTTTAGGATTTAAAATCTTTACATCCAACCATAAAATTCTATTAAAAATAATATATATATATATATATTTAAGACTTTGTCACTTAATTCGAAGTTTGCCCTGTTTATAAGTTCCTATTATCAGAATCAAACTTTAGAGAATAAAATATGCCTCCATCTTTCCTTTTCGTGCACCAGATACGGTGCTACAATACAACGTCCTCCTCATCCTATGAAATCCTGCATTATAGTTTTTAACGTTTATTGTCAGCTGAGAACCGTGTAAAATGCTGATCCCTTGTTTTGAATTGTGAGCCATTATCCCATGCTGCCCTCAATCTATTATTCTTCTCTTTCTGAGGCCTTCATTGCGGCACAGTGAAAGCTATATGTCCTAAAAGTAGGTCTAACAGAGCAATTTTAACCTGATAATTTTTAAGTGCAACATCTTATGCTTTTGATCATCTTATGTAAGTGCAACAAATTAAATCCTGCTTTGATCATCTTATGCTTTTGAAATGTAGTTGAATTCTTTAATTTACCAATTCAACCTTTTTGGTAGTTTATATAGACTTAAGGCGTACAGTCCCTTTGCCTTTGTCTTTTGAGGAAGGAAACATTCGTGTATATACCATCTACAGTTCTATTTTTCTGTTGACAAAGTACAAATTGCAACCTAAAAGGTAGTTTAAATCCTCCATAAGACTTATTAACACTCTCGCTAAAGTTTTTCTTGGCCTGGTATTTCCTTTTACTGGTTCATATAAGGTAAATCAAGTGGTCGGGGAAAAGAATGTCATCTTCAGTCTTTCATATGATATAAGATCTACTTAACCACATATCAATGGTCAGGAAAAATAACGTCATTGCGGATCTTTAATATAATTAAGAACTAGTTGACCATATATTGATGAGATAAACCTTATGATGTTTTTATTGAATGACACATTAGAGGCAACTATTTGAAGAAAGTGTTAGGTAATCAATAAACTAAAATTTAACTAGGAATAAAACATGCTGCATTGGATAACCTCCTTCTTGGACGATTGGGATGGAATTTCTATATACTTTATTTTTTCTCTTTTTCTTTTTATTTCTACAGTGTTACGTTGAAGAGTGAGTTTACATTTTATGTCATTTAGTGGACATCACGTACCTAACACAATTAACTTCAAAATAAAAGGTTCTCTTGCCAAAATTCCTTCGTGTGCTGGAAGGGTAGAGCTTCAAAAATCTTAAAATCTTACATTCGTGGAAGCTTGTAAGTTTCGTTTATCAAGGAACTTTTTGGAGATTAGAGATTTAAATTGTCAATTTCATAATGTTTTCACTTCCAAAGTAGACAAGTGGCTACGTTTTCAGCTTTTTTAACTACTCCGTGGGGAGAATGGTCGTTCCAATTTTGAAGGTGTTGACTTGGGTGTCTGGTGTCAACCGTTGAAAAGCCAGTCTGGGTGTTGACATCTGCATTGTATGTGTGACAACACGCAGGATCTCCTATTTCTTTGTTCATGTCTAAACGCAAATCTCACAGGTGTAGATCCTTGGTCGTGGATTTCAGCCATCATGTCAACACTTATTTTTCAAGTTTCAAATCCTGTGTAATTTGCTTTCCTCATGTTGCTTTAGTTGCCAATCTTTAAACGTTAGGTCTCAATATTTTCATCTTACCACTTGAATATTGTGTCACTAGATACATTGTGGGCACTGTTCTATAATATTTTACACTTGATAGGAACTCCATGTCCTTCCTTTTTCTGTCAAGAATGGGAATTTATGGGGAGACGTGGTTGTTTGATTGCGATTAATTTATTTAATAGTTATCTTATGTAAGGGCTCAGGACATAATTTAGGTGTAAATTTTTCATTACCAACCATACTGTCTCAACTTGCAGGCTCTTTGTTGTTGTGTCCATATGATTTACCATCTTTCTATGTATTCATTTAGAATCGGTGCATTTTCCCTTGGCTCGCTTAATTTATCATTTTTTCGGTCGTAAATTCATTCATTGGAATTATATAACATTCTTTTTTTGTAAGCATTACTTTTTACCTTTTTTCTTAGGTCCTGAGCCAATGGATATCACTAGTAGCTCTCCACCTTCACCTGTTGAAGTTCCCAGTTCTGATGTGACTATTTTAGGAGGCCACACATCTGAGGTCTGAATTGTTATTGTTAATGTGTCCTTTCTTCCCCTTGAAATTGTTTTCTTTGCGATATCCCCCTAGTTTTGAGCCAGTGGCTATTGTTATAGGTGTCAGGTTGTAAGTATATGCTTGTTTCTCCTCACAGGTGTTTGCATGTGCATGGAGTCCAACAGGCTCCCTTCTTGCATCTGGGTGGGTATATTTCTTTTCGCCTATCAGTTGGTAGTGTTCCCGTAATGCTCTGATCTAGGAGTTTTTCTTTTTCGTTATGTTTTCCAATTTAGCTATTCATTTACTCGATTGCTACGTACGTGGAAGCTTTTTCCATGCCATACTTAAAATCTCCTTGGTTTGAGATACATCTATTCTTCTATTCGTGATGCTGGACTTCTTGGTACAATTCGAATGGCTTTATTTTATATGCTTACTGTTAGCATTTTTACTCATCTTTGCAGCTCAAGATATTTTATTTTGTGGTTTTGGTTGTTAATCCAGGCTGTTTCTGACGCATGATATTGCAAAAAATTATGCACAAATTATGGCATTGTGCATTTGCACTTAACTGCCCCCTGTAAACTGCGACTGTATACAAATGTCTCTTCCTGTTTACTGATCATTTGATAGTGTGAATAAAGTTGTGCCTCTTTCTCGTTTTCTCGTCAATGGATCTGTACCTGTTTCTATTATATGATGTGACTGTGTGACCGGAGTGGAAAAAAAAGCGAGATGCATTCAGTTTAATGTTTATATTCTATTATCTTTAGAATGCTTGCATTATCTATTAGTCGCAGGATCAGTTTTCTCATTTTTCGTAAGATGGGTGCATTGTGGGTATTATGATTGTATTTAGTTCTTTTTTTTTTCTGTATAAATCGTCAAATATATTTCATTGTAAAACATATTGTGAGTATTATGGGTCTTTTGATTGTTGTCTCGTGAGCCATATGAAATCGGCCTATAATTCCGAAGCACTCTCATCCTTGCCCTTGTATCTGCCAAGTGTTTATCAAAAATATCCATTGATCGGTTGATTGGAGTGCGTTTATGCATATATTTGTCCAAGATTAAAAAATAGCTTTTTGAGCGTACCAAATGGCTTCATTTTTTCCCCACAATTAAATGAGTAAAATTTATGTGGTGAATTATCCCTCCTTTTTGTGTTGGCACTGAGGTTTCTAGATCATTTTTTCAGCATTAGCAATGCCCCTGATAAACTTTGATCATATGCTCTTGAAAGTTATGGTTTTCATCCTGATTTATAGTTTTTATTACCCACTTATGATGTTCGTTTTCATTGCATCTATAGGTCTGGAGATTCAACCGCACGCATCTGGACTATACCACAGGGTCATTGTGGTTCTAGTACACAGAATGAACCGCCAAACTCGTCAGTTTTAAGACACTTTCGGGGTAGAACCAACGAGAAGAGCAAAGATGTTACAACACTTGATTGGAACGTGAGTTTCTCAGTTTATGCATTGTATCTGCTATGCTCAATGCATGACCCCTTTCCCTCTAAATATATTATTCCATGTATCAAACACACATATGCACATCGCGCAAACTCATCACACCTGATACTTGCTAAATGTTCCTGCTGGAGCTTTTTTTATAGTTAATTCTTTGTTGCTAATTTCCATCTTGTTACTCTTTAGGGAGAAGGGACGCTACTTGCAACGGGTTCTTATGATGGTCATGCGAGAATATGGGATAGAGAAGGTTAGCTATTCTCTGTCCAATGATGGTACCTAATCACGTGCTGCAGCTAGCACCAATGGCCGTCTCACTTTTACATAATCTTGAAAATTTATCTGCAAGAATATCGTGAATTTTTTCCAAAATATGGATTAGCTCCTGAAGTCATTCAAAAAAATATATATATTTTGCACGTGGGAAGCCATTTTACAATACTGGCATGCCTGCGTAACAAGTATGGTTTCCTGCAGCTTGTCCAATTTTTTCACAGTTTCTTCTTACAATAGTTGCATTCCCCAATAGTATACCTATCATCACTCTTTCCTTTTGTCAATGATATCTTTATATTTTATTGCGTGTTTTAATGAAGTCATAATGTTACATGCTTGATAGTGTCTAAACCTTTCTTTTTCGTTGGGCATGATTTAGTCCTATATTCTGTCTGTGTTGACCTGCTGACCAGGGGATTTGAAGATTACCTTGAGCAAGCATAAGGGTCCAATTTTCTCTTTGAAATGGAATAAGAAGGGTGACTTTCTCCTTAGTGGAAGTGTTGATAAGACAGCTATCGTGTGGGATGTAAGAACTGGAGAATGTAAGCAACAATTTGAGTTTCACTCAGGTATCATGTTTCTCACAAGTATGGCTTCTGTGATTCTCTACATACACAAGAATGCCATATTAATGTGAAATTATTTTTGCAGCCCCCACTCTCGATGTGGACTGGAGAAACAATGTTTCGTTTGCTTCATGTTCAACAGATAACATGATTTATGTTTGTAAAGTTGGTGAGACGCGCCCCATCAAAGCTTTTGCTGGACATCAGGTTTGTTCATGAAATGAAGTACACATACTTTTCATTAGCATTGCTTGTGTTGAAGCCAAAGACTTTTTCTTTAGCCCTAAGTTTACTTGCTCAACTTTATGGGCATACGCTAATTATATTTTCGGGTTGACTTTTAATTTAACTAAATTTCTTCACTGAGCTCATGCCACGAGGAACTGGGAACATACATGACGCATCTTTGCTGAACATAAGCCAACTTTTGGAATATCTTGCTGCCCCATTTTGTAGAATTTTGTTTATTTGTGATGTTGTTATGTTTGATGCCGAATACTGATAACCAGTCAAATAATCTAGGGAAACCTACAGTTTATCATCTGTGACGTAAGAAGCCTCTAATTGTAACTTGTGAAATCTGCTGGTGGCCTTAATGCACCAAGTAAATGTATATGCATATGCTTATATACGTGTCAGCAGCAAGTCACAGTATGTGCCGAGGGAAGATGAATGGAATGTTAAACTCCCGTGTTATTCTTAGCACCAGATTGTGAGTATGCAGTAGACATTAAGTGGTCTGAAGTGACATCAGAATTATAGATACGGAATTCTGCGACAAGGGCTTTTGGGTGATGTTGTCATCATGACATTCCAACTTGCCCTTAAAGGTGTTTGACCTCGTCTTTAATCGCGTGGTTTTTGTGGTTGCTGCCAAGTTCAATCAAAAAAGGAATGCAAAACTCATATTACACAGCTTATTATTTAGATGAAACAATTATAAATATGAAATAGGGGCCTAATTCCTGAAATATCATGTTCTTGGTGGATGATATAGCGGGCTGCATCTTACTGCTAAATCGCGTGGTTTTTGTGGTTGCTGCCAAGTTCAATCAAAAAAGGAATGCAAAATTACACAGCTTATTATTTAGATGAAACAATTATAAATATGAAATAGGGCTCTAATTCCTGAAATATCATGTTCTTGGTGCATGATATAGCGGGCTGCATCTTACTGCTAGTTACCCTTTTATTTCGGTCAGGGAGTAAGGAAGAAAGGTGATGGTAATAGCAAGTTTACGACTCCTTGAATATTAGGTGATTTGCATTTTTACATCCCAAAATGGGTGTGCTTTTTCCCATATAGATAACTAAATGGGCCTTAGAATTTCAGATTCCTCCACGGGATGATGTGACACCTGGCCACCGTGTGACAGATGATGCCCCTTTTCTCACACTTTTGTCTGAGCATTGAAGTTATTAATGAAGTTAAAAGACACATCTTTTTCTTCTTTTTTGGTTTTTCCAAACTTCAATGTTCATCATGGCTTTTTTTTATTAACAGCACTCATATAAGTTACTGAAATAGAAGAATCCATCAATAACATGCCTTACAAAGTATGTAGCATCTGTAGTTAAAAGAGGTATGATGTGATGAATCATCTTGCACTAGGCCCTGGTTAACAATCTCAAAACTAAGAAAGAAATCTCTGTCTGATTGTGTAAAATCCCCAGCAATTATAATAGATCTTGCTCGTCCAATACAAGTTTAGCATTCCCTCTCCTTTTTCGTCTGGATGTGTGTATCTGGGGCAGATTGGTAGTAATCGCAGGATTGGTGTGTAGGACAGGCAGTTGCAACCTACCCTAAGAGGGTGGCAATATTTCCATGACTTTGGTTTAGATATCACACTAGTTGAAATTTTATTTTAACCATCCTAGGAGCCTAACCTAATGCAAAGTTTCCGTGGGATTGCTATGTTTGATTATTCTTGGTGGGGTTGCTTTAAAAAATTTCTTGCTTTAATATGGGTAGCACAAGGGGTTGATCTTTTTTTTTTCCTGATACTTAATTATACGATATTTGTATCATATGTTGTCTTCATTTGACTTCTGAAACCTGGGAAGACTAAGCGGCGTCATTTGTCATTTCAGGGTGAGATTAACGCCATAAAATGGGACCCAACTGGTTCATTGTTGGCGTCCTGTTCTGATGATATGACTGCAAAGGTGCTCATTTTGCTGGATGCTCAGTTTTTGGTCATCATATTTTGATCCTAATTTTGGATTTTTCAGAGGCTTTTCATAAATAAAAAATTCCGAAGCATATGGATTAAAAAAAAATTCTTGTGCAATAATTTCATGGACCTGATTGGGCAAACAAAGATTGACAGTTCCTACTAATCTTGGCAGATTTGGAGCCTGAAGCAGGACAAATTCGTCCATGATTTCAAGGATCACCAGAAGGTGGGTTGGGCCACCTCTCTCGGTGCCACCATCTTCTTCCTCTCAACTATCGAATAATTAGGAGCTTTTTGTTTAATTTCTTCAGGAGATCTATACAATCAGGTGGAGTCCTACTGGCACCGGCACATGCAACCCCAATCAGCTGGTGCTGGCAAGGTAATCTGTTCCGTCATACTGGGCTGGTTGGTGAGGTCAACCACCTGTTTGACCTCCAGACTCCATCCTCATCTGTTCTTATGGAGACACATTAACTATTCACTTTAAATCCGTGATTTTTAGAGCCTTCTCTGACTGAAAATACCCCGCGGACTGATTCTTATTCAGATGATCTAGTTTTTTCTTATTTTAAAAAGATGGGTTTTATAATTTTCTCACAATATTTATCGGGTGGAGAGAAAAAAAAATTCTTTCACATTAGGTCAACCATCTCTTGCCCTTTTTTGCAGTGCCTCCTTTGACTCGACCGTAAAGCTATGGGATGTGGATGCTGGTAGGCTCCTGCATAGCCTCAATGGCCACAGGTGCTGATCGAGCTCTGTCCCTCCTCGTCTGTCTATAATCCGAAAATATATAAATATTTATTAATTTGGTGTGTAAAATGATGTTAATATATGGATCAGGCAACCGGTGTATTCCGTGGCATTCAGCCCGAACGGGGAGTTCTTGGCCAGTGGATCAGTTGACCAGTGCCTCCATGTGTGGTCCCTCAAGGAGGGGAGGATCATCAAGACCTTCCGCGGCGGCGGCGGGATCTTCGAGGTCTGTTGGAACAGGGAGGGCGACAAGATCGCCGCCTGCTTCTCCGACAACACCGTCTGCGTGGTTGACTTCCGAAAGTAGCTGACCCACTGGTCAACCTTCATCTGGGAAGAAACCTTGGGATGGGTTTGGTAGGAGGGGTTTAAAACTGTACAGATTAGTTATTTTTGGGAATGAAGATGGCGTCTTTGCATGGGTTTTGCGTTGACTTATTGGGGTAAAATCATCGCAGGAGAAAGCGACGACCTTTGCCCTCTCTGTTTTGCCTGTCTCAGATTGAGATGGTCTTCCTTTTCTTTCTTCTTTTCCATATTTTCTAATAATATGCTTTATCTATCAATTGATATGGATATTTCCTTTTGGAGTATATATATATATATATATATATATATGATGGTTCTTGGGCCAAGACGGGTCCAAAAAAATGTCCAAAAGTACCCGTTATATGCTAATTATAGGAAGAAAACATCAGAATTTCCCGCCTTCCACGAGTATCCATTTAGAAAATTGTATGAATGTGAAAAGTCTATATTGCCATTCTGGTTGGTGAGAACCTTGGGATGCTCATGAGTGTGGGGATGTTATTGTCTACGTTATTTTGCTCCTCTGACTGAGGGTAAAAATGTCTTTTAGTATCGTATGGACAACGGTCGTTTAACGAGAGGGGGTGGACAGAGCTGAGCAACACCACCTCCCCGATTCTGGGAGCAGCGGGGGGCATGTCCTCCTTGTCCGGGGGGCCCTCCCCCATGGCAACTGCCGCCGCCGCCGCCACTATCTCGCCGCCGGCCCGCCGGTCGACGCCCCTTCCGTCGGCGGACCTCGCCGTCGCCTTCATCGAGCGGTGCGGGGACGCGCGCCGCCTGCTGCAAATCCACGCCGCCGTCTTCCGCGCCGGCCTCCTCGACCACCCGATCGTCGTCTTCAAGCTCCAGCGCCGCTACTCCTCCCTCGGCCGTCTTGACCACGCCAGAGCGCTCTTCGGGCTCTCCCCAGATCCCTCCGTCTTCTCCTGGACCGCCCTCATCCACGCCCACGCCGCCGCCGGCCGCCACCGCGACGCCCTAATCTTCTTCGCCGAGATGGCCGCCGCCGGCGTCCAGCCAAACGCCTTCACCTTCTCCGCCGCCCTCGCCGCCTGCTCCCTCGCCGCCGGCAAGGCCCTCCACTCGCAAGCCCTCCGCCTCGGCCTCGCCGGCGACCCCTACGTGGGCACCGCCCTGCTCGGCGTGTACTCCCGTGCCGGCGACACCACCGCCGCCCGGCACCTGTTCGACGCATTGCCTAGCAAGAACCTCGTCTCCTCCACCGCCATGATCAACTGCTACGCCAAGGCCGGTGACCTGTACGCCGCCCGCGCAGTGTTCGACCGCACGCCGGCGCCGGACGCCGTCTGCTGGAACGCCATGATCGACGGCTACACCCAGCACGGGCGGCCTGCCGAATCTGTGGCCCTGTTCCGCCGCATGCTGCGGTCCTCCGGCGCCGCCATGCCCGATGAGGTTACTCTGCTCACGGTGCTCTCCGCCTGCGCGCAGCTCGGCGCCATGGAATCCGGCAGGTGGGTCCACTCCTACATGAGCACCCGGTCCATCCCGATGACGGCGCCGCTTGGCACCGCCCTCATCGACATGTACAGCAAGTGCGGCAGTCTGGAGGACGCCTGCGCAGTGTTCGACGGAATCCCCCAAAAGGACGTCATCGCCTGGAACGCCATGATCGTCGGACATGCCATGCACGGGAACAGCAGGGAAGCCCTCGCGCTGTTCTCGGAGATGCTTGCCGCGGGGCTAAGGCCGACGGACATCACCTTCGTCGGTGTGCTCAACGCCTGCAGTCACGCGGGGCTTGTGGCCGAGGGCCGCGCGCTGCTCCTTTCCATGGCAGAGCGGCACGGGCTCTTGCCGAAGATCGAGCACTACGGCTGCGTGGTGGACCTGCTCGGCAGGGCGGGGCTGGTGGAGGAGGCCTACGAGCTCGCGCAGGCCATGCCGGTGAAGCCCGACGCCGTCGTGTGGGGGTCCCTGCTCGGGGCCTGTAGGCTCCACGGGAAGGCCGCTCTGGGGGAGAAGATAGCCGCCTTCCTAGTCGCCGCCGGCGAGGCCAACTCCGGCACCTATGTTCTCCTATCTCACATCCGCGCCGCCGCGGGGGACTGGGAAGCGGCGGCGAGGGTGAGGATCCTCATGAAAGACGGTGGCGTGCGGAAGGAGCCCGGCGCCGCCGCCATGGAGGTGGACGGGCGGCTGCACGAGTTCCTGGTGGGCGACGTGGGGCACCCGAGGAGCGCCGAGATCTACGCAGAGTTGCAGGCTCTGGGGGTGCTGCATGAGGAGGGCGCCGCCGCCGCCGGTGGGGTGCACAGTGAGAAGCTGGCCGTGGGGCTGGGGCTGATCAGCACTGCTGCGGGGACGACGATCAAGGTGGTGAAGAACCTGCGGGTCTGCGCCGACTGCCACGGCGCCATGAAGCTCATCTCGCGACTCACCGGCCGGAAGATCGTCATGCGGGATCGGATCCGGTTCCACCACTTCTCCGACGGCTCCTGCTCTTGCGGGGATTTCTGGTGACCCAAAAGGGGGGTTTTTCTTCAAATAACATTATATATATTCATTCATCGGTGCGGTGATTCTTCTACAAATGTAATTTCAATAAAAGGGAGGTGTAGATAGTAAATTACGGATAATGTTAGGCCCAATAAGACAAATGGGCCTGGCGTGGGCCATATAATCTCAGACCCAATTTAGTCTTAGCCTAGTAACAGATAGTCCCTACCGGGCAGACTGGCCGTCTTTTTTGGGTGTATACACACGATTAAGCTTTTTCATGGGGATATAAAAATATCATACGGTGAAATGAGGGCTTCCATTCAAAAGATACCAAAAGGATTCAGATGAACAGCCCAGTGTACCCATTGGCCCAGACCCGAGGGGGATAGTTCCCTCCACTAACCTCTCTCTCTCTCTCTCTCTCTCTCTCTCTATCTCTATCTCTGTGTACCGTTCTCTCTCTATCAAGAAGATATTCCCTCTGTTCACAACCCAAATGGGTCATCCCGAGAGTCCAAGAAGGGCATCATCAGCTTTCTCTATCTCGAGATGAAGATTCCCCATGAGGATATGGGTGGGCCAGTAGGACATAGAAACAGTGAAGGGGAAGGACGACCTCTACTAGCTCATCGGTGGCCACACATTCTTAGCATATACAGCCACAAAAGTGGGGGTAGCGATGCTCTGTAGAATACCCACCTCAGGGCCCTAGGAAATACCGAGCATGGCCCGGAGAGAAGCTTAGAGAGCAGGACCAGGAGTGGAGCCCAGGGAAATCGGGCCGGCCCAAAACGGGCCATGGGCCCGGACAGGAGGGTGGGTGGGGCCCCACATGGGAGTGACATCTCAGATCGGCCTAGCAATGCCCAATTTGAGCAGGGCGTGGGCTATGATGTTACTGCTCGTTGTTCTCGTGGAGATATCTCTGGAGATCCACCCACTGGGCCGACAGGTGTTTGGGCAATAGATCACGAGAATCCGGCTTCGAACTGTAGTAACATGTTGCTGCCCATCTCTATATTCCCACCTCCGCCCAACCCCTGTTAGATGCCAAGAATCTCTCTCTCTCTCTCTCTCTCTCTCTCTCTCGCTCTCTCTATTTCTATCTAATAGCTCTGCTATCTATCTCTCTCATCTACTTTTGGAGGATGGAATGTATGGAAGAGGAAGATGACGACACCCCACACAGAGGGGTTGCTGTGGAGTCGTCAACCTTGTATTGTTGTTCTCCACAGAGATGTATAAAGATGGCCCAAGTGACCTGATGTGGACTACTAAAGGGGGAAGAGAGAGAGAGAGAGAGATGAAGGAATGGCAGCTATATAGACTGAGGTTTCCCTTCCCATCATGTCTCACCTCTTTCCTCCGAGCATCATCCCACCCTCTTTCTCTCACCCCGACGGCGATGCGGCCGCCCAAGGAACCAGAGAGCGGCGGGGGCGGCGCCGCCCCAAGCGGCGGAGAGAGCCACAATTCAGGGCCATGGCTCAGCCTGGGCCTCAGCCAGGACCCCACCGGGGGGGGCGGCGAGCTACAATTCAGGCCCGGTCTCCAGAGGGTCTTCTCCTGCAACTTCTGCATGAGGAAATTCTTTAGTTCACAGGCCCTCGGTGGGCACCAGAACGCCCATAAGAGGGAGAGGGGCGGCGCCGCCGCCCGGAGGCACCAGCGGCCGCAGGCGGCGGCGCCGCCCCTCAAGAAGCCCGCTCCAGAGACCCTGCAAGTCCAACCCCACTCACTTCCTCACACACCACAAAGAGGAGAAGCCATGGGAGCGGCAGCAAGATTCCATGGGGTTACCTCTGAGATGAGATGGCTCGGAAGCTTCCAGGAGCCGCCAGCAACCCAGCAGCCGTCCGAGCTGGACTTGAGCCTCAGGCTTTGACGCACCACAGTCCACTAGTCCACCAATTCAGTAGAGATCGAAATCCGGCCGCAACACCCACTAAGGAAACTAGCCGGATCAAGAATGAAATCAGGTCTTTTCTTTTCTTTTCTTTTCTTTTTATTTTTTTTATTTTTTTTCTCTTTCTTCGAGTTCTATGACTAGTTCTCTCAACGAGTTTCACAGCAATAAGATCCTATAAATGGTAGGAAGAAGATGTATAGTTTCATAGTTCCTCATGCTGGTCAATCTGTATAATCACACCGAGCAAATGACTAATATTTCACATTATAAGAAGCATATGAATTCAAGGATTCATGAAATATATTAACATCGAATCATACCCAGAGGCAGGGGGGGTTCAAGGTGATCATAGATGTTATACACGCTTACCACTGTGGCTAGAGAGAGAAAGTACCTTGATCCCTCCGCATCCAGAAACCTCAAGTGGTTGTCTTCCTGCATTTTTAGGAAAATCCCAAATTATAATTATGAAATGTATTGGATAGGAATCAAAACGTTTTAAAAATATATATATGGCATACAAAATAATAATACTAATAATAAATCAAATGAACTCTTCATAGCGAGGATCGTCACTGTGAATGGTTACCGGGATATCTTCAAGCATTGCTTCTCATGAGAGATGATCGGGAGCTTCTGGCTGATCTCACTTGGATCGCTGTAGGCCACACATTCAGATGGAATACCCTTCTGTCGCATTTAAGATTAAGATCAGCGCAGTTGACTTAAAAAAGATGAAGAACGGGAAGGAAAATAAATATGCATGGCATACGCATCTAAGTCGATCAATAAGAGTAAAATGATATGATTCTCACGAAACAATCTCTATTTATCTTAAGAGACAAAGGAATACATAATAATGATCAATAATAAAGTTCACAAATTGAAATCCGAGTCTATAATTTAATTTCTTGTGATAATCAGTCGTGTTTATTTGTTATTATAAATGCCCATTTTTCTTTCGTCGATTGCTCAACTGGTGAGATTGGATAGACGAGGACCTTGCCAAAGCACTGTTACTACCTTACCTGGTGCCGCCAGTATGGGTACTCATTTCCATGAATAGCTCTAAAACTATGGGCCATTTGGGTATTTTAATTTCAAAGCAATGATGAAGCTACATAACATGATTCAATGCACGGAGAAAGAAAAGTAAGAGATTAATCACAATAACATCACAATTCAATGAGTAGTGTAACTAGACGACTTGCAGCGCTACAAGGAGTGCAGATGTGTCGATTGAAAGCAATCTTCTGGCAGGACGATGTCCACTTACAAGAGATAGACCCTGGAAGGTTGCTTCTCTCCAGCAGTTCTCGCGAAGAACAGTTGGAGTGGCATCATCCTCATTAACGAAGGCACAAAACATCCGTGTGTCCCTCAGTCTCATAAGAACTCCGTCAACCCTTAGCTGGAATTAAAAGGAAATACTAAAGATTCAAGTTGCTGACCAAAGAGAATCAATATGTTTGATTGAGAACACAGATAAAACCAGAGAATAAATTAATTAAGAAAAACACCAGCTGAAGATGGGACTTTCAGTAATTACTTAAGAGATCAATGGCCAGATCTAAACGATTCAAGGATTTGGCAAATATTTCTTGGACTAGAGAGGGTCAGCTGGATCATGGCAGACCATTTAGCAAGTACACCTTATTTTTGTGAAATTAAAATATACATATACATTGATACATGTTATATAAATATATAAATACCCATAAACATAGACATGTACGTGCACTGTGAAGCAGAATAACGTACCCAGAAACGCAGTAGAAGAAACCAAGAGCTTGGCATTACTCTCTGCAATGTCAGGAAACAAACATACGGCATTTATTAGAATTTTTTCATGTTTTATGCCAGTAAATTTACCAAACAAACCCACGTGAGATTCAGAAAAATTACCACTTTCACAGTTAAGAGTGAAACTCCGTTATCTGCCAATTCATCTTCGTACAAGACGACCTAATAATGATTCGGCAAACAACAACCATGTGAAGAAGTAACATTCAGGCAGCACCCACTTGCATCTAGAACTTGGAGACCTACCTCATCATAGAATAGTATAGGTTCTTTTGCTCCCAATGCAACCAGATCTATCTGTTCGTTGCAATCCTCCCACGTTAGTTGACATTGAGAATCATCAGAAACTGACTGCGTTATACGGCGAGTATTAGTAAAGTGTCCAGGTAACATTTATAAAATTTCTTATTCTAGTCTGAGAAATAAAGTTTTCCTCTCTAATATTTATTAAGTGAGTTCTGATCTACAAAAAGAAAGATTGAAGATTTTGTTATCTTGAATAGAAAAAAATTAGTGTGTACATAAAAATCGTCCAGGAGAAATAATATCAAAAGTATCTGAAAAGGAAGACACTTGGCAGTCACTAGGTGTTCAAATCATCAAATCACATAAACAACACAAAGTATTCATTCAGCATAGCCCTCTCCAAAATTTTCATGTATCACGGACAAACAATCCTAGAAATATGTCTACTTTGCTATAAGGTATGTAATCAATGCACAACAGCGAACAAATACTGTTAAAAAGTACGAGCTAAGATAATAGAAATTGATTATGAAACGATACGCGAGTTCTGGTTTACGCTAATGGCCTGTATGACATCAGATAAGCATTTTTCATGTAATAAATGATACTCGTAGCTTCGCGAGTAAACAACAAGTAATATCACACATGAATCTAAACGTGGTTCTGCACATCCTCAACCCTCATCCATCGATAGTTTTGACACGGATTTATTTTTAATAAGAATTACACTTTAATGTAAATATCATACGTGCATTTATCACTACATGTAACAACCTAGAGGTCAACACCTTATATGTACTAACCCTTTCTTGGTGAAGTGATTGATACCTAACAGAGAAACAAAGACTGAAATCCAGAAAAACACTCTAATGGTTGGCCACTCAGACAAAATGAAGAGTGATTGAAAACCCACAAAGCTGACAATTTGGCTCCAGAAACTAGGGCAAAATATACAATGTAAATCCAAGTGTCAACTCCTCCGGTGCAAAACAGAATCCAGCACATAGACTCGACCAAAAATATCATTGGATTGAGTGTGGCAACTCACTGGCAATTGTCATAATATATTGTACACAAAACCAAAAAATAAATAAAATTCAAGAAGACTAGTGTCTAATATTTTAGAATCTCTCTCTTACTCTCACTCGCATCAAGCACACAAGTGCATTCAACTTTTGTACGAGACTGATAAAACTCTAAAAAAATTTCAATCTCTTTTCTAGCCTCGTCGAACAATCTGTAAATTTGAGGTTGTTTTGTTATTTCGATGAAAGAGTAAACGAGCTATCAGGGAAGACTTGGATCAATGAGAATATTTGGTTAGCACCTTGAGCAACGTAGTGCACAGGTTGCAGTAACCTGATAAAATTTTCAAGTTAGGCTTGAGGAATAGAGTAGATTTGGGGTTTAACCAAAAGAGCATAAGCCGCTCGTGCTACTATGGAATTATTTCTCATCATGATATGCTTTTAATTTATCCATACAACTCGTACACAAAGGAATTTATAAACTTGCCTTGAGACCAGAAATAAGAAAAAAGAGTAGGTCAAAAGCTTGTAACATGCTATGGAAAAGTCAGAAAAAGAAAAAGGGGACGAAATGGAGACCACGTACTTTTATGCCTTGATCAATCTTCTCACTACCGCAATATGGAGTAGTGAATGTGTAGTCATAATCTAATATCACTTGTTGAGATGGTTTGCTGTGAAACAATAACAAGAACAACGGTGATCCACCTAGTAGCTCAACAAGCAATTAGAACACATAAATAACGAATTGGAGTACAACGTGTTGGCACCAAGATAATTAATATGAACTTCATCATGACTAGCTAAGATGCTCCAAGATGACTACGCATTCTGCTTCATATTTAAATCGAAGATTCACAGCAATTTTTACCATAACTGTGAATGTAATAACCTTTGGATGATGGTAACCAGAAGGGAGATCGGATAAACAAAATCGACATTGCAAAAAATATCGACATTGCAAAAAATATTTTATCTTCTGAGATAAATCTCTGAGATTAGATAGTAGACACAAAATATCAAGCAGGAGTAGGTCATGCTCTTTCGTTAGTATATGTTTCTAGAGCTGGCCGATTTTATAGCATAAAGATCAAGGACTTTCTCAACCAAAGGAGCACCCCATAGATGCACATCAAATATCTTGTAAACAGTGAGGCTATACAATTAAACTACCTGTAACAAGTTAATTGTCTTACCATCTGAATTTCCACTTTGCCGCTGCAGGGACTTCCACAGGCGGTAATGATTCTCGCTTCCACCCCTCCAGAGCATCAAATGCATTGAAGTGAATCTTAAAACCACTTTTCTCGTGTAAAAGGCATAATGAATTTTCTCCGAAAACCATTTCAGGTAAGTGCGAAGTTCCCAGCCTTTGTTCCCATCTGCAGAAACCCGTAAACAATGGCACTTGATCTCTAGAAATCACAACTTTGAATTTCAAATATTTTGTTCAGACAACATTCAGTTCATATTACAAAACAAAACAGAAAGCTCAAGACGTTTCACACAAAAACAGTCCCATGTAAAAAGCTAAAAATACTCAAATATTTTAAGTCTAGGGAATCTTTGGAAAGAAAAATATCAAACAGAATTTTATAAGTCTAGGGAAAAAATCCATCACTAAGAAAATAGCAGCTTGCAAGTAAACTTTGTCGAAGGAATACTCAAATAGGTTCAATCCCCGATCCAGAATATCATACACTTACGGAAACTATATCAGGATTCCAAAGAATCCGATTCAGAACAGAATGACTAGATATGAACCGGTGTCTGAGCCAACTTTTCACTGGATCAATAAAGAAGAAAAAGAAATCTAATTCAAACGATAAATGAATTGAAAATTATTATCACCATTCCCACATACCTCTCATGGAAAGAATACGGATTGTACATAAGATATTCTCAGTAAACCAATTATGACTGAGATCTAAGCTTACAAGTATGGGACTTTTTGATTTCGATATATGATATCATCCAGGAGTTGGTCCTTATGACAATATCAGCTGCAAAAAGAAATATGTAGAACCTTAACTGGACAAGACAATTCTAGGTTCATCTAATCGTTTGTTTGGTTCAGATGGCATTATATCACAAATTAATATTTTTTTCTTTAGTTTATGTTCTCAATACAATCTGATTCTCTCCAGTCATCTAATCTAAAATCCTGGGTTAGTTAACGGGAGAGCACATAGTATTTGCAATGGTTGAATCAAATCCCACGCATGCTCCACTCCTGAAACCTCCTCCTGGGCTTTTAATATACCTTTTACAAGTTGGATTTTCTACGATAACAACCAGATTTCACACAATCAAGCCATACTCAAATTTTAAGCTCGCTTGAACATAAGGTAAAATGAAAAGAAAGATGTACAAACCATCCTTTATGAATTAGCAGATCACGACAAGCTTAGAGTGCTTACTTGTACTATGGTGAAATCTCTTGGAAGCATGTGAGCATGCTGTGTCTATTTGATTCTGTGGAAGATTATTCATTATTTGCTATAAAGGGTTTTACATTGTCCCAGAATACAAGCACTCAGAGCAAAAAATTATGTTTACAACGGCTTGCTACTTTTTCCAACGGCCTCTTGAAATAGTAAACTTGAACGTGCAAACATCCGAAACTTAATTTCCGACTCTTCCATGCAAAGTGCCAACACTTTTTTCATTTAAAATGGATAGTGGGATAAATTCATTCAGAGTAGAAAACAGACTAAGACTCTAAGAACAACTCTCTATGTAAGAGCAATAGACTATGTCAATATGGCACAAGATCATTTGCGCTCTAAATGATCTTCAAATGGTAGACATCTCCCCTTTCTCACTAAAATTTACTTAAGCCCAATCGTTTATCCTTGTGAAGACAAAGATAAAAAATATTCTAGTCGAGAAAATCACATATCCAAGCCTATGGCTTGGGCATGCGATTCCAGCATACACACGTTTAGACACTGCTCGTTTCGAGCTTTCAGGATATACTTTCAATCATACAGATCGTGGTTCGGAACCCTAAAAAAATAGAAGCTCTGCAACACGCAATAAATCTTCCCTCTGAATAGCTCCATAAAAAACAGAGGCCTTCATCAAGAAGGCATATTGAACTAAACCAAATGTGGCGCAATGCTATCATAAAATTTAGATAACGTGTTCACTAATCAAAACCTTCAAGAATGTATGTTTTCACCTTACAGTTAGCAACTCAACAGTGAAAACTTTATCCCTCCATTTCAACGAAACGTTTATATTTTTCGCGAAAGATAAAAAAACAGTAACCCGCGAGTGAGCTTCAACAGCATGTGAACTCCCTCGTGTGAAAAACATGGCATCACCATCCCGTCGAAAAATCTACGATCCAGCAATCCTAGAAAAAGCCTACAACAATCTGTTTCTGAGAAGCAAAACAGTTCCATCTATACAGGTAAAACATTGACAGGCAGGAAAAACACTCGCATACATCTGCGCCACCGAGGTATGCTTTGTATAAAGAGGTCAAAGACGACAAGCTACCCAACACAGTCGACAGGAAGAAGCTTAAGGGTTTGGCATGGCGTACTCTTCACGCTCAGCTGAGTTAAGGATAAAACGCTTGCAGGACTCGATGACCCAACCCTTAAACCGCACACCGGACCGCCCCTCCGGAAGCCGCTCCCCCCCAGCCGCTTTCAGATCCCTCTCCTCCGCATCGCCCGCGCCGTCCTCTGCCTTCCGTTCCGCCATCTCGATCCTCCCAGAAGCAAAAGTCTCCCTAGGCGAGGCACCAAATTCACCGGTTTGATCGTCTTCGGATCTGTTTCAACGGTACGCCATCGCCATATATATATATAGACACTCGAAGAAAAGCCCAGCAAACGTATTCCGGGCCGGCCCAATAACCTGATCCCTCTCTCGGCTCGGCCCGGCCCGGACATACCGTTCTGACAATGGGACAAGAGATAGCGAGAGAGAGAGAGAGAATGTCAACTTGTGATGAATGAAGAACTTAGGCAGTCAATAATAACAATCTTGATTAAATTATATGATTTTATTTATTTTATGGATGTGTTGGCAATTATACCACTATGAGTATATTATGACATGAGCATTGATATTTATTGATATTTAATTTTTAATGTATATTTAAAACTGTTAATTTTACATTGAACTGTTAAAAAATTGGTTAAGATTATTTCATGTCATTTAACCCGGATTACTAGATCCTATTAGTAACCAGTTTATGGTCAGCACTACTGGTTAGATATATATATAAATACATACATATATATATATATATATTAGATAATTATCTAGATATATATATATATATAATTAGATAGAGGGAGAAATCGATAGAGAGAGAGAGAGAGATGCAGCTAATTTACATGTACATAAAATCAGAATTAGTACACATAATTATCGTAATAACTTAATCAGTGTTTACAATAACATTAGAATTAGCGAGTGGTGTCTCCAAGCAGAGGAGCAGGTCAATGATGTACATAATTGACAAAAACTATCATACATGAGATGATAATGGCCAGGGGGAAAGAGAAAGGGGATAATAATCCAACGGCCATGGATGGGGTCAGCAGTTCTCATCGATCAGAATCGAGCAGGGGAGGGGTGCCTCAGCTTGGGCACCTTGAAGGAGGACGAGAACAGCTTTGGGCTGTCTAACGCTGGCATCGATGTCAGTGACTTTCTCTTTGAAGACATTCTCAGACCCTGAAAAACAAAAGGTCAACGCATCAACTCGGATCTTACAACCAAATTCAAAATCCTCCCGCAAAACATTCCATCATTGCAGTGTGAATCCACAAATAGTCAATCAAATGAAGGAAAATGAACTTATTTAGAGCCCCAATTTCCTACATTCGGTAAGAGAACTCACAATGAGAGTTCATGATTTCATGCATCACAAACCCTCAAAAGTCAACGAGAGTTGTTACATGAAATCCAAACCACAGAATAACTGGTTTCTGTGGAGGGGTGTGATCCCCAATACAGAATAATCCTGATTTTTTGAGTCAGAAAACTGACAACAGAAATCATTCGTCTTCTTACTCTAAAAATCCTCAAAAAGTCAACCAAACAATGGCTTCCACGAATCTAAACCACAGAATAATGGGTTATCGTGGAGGAGTGATCATTCGTACTTTTTAAAGCCTGATTCTGTTAAAACAGAGAAGAACCAAAGTATCACCCTATCTTTAAAGGTGGGTGTTCAGATATCAGTTTTTTTCAGGAATAGATACAGAGGACTTACCGAGTCAGCTATTCTAGATCCTGATGAATCACAGTGAACAATGCTACTCCGGCTTGCAGAAACCCCCTGGCTCCTCCCCTTGGACACTGAGCGTCCTGCAGATCTCCTTAACAAGCTCGCTTCCTTCGAGGATCTAGGCATTTTTTTGCCGCTGGACTTCCTCGAATTGGCCTCTGTTCTAGCCAATTCTCTCTGCAACTTGGCAATCATGGCATCCTTCTCTCTCACAGAAAACTGGAGCTTCTTCACCTCCTCGTCGTTCATCGAAGCTTCCCGGGTGCGGCTTCGCAAATCTACTTCCATTCTAGATACATCCGCCCTTAGATTGGAAATCATCTCCTCCTTGTCAAAAACCGACGACTGCAACTTCTCCACGGTGGCCTGAAGCTTCTCCGCCGCTTCATTAGCCTGGTTGACCTCTACCTGCTTGCTCTTGAGGAGTCCAGTGTACTCACCCTCCATCTTCTTGAACTGATGCCACACGAAGTCCTTCTCCGCCAGCAAAGCAGTGACCTCAGCTTCCTTCTTGGCGCTGAGCTTCTTGTAAGCCTGCTTCCAGTTCCTCGGCTCCGTTGAGCCTGAGCAGAGATGGCCATCATCCTGCTGGTTCTCTCCTGAACTCATCGATCTCATGTCACCTTCGCTACTCTTCATCTGCTCAATATTCCCCTGAAAAAAAGGTAAAAATAATCACATGAAGGTGTTCTAGATAACAATGTCGAAGCTTTTGTTCGGGGGTGGGGATGAGTACCTTCAAAAGAGAGATTTCACGGTTCAAGGTTTCCACGCATTCATGGAAATCTTGCAAATCGCTCTCCGTATTCTCTATTTGAAGAGATGAAATAAAATCAAGTAAAAATAATAGAATAATGGAAAAAAATGCAAATTACTGAGTGACTACAGAAAATGGATTTAATATAAAGATAGCACAGAAAAGAAGATAAAAGAAAATAATAAGGTAAAAGGAGATCAAATTTTGAGTACAGATCTAAGCGGGAACAGAAAAGGACCTGGAGTTTCAGGTACCGCCATTGCTTACCGAATAGTTCCTTGCAGCGAGAAACCTCCATCTGTTTGAGTCCGAGCATGAGATCCAGCTTGGCCGCGTACGCCAGACGCTCCATCTCTTCTACCTTCTTCATCTGCATGAATTTGGGACAACGGATGGCATCATAACCCGGAGGAGGACGATAGAAACCCAACATCAACAGGCGATAGGAATGATCATCCTCCGTCCTTGCCTGAGCTATTTGGGACTCCAAGAGTTGAGCCTTGGATTCCCATCGATTATGCTGCAATAGGACATAGTCCTGAAGAAACTTGCGGTCCCCGGCTAGGGTTTCGATCTGGCCCTGTCGCTGCCGCAGCATCTCCATGAGGGCCGCGAATATCCGTTCCCACTGCCGGCGCTCTGAGGCTGATGCCGACGTGGGCGGGCACAGCGAGGGAGGATGAACTTCGGACACCATGCGTGACCCCGAGAGGAGATCGCAGAGAGACGTTCAAGGGAGAGAGAGACAGACAGACAGACAGAGACAGAGATGACCGTTGCTCCTTTTTTAAGCTCTGAAACCAGGGCACCGTTTGAAATAAACGGGGAGGAATGGCGGCCCTTGCAGCTTTACTACGCCTCTTTCAAAAAAATATCATACGTACCCTCATATAAATATAATTTGCTTTAACATCCCTGCAGGAAAAAACCTCGACTCTTAACCGCCACCAATAAACTTGAGACACGTCTCACTCCATCACTCAAAGCACCAGAAAAGACGGCTTCTATTGGATCCTCTCTCTCTCTCTCTCTCTCTAACCTCTAAGCAAGGTACAAAATTTCCCCTATTTTCAAGTAAAATTAACCCAAAAAAAAGGAAAGCAGGGACTAAATAGCAATAATTATTTATTTTATAAGGAGTACGAGGACAACCCGAAAAAGAGTTTTCAGACGAGACGTCATCCCTCCTCCGTATTGCCGGCGCGTAGGGATTTTTTTTTCTTTCTAGAAAGGCACCTCGGGACCGGTAACGTGTGCCGCAGGAGCATCAGACACTATCCTGAACCGGCAGTAGGGGCAGTCCCCGCAGCCCCGCAGCCAGGGGCTGAGACAGTCCCCGTGGAACTTGTGGCCGCAGGGGAGACGGACCAAGGAGTCTCCTTTATGGAACCTTTCCAGGCATATGCAACACTCCGGCGGCCCGGCGGCGGCGCCGCCGGGACAGCCGTAGACTTCGCGCGGCAGGGAGCCGACGGCCTCCGCCTTGAGCCCAGGAGGCTTCCGAGCTTCTGCTTCTCGGGTTGTCGAGTAGATGAACGAAGAGCTCAGCGGCGGATCGGCGTCCCAATCCATGGCGCTGAACTCCTCCTCCCCTCCGCCCGTTTCGGTGCTTTGCCTGGAAAGAAGAGGTGTGGGGGAGACGTCACACGATGGAGGAAGGAAGATATATGGAGAGAGATAGAGAAGTATGATAGTTCGGGTAGAGAGAGAAAAGGGGAAGCCCTCACATTTAGGGAGGAAACGAAACAGAAATCAGAGAGACATAGAGTGAGAGATAGAGAGGAGAGAGGCTGACCTGGTGGTTCCTGAGAGAGAAACGCCTCTGAGGCGCTCAAGGAGCCTGGCTCGGGCCTGAAGCACGGCCCCGGGAAGCCGGTCGATTCTGGAGAAGCTTGGCAGGGAGTTGCTGGAGCTTGGGATTTCCCTGTTGCCGCTGTTCCCCGCACTGGATCGGCTCGTCCCCAGGCCATCCTGCCGGAGGACCTCGTGCTCCTGGTGGAGCCACACGACGAGGGTGAATATCAACAGTAGGCACTTTATTCATATTTTTTTCTTTAGAAAATAAAGTCAACCTAAGAAGGGTCAACCCGAGTCCTCAAACACATCACAAGGGTCGGTGGAGAGAAGCCCGGAAGAAAACCCGGACTATCCGAAAGAGGGAGAGAGAGAGAGAGGGATATGAAGACGATGGGTGGAGAAGAGGCTCACAGGATCAGCAATGCCACTGATCCAATGTAAAATCCTAAAGTTGATGACTTACATTCCCAGTATCTGTGCCCTGATTAAAGTTTTCATCTTATATCCCATTTGTGCTGGTTTTAAAAGGTAAGCAACCTCACACCAGGAAATCAAAACCCATCATAAACCTTAGATACTAAGAAATAAAATGACGTGAGAGACGCAATAGCTTACTGGAAGTTCCACGAAAGATGCATCCATCAACAAAGAGTGGTAACAACTGGAAATACTATGGAGAAGACAATGGCAGGTATCGATGGGCATCATGAGAATCGGATTATAAGAGCTTCAAGAACGAGAGAAAAAAGTGAGATTACATTTCTGGAAAACAAAAAATCACACAGGCATTTTTCCATAGTTCATCTCCCCGTCTCTGAAACACTTGTGGAGTACCTTTTTCTCTGTTGCATGGCATCTATAATCTGATATAAAATGAGATTACGCTATTCTAGCATGTTGAAGGTAAAATATTAATCAACCATTGCAGATAATTTATATAATTTAGATCACCTCTATCATTCTCATAGCAAACGGCTCTCCATCAATTCTAGTCATGGGAAAGTGTTGTAGCTTCCAATAAGATAGAAAGAGACACCCATTGCTTGCAGATGCCTTGCGATTGGTGTCTGCTTAGCAATTGCCTTAACTGTTCTTCACTCTCGGGTTTGGTGGAAAAGGATCTGACCCATGTGACAGCATGAAGGTTGCATATAGAAACAACGATGGTGGCTCTCCAGCACTCTCTCCCAGACCCTAGAAGTGATTCTCCAATCTTCTGTGACAATATGCGCACGCTAATAAACCCTGCTGGGTCTTCTGTAGCCCTGGATGCTTTAGAACACCCAGACCTAACATCCATCCTCCTTTCAATCCTGGATATGAATCTATTGGCCACAATTTCAAAAAGAATCTAGATATAGATAACTGACTCCGACATCAGATTTAACCTTCAATGCACCGCCATGCTTTCCACTCCAACAATTGTGACTCTTCTCATTCCTAGGTCAGACGGGGAATGCGATGATAACCATAGAACTTCATTTAATTGTAGAACCAAAATTATAGGAGGTAGTTGCAAGTAAAATATGGATTCAGGCGTCCCCGCTGTCTACATTGAAAAAGGTATATGGATCAAATATCTTGCAGATAATGACTCACATGCAAACCCAAGGTTTATGAGGAGAATTTTTTGAACAGATTCTGCTCAAATACTGGAAAACGAGCAGTCGGCAACAATAATTGCGACAATTTGACAGATGGCAACCAATATGTTCAAGCCGATGGAATCCCAAATTACAGCGAACTGGAAACAATGGACCTTCGTATCAAGAGGTTACTTCCCAGCTTTTTTAAAAAAAAACGAAACCAAACAGTTTGACCATATAAATTTAACAACAGATTTCCACAAAGGGGGAAAGCAGGCAGGAAATTTTGTTCCGTTATTAGTTTGAAATTTCAACTCTGCGCCGCAAAACTCCACAATCCGCTCATCGGTCCCCGGCATAAACATGGAGTATCGAGATCGGGAATCGGTAGATTGAGTCATCAGAGGACTCCAAAACACTGACCGTGTGGGGAACGCCTTGGCCGAAGTTCCTGCAGAGATGGGAATGCCCTCCGCGAACTAAGTGGCGGAGGGAGCGGGAGCAGCCGTCGTGATGGTAGAGCCGATTGCTGCGCTGCAGGCGAGACAGGCAATGGTGGTGATCCCGCTCCCGCTCACGGCCTCGATCTGCATCAGCGGCTGGGGACCGAATAGCCGGCTCCGGCTCCCGAACGGAGCGAAATCTCCGGGAATAGAAGAGCTCCGAGGCGCTCGTCATCCACAATCCTCGGCGATGGCGATGAGAATGGGGAAATCCCCACAGTGGCGCAGATGCCCCGGGAAGATCTGTGGAAGCGAGTCCCCCCCCTACTGGTTCGTAACCCTTTCCTCGAGGCGTTGCAATAACTCGCGGGCGTAACGTACTCCATCACAGAGGTACGAATATCACCGTGTCCAAGCATATTCCGACGGAGTATCTAGCGAACTAGGCACGTGCCAAGCTGTACAACCTATCCGACGTGGAAGCCACGTGTAACATCCCAAAGTATCTTGAACCGGCGAGTTTTGTGGAATCAGCCGATCCAACCCGGATCTGTCCCCAATAAAAAAATGAAATAGTAAAAATAATAAGTGAGAAATAGAAGCCGCCGCGGTTGTGGGACCCATTCGGTCCAGATTAGATACCGATGGGCCCCAAGCTGATGAGGTGGCCAGGGTAGCATGCCACATGAAAGGTGAAATGCCACGTCAGAAGTGGACATTATTTGGGAATAGCACAAACGACCGTTACAGTAATAATATATTTTATAATTATTAAGTACAAGCGAGTAGGCTTTGAATCAATGGGCACCTGAAACAGAAAAGGGAAATCAAGGGGGTTTATATGTCATTCAACTATTTTGTAAGGACTAAAATAAGAATCTCAAAATTATAATGATTCCCCTAAATCCTTTTATTGTTTTATTGACATAATATCCATAAAGTATATGCTTTATAACCCAAACATCAATATTTTTCATATAATTCTCATTATATGATGATTCTCAGGCCATATTTACTTATTTACACGTCATTTTATACTCTCATTAACCAAGTTACAGGGTGTCATGTACAAGTGACAAGTCAACTCTGTTGAGTAGCTGGAGTTGACAGTGTAAATGAAATTGGTGCTAGAAGTCAACACAATATATCATCTAAAAGTCAACCAGGAGATTCATCTTGGGAGCCTTAGACCTGGAGGTTCTTTATTGACTTTTGGGAACGAGAGTCTGGATAGAAATAATGATTTCACCCCTCAGAAGACAATAATATATCGAAGAAAAAATTAAAAAAACTGCGCTTTCCACCTCCATCTGCACTTTATTTGACCTTCCTCTCTGTTGCGGTCAATGGCTTGCTGACCATTTTCGGAAACCATAGAAACAAGCAAGAACGGAGTCAAAGCCATTGACTGTGTGGATCTGGTCAGAACTGGGTCACAACATTTTCTTGTGAAGATTAGCACGATTTTGGGAATTCCTGGGTCTCCTAGATGACTGGAGCGGTCAAGTCAAAGGGTGAGGTGAGATCTTAGGTGGGGGAGCAAGGAGACCAGCGTTGACCATATAAGAAAAGCTAAGGTAAAACTTTGACCAGGGGAAGGAGAAAGTTATCTGATCAGGAAATGAGATGGAGGTTTAGACTGATGGGTTTTTAAATGGGAACGATCACCTGAAAAATCAGAGGGGTTCATCTATCTAATGCTTGGATATTTTTCAGGATGCAACCAAGAAAAATATTGAAAGTGCTGAGAAATACCCTTCAATAATCTTCATAACTATATGAACAAAACATAGGAAGCCTGGAAGAAACCAACCCAGAGCCCGTAATCGATCTAACTTGGATGAATTATTGATGGTTTATGCAAACCATGCGGGCAGTTTTGGCTCGAAATCTGGTAGAAAAAAGGGAATATCACAAATTATATCATGCAATGATGATGCTCCAGAAAAAAGATGAAATCATGATCATCACATGACTGTCTGATGAAATCATGTCATCAAATCATCAAATCAGGAAACATGAATATTTAGTGGCCATAATCAGGCCTAAAACCATGAACTAATCTCCAAATTAGTCTGGATGAAATCTGGTAGAATCACTGCAAACCGATTCACGTGGGTAAGAAAAACAGAAGGGAATATCACAAATTATATCATGCAATGATGCTTGAGAAAGAGATGAAATCATGATCATCGTATGACTCATCAAATCATCAAATCATGAAACATGTATATTTAGTGGGCATAATTAGGCCTAAAACCATGAACTAATCTCCAAATTAGTCTGGATTAAGTTTCTAGAAAATCCCTTCATCATTTCTTCGAATCTTGCCCAAGCCCAGGACAGAAGCCATGGTTGAGGCAAACGGGCCCATCTTTTATGGGTCTGAGGGGATCACTCCGAGTCGCAAGATGCCTGGCATACAGGAAGATAGTACGTATCTAGCTGCCAATATTTGTGTCTCACGCCGTCCCATATTTCCTCAGATAAGCAATCCTTGACAGGCAGTGGAACATACTGCGTCGAAAAGCCCAGGCTTCCGAGTTCAAGGGACACTAGCTGGCAATAAACCACGTGAAAAAAGGCATTGCCTCCGCAAAAGCCATTGAAGTACGAGTAGATCCCACCAGGTTTCAACAATTTAGGAAGCTGCTGATGAAACTGTTTCTGATCTTCATAGTACTCTCCATAAGTGTCAAAAAAAATCCCTGCGCCAAAAAACTCCCTCAGCCGCTGTTCAGGGATTAAAGAGCATAAATTCCTCAACCAGAGACTTGAAATATGGATGATTAAATCATTAGAAGAAAAAAAAGTCAACGGTGAACTACCATTCTACACGTTTTTTTAAAGCGCTTTTTAACAATGAGCACGAAGATTCGTGTATATTTTGTTTTTCAGTGGAACGAATATAATGAAATCAGAGTTTAAGGGCCCAATCTATGCAAAAAAAATTGAACCAGCGAGTGGTAACCTAGTGTTCAGGAGTAGTATGAATAAAAGTCATTTTTCTTTGGCACCCTAGATGAAAAAAAATTATATAAAGACCATAACAATGATACTCATATTTTGCAAATCCATGACAATAAAAAGAAAAATCTAAAATCTCGACACTTATGTTTCATAAATCCATCATAATCAAGAAATTTTCTAGAATCAGGATACTTCGGTTTCCCAAATCCATCACATTACACAAAACTCCTACTTAAGTCAGAATTTTTCTGCCATTTTACCACACACAACACTAAGGCAATTGAACTTCGGAACCCAGTAAAGGAGGTGGACTCTTCAGAATTGGTCTTTCCATCGTACTGTTCTTTCCTCAGCTACCCCTAAACTTGCAGTTGATACCACAGCCCAATTAAGACATCTGAATTTAGCAGTGGTTCTCTATGTTCTGTGTTTACATGTATCCTTGGGTGATGCGCAATAACCGACCACCAAGACTAGCCAATGCAGAAGAAAAAAACATTGAAAAAAAAATGATGAATAAAAGCTTCAGTAATGCAGATGTACACATTTTTTGTATGACTTAATTTCCAGTTACCATCGTATGATTCCAGTTGGGGAAGAAAATCCTGCCAGCGTCCGAATAGAATCTTCACGTTGTCCTTCTCTTCCCAACCAGACTCAATCATCCTCTTGTACACATCCGGATGGGCCTCGATAATCGTGTGTGACGCCGGCGAGTACCGCTGAATGGCCGAGTCCACAAGCCCCATCCCGAAACCGATGTTCAGAAAATGGCCGCCGTCGGATCCCCCACAGATCGCTCGGGCATGCGCCTCCATCAGGGGCTCCTCCCAGGCCATCATCACCGCTTTGCTCTCCGAGTCCATAACCCGGTCCTCGCTGAAGAGCACTCTCTCCTCGAGATACTTCTCCTCAGAGCCGCCACTGCCGCTTCGCCTCGCGACGGTCCCTAGAACCAGCTCCGCCTGTATACCCGCGTTTAGGAGAAGGTCGAACGCCTCCTGGTGACCGTTCTCCATGGCGAAGTCCCCAGCAGAGAGGCCCCCCGGGGTGAGAGCGTTCCAGGGGGCACCGGCCTCCAGGAGGAGCCGCACTGCTTCGGCGTTACCTCGTCTTGAGGCGTACATCAACGGCGTCATCCCATCTCCGTCGAAGTGGCAGACGTCTGCTCCGCCGGCGATGAGCTCCCGCAGCTTCGCGCAGTCGCCGCCGGCCATGGCGGCTTCGCAGAGCTGCTCGCCCTCCCCCGCCATCACACTCCCTTCTCAGCCCTCCATATGACCCGGAAGCCCGCTTCTATTTAATATCGGACCTGAATTTGGATTTCGGATCCTAAATACAAATACTATAGCTACGATTACCTTCAGTTTAGTTACCGACCTCCTGATGATCTCTCAGGGTTTAAGGTGGGCCCAATTTATTTCGCTTTATTTATTGATTTTGATGATGATCTAGAGCTTTCCATCGGTACTACGTATACCCGGCCCGAGAGAACGACTGGTTCACGGCTTCGGCAAGGCCTCCGGCGGGTTTCCACGCTGGTTCTCCGGTGACTCTTTGTACAGATTACGCCGGCGCCGGGGGGGCCGAAGGGGCGGGAAGGAGTTCTGGTGCAGAGGGAGCATGGGGGGAGGCAACGGCCAGAAGTCTAGGATGGCGAGAGAGAAGAACATGGAGAAGCTGAAGGCCGCCAAGGGTAAGGCGCCCACGCACATCCCCCTTCGCCCTCCGCTGCGATGGTTTGCGATTCTGCGCGGCATCTGTGGATCTCGTTCCAGTTCTGACCGATGGATCTGTTGACCAGGAAGCCAGCTGGAATCGAACAAGAAAGCGATGACCATCCAGGTTCCTATATTTTCCGGAATCCTGCTCTGTATTTTCCCCTTTTTTCCTCCATCCTTACCATCGACGGATCCGTTTTCTAATGGGCGGTAGGTTTTTCTGGTCGATCAAGTATTGATTCGGCGATGAGTATTGCGCTATTTTCTCTCGATTTGGTTGATTGACCTTCTCTGCTTTGTTGACGACCCTTACAAGATCTGTCTGCATCTGTTAGACGGAGACTAACCGGAGATTGTAGAGAACATCTGCTAGGCGAGCCAAAAACTTGGGAAACGATTGGGGAGCCTCGTCAGAGCCAATTTCTTCCTCATATTGACCAGAGATGTTTCTGTCTGAGTTTCTTCAAGACGCATTCAGAAAGGCATGCTGATTCAGGCCTTTCCTCCTCCTCTCAGTTAGGGCTGAACACGATCAATTCCCTTGTCCTTCAAAGCTTTGATGTCGTGAGACAGAGTATTCTCTTACAACTGATCGAAACTCTGATGTTTCTGTCCTCACACTTAGTCATTGAAACCGATTCTGTGAACCCCGATCTCACTTTTGAGGTGATGTCAATCTGTGGAATCATGTTAAGAGAAAGATGATGAAAGAAAATGAAGAAATGGGCTCCGATTTGTCAGTTGAAGGCCTTCCTTCGGCTGACTTTCCGTATCTTATAAAGAATTTATCCTCTTATTGAGACAGAATTGGCCTTGTTATTCCCGAGGAATGAGCGGTTAGGGTGATCATGTGATCATTTCTTTCCCACGAACAGACTCCTCGTGATTTTGTACGATGGAATACGATCGATTTTCCAAGTTTAGTAAGTGATTTAGGGGCTCAAGCTCAGAGGCTCCTCCCAGAGACTTTAATCTTGCTACCATTTCATCTACTGAATCACTGCCAACGCTTCTTTCCTCTCTGAGCGTAGACCACCGGGTCGCTTGCCAGGTGGGTTAACTCCGGGCACGTTAGGGGCCGCCAGCTTCTGCGTGCGGACACGCGTCAGAAGGAGATCCTCTCACGGCTTGTTTTCACCGTCGGACGAGTTATTTTTATAGTATAATGCAGCCGACGATATATTTTTGATCGTATCAAGCTAATCTAGTTGAACTCGTTCTCCGCAGTGCAAGGTGTGCATGCAGACATTCATCTGCACAACTTCGGAGGCGAAGTGCAGGGAGCACGCTGAGGCGAGGCATCCCAAGGTGGACCTCTCTCAGTGCTTCCCCCACCTGAAGAAGTAGCCGCCGCCACCGCCACCACCGTCGCCGCCTCCTCCTCCTCCTTTGTGAGAATTGGTGGTCTGGACCTCGCCGGCGCCGGCCATCGGCCGTGATGTGCCTTTTGGGTTGCTAGCTGATATCCGCGGTGATGTTCTTGTGTGTGCCCCCTGTTGTCTTGTCTCTGTTCTCTGATTCGTGAGGGTAACGGACCTTGTTGCTCTCTCTCTCTCTATATATATATCTATATATCTATCTCCTACTATTAATGGAAAGTTTCTTCAGAGCTGTTTTCCAAAGAGCCTATTTTTTTCTTGATCGTGGGCCGCTCAGGGTCACAAGGAAGTAGTTGCCTGGCCCGTTTGGGCCTCACGCTAGTTTATTTCTGGAAAAGATCTAATGTCTTCCTTCCGACAGTAGAACTCTCTTGAGTAAATGACAAATTAAGATGAACTAGCGATGGAAGTTTCCTACTTTGGAATTCCCGCAATCTGGGAGAGCCCCCACCCCACCCCTCTTCCCTTCCCTTCACGTCGTCTTCAGACTGAGGCAATGGAGCAGCCACGGCGGCGGCCTTAGCCCGTCCTCCATCTTCGTGTTCCTCGTGCCGGAGAAATCCGAAGAAGTCAACTCCGGCGACTGGAACAGACCCCATCGCCGGCGTTCCTTTGAGGCCTCGTCGTTCCCCTTCCTCCACCGGCGGCTCCCCGTGGCCAGAGTCAGCTCGATCTCGCACTCCTGATCGATTCCGGCGGCGCCGCCGGAGTAGTCCGCCGCCTGCCGCTCCAGATCGACTTCCAGCTCTGGAGGATCAGCTCTCCGTTTTCCCCCACAATCTCGGAGGTCCCTCATCAGTTTTTTCTGGATTCCATACAGCCTGTGGAGCTCAATGACCTGTGATTTTATGGGTGGCCGGAAGAAATCCATGAAACCCAGAGGAGGAGGACGAAAGAAGAAGACCATACAGGAGTGCCGATCAGGGATGTTTACCTGCTCCCTGAAGGTTTCCTCATGCTTCAGCATGGCCATCCTCAAGAACTCTCTCTCAGACTGCACCGCAGATCTTTCCATTAGAGTCCCGTAGGAGAAATCTTCCCAGAAATGAAGCGCTGTTCAGCCGGAGCTCCTGCTCACGAGGAGGAGAGCTCTCGCCGAGGGAGGACACGCTGAAGAAAAACCCAGATCAAATCTCTGCATCTTCTCACAAAAAAGACGAGAAAAACAGAGCAGAGAATCGTAATGGCGACCGGAACGATCTCTTCACCTGAGAGATTAAGATCCTCCTTCTCCACCGGCTCTCCGGCGTATGAGGCTCCTCCTACGACGTGCAGAGAGGATTGCAGCTTCCTCTGGATCAGCGGAGGTCGTCTGGGGAAGACGATGCTTCAGAAAGCGCCAACAGAAGAGAATCAACCTCGGCCAGTAGTCCCCACCTCCGCCATGGACAGAGATCTTCACCCACCAGACGATCAGCCACCTAATCTTCTTTCAGAGGCGAAGCTCCGTCTTCGGTCCCCAGCAATCCTTCCTCCTCTGAGCGCGATTCAGGAAACCCTAACCCTAACATACCCCACGAATGTCGCAGGAGGAGGAGACCATCCGGGCAGCTTCTTCTCCACGAGGGTGCAGTCCAGAGGAGCCAGGGAGGGCTTCTCTCTCTTGGCCGTTTGTAGGTGGCGCCGTTCAACGACTGTCAGGTGTGGGGAGGGGACCTCTCTCACTCGCTCTGAGCTCTGTTTTATCATACACAGAAACGATATTTTTAAAAAAGAATAAAATTATCGGCGTAAAAGGAACCTTCCAGAGATCCTTCCATAGATCCTTCCATGAGAAAAAAAGTAAAAGCACAATTTATTAAATATTAAACTATTTATTTTATATTTCCTATTGGAGGTCACGGGTGCGCCCATGTTTATAGCTGTTGACTCAACCCTTGGGTTTGAGCTGCGTGAGTCTCCTTGGGTCAGATAAATCTTGATAAAAGTCAAATCAAGGCTATTTTCTTTTTTGAGTATGATTTTGGGACCTTTGATTGGGTAAAATTAAGACTTGGCGCCGCCCATTGAACCCTGGACCCAGTTAGGCCTAGAGAGAGAAATGATGTTTGACTCTATATACCTGGGTGAAAAGTCAAAATAGTTTGACTCAGGTAAGCACTCTACGTCCGGTCAATTTTAGGGCATTACACTCTGTGAATATGAGGCCTCGAAGCTGGGAAATTACGGATTGATCAGTCATAACGAAGTCACATTCTTCGCCTGCCCCCCCATGCACTCATTAGGTGGCCTCTCTCTCTCTCTCTCTCTCCTCTCTCTACTTATCTATATATGAACAGATCTAACTCCGATTAATAAAATAGATGGTCAACGGGTTGTTGACCTACCCGTCGAGACTGGGATTCCTTCGGACCACCCACCAGGGCTCCTCTGATGAGATGCGGCGGCGCCGGGTTTCAGTTGGGCAGACGATTATGGTCTTCCGCTATGGTGACGGCCGTCAGGATCATCCAATTCCTCAAAGTCAACGCTTTGAAGATGACTCCGATAAACGTGGGGGGGAGGGGGGGGATGAACCTAGACGGAATCCGTATGACTCTCTCTCTAACTCTCTCGTTCTACGGGCAGGAACGTGGCCAGGAGGGCAGCTCAGAGAGAGATTCGCAGCCGATCTGTGGGGGGAGTCAACGAGTAAGGTGGCGGCAGTTGACGAGTCGTTGGAAGCTCAGAGAGAGCGGAATACCTCCAGTTCCAAGACTGCTGAGTTGGCTGGAGATTCCGAACTAGACACGTGGCCAGTCCTTTGTCCTCCAAGCACTCTCTCTCTCTCCTTAATACGGGTCCATTGCACTGCTCCTCGGCCCACTTTATGCTGACATCAGCTAACTGGGTCTGCAAGCGGACCCACTTTGCTCTCCTATGAAAATGGCCCACCATCGACCCTGCCAGCAAGCGCATAGGATACAAATCAGTGGCCCAATGGGCCGTTGACCGTTCATATCAGGTTAATATCGTAATTAATATTGGGCCAAGACCATATGGCCCACATTTGTTTAACAGGCCAGCTCTCGTTCTTCGACCCGCTAGTGTGGCCCATAATTGCCAATTATTTGTGGGCTTGCATAGAAGAAGACATTATGACCCAATAAAAGTGGGCCGGGACGAGCTCATTGTCTGTTTCTCTCTGTCTTTCCTCTCCGAAGGCTGTGTTCCCCGTTGCCCTCACTCCGCCTGAGACTGTTCTCGTTTCTTCCTCCACCCTCCTCAGCACTTGCTACCTTCCGCACGTCTCTCAGCCATCGGGATTCGATTATCCCGGCTGTAATCGAGAAGGATTGCCGGAGTTCGAGCCTCGTGTTTCTACCGTATTGGGAAGTTTCTTAGGAAGTTTCTCCGGCGGGCCTCCTTCTCGTGGTGGGTGGCCGGGTTAGCGGATTCCGACTCGTTGATATCCTTTTGCACCGGCACTTTCGGCGCGGCTACCTCCCTCGGAACGTCTCTCCTCGTGGTAGGCACGCGTCCGATACTATCCCTATCGTCTTGCCTTTGGTGGGAACTTCTTCCCATAGAATAAAAAAAAACCGTAAACCTCGTTTGCCCTAATATAATCGGTAATGATCCAGTTCCGACTTCACCCTCTCAGACTGAGTTGGATGCCTAACTCTCTGACTGTTTTTTTCTCTCCTGTCAATCGAACTCGTTTTTATACAAAAAAGGGAATTCTTCTTTCAAGTAGTTTTGTCTATTCCTCTACTTCACTGCAGCATAAAACTGACTTAATTTTCTTCTTAAGAGTATAAACCTGAGTTTTTATGAACGTACGTCTGTATGTTTGCTTCCTAGAAAGATCTGTACTAATTGTCTTATTCGACGTATGATTTTTACTATCACCGAAAATATTTTCACTTATGTTTTAATTTAAAGCTTTGCATCAGAGTTTAGAGTGCAGTGATTCATCTCCAGGGACGGAATGTGATTTTTGTTTTTAATTCCCTTTTTTCCTTTCTGATTTTCCTCTTCAGGGCCATTTGAAGTTGAGTTTCTTCATATTCATGGGGCAGAATCCATTTGAAGCCATCCTGAAGAACTACATATCCTTAGCTCAATGTGTTCAGACATTCGTATCGCGACTGCTCCCAGTGAACCGAGAAGAGAATCACAGCCACAAGCAGCTCCCCGCTATGAACTCCGCCGTGTCACTAGTGTTACCTCCCTCGCCCGGAGCATCCACCCAAACAGAGGATCCTTATCTCTTTCTTCAACCCAAAGAGGCTTCTTCAGACCCCACTTCCTCCATCAGGGTAATTTCTTAATGATCTTTAAGGTGCCGGTTCCGAGTTTCTTTTCAGATGTCTGATGCTTTCTATGGATCGAGCCCGTGAATATCAATTAATTTTGTTAGTTCTGCTGCGCTCTACAGGGAAACTATGTGGTGCCATTGACTAAAGAAGAACTCGGGAGGTGTACTTGGACTCTTCTTCACACGATCGCTGCACAGGTTTTTAATTCCGATTTTGTGATAATTTTCTGCTCGTCTTAAAATTAAAATATAACCCCATTTTTTCAGTTCATACGCGCAGGTTCTGCTATTATAGCAGATAACATAACATACATGATTTTTCTCCTAGTGATTTACCTCATCATGGCGCGATCATTTTTTTTTTCCGACTCTTTCCTTGGGGTGATCCAAATTTTCATCTTCAGTGATGAAAGTACACTGTGTATCAAGCTCCAGTGAAACTTGAGCAGCTTCACGACACGAGTGATATCTGCCCAGTGTTGGTTTTACTAAAGCAGATTAAGTTTTTGTCAGTTTTTTTTTTTTGAGAAAAAAAACTTACTTTATTCTTGGTCTTTATTACCCTTTTTGGAACATTTATATATATATATATATTAATTTTTATTTTATTTTCAGTATCCAGAGCATCCTACCAGACAACAGAAACGAGATGCTAAGGAGCTGGTAAGCTGTACGCCAATTTTCTGCTAGTCTTTTCCATCCACAATCATGAATATTTTCTTTTGATTGGGCACTTTAGTTTAGTCCACGGTGGGATCATGCAATATTAATTTAGCCGGGAAGAATGATTTTTAAAAACACTAAAAATTACTCAATTTTATGTGTAACTTAGTTTATTTTTTCCTTTTAGCTGTTTTTTATGTTATATTGCTGACTCGTCAATTTTGTTCCCTCTTGTTCTCTCTTTTATTATTATTATTTTCTCTTAATAGATGGTAATAATATCTCGCCTTTATCCCTGCAAGGAGTGTGCCGATCATTTTAAGGAAATTCTAAGGCGAGTATCTCTCATGATTTTATGGATTCTGCGTCTTTTTATCATATTTTCGTTTCATTATTTCGAAAACCCCAGAATTCTCCTTCTAGAAATAAACCCTAATAATATGACACAGAGAAAACTGGTCATCTGCTGTTAACTCTATGGACCTGCACTATTTCCCCCCCAACTGTATCCATAATATTATGATCCAGCGGTCTCTCTCTCTCTCTCTCTCTCTCTCTCTCTCTCTCTCTCTCTCTTGCTCTCTCTATCTCTCTCTCTCTCTCTCTCTCTCCCTGTCTCGGTTGAGTTATTAGACCAATACCCCAATAAAGTTATTCCCTGAAAAAGATAACTTTATTATTATAGTCTCTCTCTTTCTCTCTCTCTCTACTCCACTCACTTCTTCATGGCCGCAGAGCAAACCCCGTGCTGGCTGGGTCTCGAGAGGAGTTATCGCAGTGGCTGTGCCACGTCCACAACGTCGTCAACCGAAGGTAAGTTCGGTGGCTTTCTCTTTCTTCCTCGTTTACATGGAATCAAAAGGCGGAGCCTTTGACCTCTCCCTCCTGTGACAGCCTCGGGAAGCCGATATTTCCCTGCCGGAGAGTCGGCGCCAGGTGGGGAAAGCTCGGTTGCGAGGACCGCGGCTGTGACGTGGACGGCGGCGACGTCAGTCCCCCGTAGATTACCCCGACTCCCCTCTCTCTCTCTCTCTCTCTCTCTCTCTGGCGGCGCCGCCTAGCTCGTTTTAAGGAAGGAAGACGGATCCGGTGGTATGCTTATGGCCTCTCTGGTTATTTATTTACGGAAATAGATATATGTTTAATCTTTTGGTTGTCTGATATATCTTTTTTAATCGAAAAGGGGCGTGATTTTATGCCGATTATTTATAAGTAAATATGTTTATTTTGTGAGAATAAAAAGTATTTATTTGAAATTGAATTCGTCATGAAGGGCATTTTTTTGATTTACCGAAGAATAAATGCGGGTTTGTAGTGATTCCGGAAAATAATTGGATGATATTAATTTTACGAGAGCTTTTAAATAATAAATGATTCACCGTCGATAATATGCAGATAATCCAGAACGACACCCGATTGGGAGCTGGTGGCGGTCTTCTCTCCGTCGCCTCTCCCCCCTCTGATCTCCGTCTCGTGAAATGAGCTCCACGGCTCGCCATTAATGGCCGCTTTGGCTGCAGTGACTCTGAGAGAGAGAGAGAGAGAGAGAGAGAGAGAGAGAGAGAGAGAGGGGAGGGAGGGAGGAGGGGAGGCCTGCGATAGCAGGGGGCGAGGGCGACCCCTCTCGGCGCCATTTGGAGAAGCCGCAGGCGCCAGAAACGACGTGCCCGCTGAGCATCGCCGCCGCCGCCCCCGCATCTGCAGTGCCCTGGAGGAGCTGCCGACCTTGCTGCTCTACGGGGGCTCGAGTTCCACGCCTGCATTCAATTCTCTCCTCATGGCGCCTACAGAACCTCTCTCTCTCCGGGCAATGGGAGAAAGAAGGGTTTAGAGAGAGAGAGATAGAGAGAAGCGTGGTTTACAGAAGTTGCCAAATTTAGTGTGCTGCTCTGGTACGTAGGGGAGACCCTGGTCGTCCACTGCTTTGAAGAGAAGCCAGACCAAGCTCTAGAGAGAGAGAGAGAGGGGAGGAGGGGAAAGAGGAAACGAGCCGGGTAGAATCCCTTCACCGCCTGCTCGAGGAAGACGATGACGCCTCGCCCATTCATGGTTCTTCTCGCGCTCGCAGCAGCAGCTCTGGTTTTCTTCCCGACAGGCGGCGCAAAGGACCCCAGTAACTCCCTCAAACTCCTCACCGCCCCCTTGAGCCATCTCTTCCTTCTGCTCGTCATCTTCCCGAGCAGATTCCGTCCGTTGATCTCCTCCTGATCGATCTTCCCCTTCAATTGCCTGCAGATTCTGCGGAGCTTGAAGACTACCCGCCCTTCGACCCCGTGCCGAGCTTCAAGGCCGCCGTAAAGGCCGGCCCCATCGAGCACGGCATCCCCCTCATGCCTTACGTGCCGAGACCTCCACCGCCGCCGCCGCCTCCGCCGCCAGGTCGCCCTCGCCACGGCGGAGCTTCGTAGAGACGAGCTCTGAATGTGAGACCTCGTTTTGTTAATTACCTTCTTATTTTGGCCCAATGGGCCCGATCAGGCCCGGCCCGAAGCCCCCGGGTGACCGCTACTTTGTCTGTAGATCAATGAATGCTTGCTTTCTCCAGTCATAATTCACTAACGGGCCCTCCCATTGGGCCTGGTGAGGGGTTTACGGTGGAATGGGCTCGAGATAGCCCAGTTATGGCCCATATATCGGGCCATATAGTTTGGGGGACATAAATGATAATACTTTACGGGCATGGTCGAAATATAAATAAGTATTTCCACGCAGGTATAGGAGTATTTTCCCAAGGGAAAAGTGATTGGATAATCAGATAAGGTCATTCCACGTCGGAAGGCCGACGGATGGACGGAGGTGGGGCCCAATGATGTGTTACTTTACAGGAGAAGCCCACAGAGTCCAGATCGGGGGTGAGGAATCCACGTCATCGAGGGGCCAGCCTGGATTTTTTGTGGGCCCCACGGGTTGGAATCCGAGTCACGCCTTTCGAAAAGATGACGACCAGGCCTTCTTTCAGAAGAGCCGTCGAGTCGCCACCCCCACCCAACGACCGTCAGATCCGGCCCGGTATGAATCCGATTGGCATGTCCAGATTCTGCAAATTGATCAAATTGTGAGGGTTTTTTAGAAAAAAATACTCTCCCCCTCCCCTCTCCAATACTGGAAGTAACAAGAATATTTACTTAATTTTTGTTGAGTATGCAACAGAGATAGATGCCTGTTGACTGTGACTTGGACGTTGACCGTTGTCACTGTTTTGATCACGAAGCGAGCTCCCCTACTCGACTCCAAAATGACTAAAAAGGTAAAAGTTAGAAGGTCGTTCCTCTCTCTCTCTCTGTTCGTCGTTTTCTCTCTCTTTCGCGGCGCGGCGCCACCGATCGGAGACAACAGATAGGGAGGAAAGTTCGTGGCGGCAGAAAGAACAGGAATCCGGAAAGGTGTTGCAGACACTATTCTCTCTCTCTCTCTCTCTCTCTCTCTCTCTCGCTCGTTTGGGTCGCTCTCTGCGATTCGATTTGTTCGCTCTTATCTCGCATATACAACGCACAGATAGGCCCCTCCTCCGTCGTAGGGCGGCAGCGTCCTTGTCCCGTCGATGGGACAGCACCACCGGAACGGATCACTCGACGGCGGAGAGCCCCCCGCTTGCTCCGGCGAAGGAAAGAGAGAGCGAGAGAGAGAGAGAGAGAGAAGGCCACAGAGCTGCAAGACGGCGAGTCGCCGGATTACAGTGTTACAACCATCCGGCGAGGAGGAGACGACCTCCTCGCTTATGCAGTACACAGAGAACAAAATCCTTGGGGGCTCCTCCCCGAGGTTTCTCTCTCATCTCAGGTGAAGAGCATCAACAGCTTCTCCTTTTCCTCCGCCGTACCCGTCACCCTCCCCACGCTGTCGGCGTTCGTCGTGTCCGACTCTTCCGATGGCTCGACTTCTCTCATCTTCCCGTCGCCGGCGCCGGCGTTCTGCAGAGGAGTGAGGTAGAGGCCTCTCAAGACGTCGACTTTCTCTGATCTTTTTTCTTCGTCCACCGGTTGCGGAGAAGGTCTCCCGCCTCTGAGCACCGCCTCCACCGCCGCCTCACAGAGGTACCAGTTCCCCGTCCACAGCAGCCCCACCGCCCCATCCACGGGGTTCACCGTCCTCCCGCAGGCCTCGAAAAGGAGCGACCGGAAAAGAGCTGCCGGAGAATGAGGATGAGGAGGAGGAGGAGATCCCTCTTTTAGTTTCAGTTCAGTGGAGCTCGCTGGAGACATGGCGGAGAAGGGAGGAGCTTACCGGGGCGGAGGGACTCGGGGACAGAGGAGACGAACGAGATGAGACCGGCCCGGCCGAAGAACTTGGCGACGAAGAGGGTAGCGTGGGCCTGAGCTTCGGCGCTGTCAATCCACTGGAGGGAGGTTCTCAGAACGCAGCCCTCGCTGCAGCCCTTGCGAAGAACCCTGCACCCGTTACAGCTCATAGCTTCCGCCGCCGCTCCGTTGTCTCTTCGGCCGCCGGCGGCGACGGATCATCCACAGTCAGCCTCTTCCTCCTCTGGTGCAGATCGGAAGTCGTTGTCTCTGTGCCCCCCAGAGGGGTTTTCTTCTCTGTCTTGGCTGGGGCAGACGGAGGAGGACCGCGTCGCGAGCATTCCTTCTGCGAAGATATATGCATATATAGAACGCTGAATGGGGTTAAAGTAACCGAGGTGTTAACAGAACGCAGATGGTGGCGGATTATTCCCCGTAAATGGAAAGGTGTCCAAAAATCTGGGGACGAAGCGACGCCGGTTCTCCGCGGTCTCTCTCTCTCCTCCAAGTCAGCGTCATCTCGGGGGTGGGGCGGGTGGAGACCGTCTCAGTCTACAGTCGCAGCTGCCACCACTGATACTCATTCGTGCGTTATTTTTTTTTAACCGGTGATTAATTATTCAATTATTTAAACTAATTAGTTTATCACTAGATAATGTGGGCCCCAGGGCTAGAGCTCTAGATTGGGCCGAGTGGAGGGGAACTTCGGCCCAGCTCAGTCCGCTCTCTTCTTCGTCGGGCCGGAGTACTGTAAGATAAACTAGAGGAAGGGAAAGGCGTTCCGAGAAAGAAGGGTCGGCCGGCGGCGGCGACGCCGCCGCTAGGAGACGGAGTGCCTCGTGTTTCTCGAAGGCGTTAACTTGGGCTCCTCCATGGTTGCAGAGCCGGCGCTCTCGGACGTGTCGGAACCGCTGGTCGCCCTCCCCAGGTGGCCGCCCCTGCTGGACCAGATCTTGCTGAGGATCATCTTCGGGGTGAGGACCGCCGCTCCTACCGCCCGGTCAACGCCGCCGCCGCTGCTTTCGCTCCCTCCAGCAACCGATCTCGTTGACCTCTCCGCGACGGTGGGGACGCAGTCCCAGTCCTCGGAGGTGTTGGTCGTCGCAGCAGAGACGGAGCTGCCATAGTAGCCGCGGGTCTTCTCCGGCGAGAGGCCGCCGGCGGCGAAGAAGAGGACCCGGACGACGACCCGCAGAGGGAGACGCTCGTTCTGAACGGCGTGCTCGCGGGCCTCCGGCGACAGCTTCCGGCTGTCCATCACCCCGCAGAGCTTCTTCTTCTCGCTCTTGCTCAGCCCCGGGTGCTCCTGCTCAGACTAGAATCATCAAAACCAGGCTTCGAAATCTATGATTCATCTCAACAGATCGAATTTACCTTCAGGAACATGTCGATCGCGCGGTACAACCCATCGCCGACTGTTCTTGCATCCGCAGGAACCATCTCCGCCAGATCGAGGAACTTGCAGAGAGGGAGATTTGGGTCCCTGGAAATCTCTGTAAGGTAGCCGTCCACGAGCTTCCCGACCGTGGAGATCCGGCCAGGGAGCGACAGAGTTCCTCCATTGATCATCACAAATTCTTCCAGTATGCTCCGGACCAGATCGACATCGTACAGGGTCTTCTCCCCTTCCGGAGAGGGAATCAGCAGGTCAGAGACAGAGGCCCCGTCAAGCTGACGAGCGACCTTCTTGATCATCTCCTTCCTCCCCTCCTCCTCGCAACCAAGAACGCAAGCTGCTCTCAGAAGCCTGAGCAGGAAACTGGACGAGACTGAACCAGTCTCCGCCGGCAGCAACCAGATGATGGCCTCCACCAGTGACCGGTTCTTCTCGACGTCGGCCAACTGGATGACGCCCTTCGCAAAGCCGGAGACCCTCCGGTAGGTGTACGATCGCAGAGCCTCGCCGATCACCGGCGCCGCTGTGGTCCCCTTGGCCTTGACGGCGGCGATGACCCTCTCGAAGAGCTCCATGTCCAGATCGCAGAGGTCCTCCACCCACCAGTCCGGCGGCGCCGCCTGCGTCCTCCAAGCGCCGTTCTCCGGGGGAAGCTTCTTCCAGTTGTAGGTATAGGACCATTCCACCATGGAGATGTCGATGCAGACCTTGGAAGCTATGGAGTCCACGCAGCGGCCGACCAGATTCAAGTCTTCCGACCATGGAAGCAGGGCCTTGGTCGTCTGGAGGAGAACGATCGAGTCCTTCCAGGAGCGGAGAACACTGGAACTGAGGAAGACATCGAGCTTGAAGATGAGATTCCCCTTCTCGACGGACTCGCTCATGTCGAGATACGCCGCCGCGCATCGGGCGGCGACGACGTTGCAAGCGTTGAGCGTGACCGTCATCCCGTAGCAGAACTTGGCGCAGATCTCGAAGGCGGCGGCGCCGCCGGGCATGCCGGGGAGTCGGATCTCTCCGTCATTCTCCTCCTCAGCGAGGACGATCAAGTCTTGCAGCCGGCCGCATTTCGACAGCAGCGGAAACTGTAGATTCAGCAGGAAATCTGTGAACCAACGGATGATTACTGCATAGCAGATTACGATTCAAAACGATAATCGTACACAGATTATTACCATCAGTAATCTATTCCAGATTTTCCCCCATTTTCATATTCCAACATCATCATTGACTAAATGCTTGGAATATTGGAGGAGGATGATCTAACATCCGATGGGATTGAATTGAGGTTCAGGAATGTTTACCTTGTGCAGATAAAATTTTACATCTCCCACGCTGATGATGATGTCGCTCGCCAATTCAGTCGTCAGAAACCTGCAATCACGAGATAGACCGATCGATCGATCGGTAAACACTAATAAACAACTTATGCTACACCTAAAAACAGCAGCAGATGAACGATTATGATCGTGCATTTCAAAGCAATGTCGACATTCTTCAGAGATTAATCTGAACTCCTTATGCAAATGGCAGGCGAGCAACACGGTGCTGCAATGCAGGTCCGAAGATCGTTTCCCGCAGAAAATCAGAGAGGAAGAGCAGAGATTCATGCATTTCTGAACGACGACGTATTAGCGAAGGAGTTGAAGAAGATGAGATCAGGATCTTCCCGAGTTCCAGGAACCGAGGTCTCACCTGACATCATTCCCATCTGTGTGAAATGCATCCGGCCGGCATCCGAGCTTCATGAACTTCATTGTCAGGTGTGCTCGACAGATCCCCTTTCAACGAGTCTAGGATCTCGGAAAAACGCTTCCTCTTCCTCAATCCATCACAGAAAGCCCTCTGGAGTAGGACAGTAATGGAAGGCAACTCCGACAAGAACTAGACTGGCGCCACCGCCCAGTCCGCCATTTGTTTATAGCTCTCCCCCTGCTCTCCGATTTCTATCGAGTCTGGTGATCGCTGTTATTTAATAAGCACATTGTCCCTTCGATTCGCAGGTGATTATCTGAGATCTAGACGACGGGAGCCAGCACATGCATCCGGTCGCAAGCCCTAGAATCCACATTCCTCCGATCTATTCTCTGCCGACCAGAAGCAGCATCACCTGCTACACGACGAGCAGGACAAAGAAGATCTCAAAGTTTGACGATGGGGGAAGGATCGAATCTGCGGAGAAGATGCATCTGGGAGAGGAGAGGAAGGAGATAGACCGAACGGATCGCGGATGGAATCTAAAGTTGGCGAGATATAGATCGCACACGAGAAAAAACTATAAACGAGAGGGGGAAAGCTCCAAAAAGGAATCGAGAAGATGGCGAGGATCAGCGAGCACGATAATCCGCAGTAACTGTGAATCGAAAATCGTTCAAGCTGATTGCGATCAACACGGGTAGTAAATGCATCATGTACGAGCTCTAGGAACATAGAAGACAAGAGAGAGAAAGTGAGAGAATACCAGAATTGTTTCCTCCGAGAAGAAGGAAGCATTAAATCCGCAGGAGCAGATGATAACATCGTACCATTTAAGAAGAAGCTCGGAGTCTCATTCCTCGTGAATGATGGCAGCAGACTGATCGATTGGGCGCGATAATGCCGGAAGCGAACGCCATTAAGAAGCCCCGCGGCGGAGGAGAGAGAATCTTCGTTCTTCCAGGCAGCAACAGACTGACAATTGAAGCAGCGCAGGAGCGTCGATGCAGCATTTTCAGAAAGCTTAGAGAGAGAGAGAGAGGGAACAGCAAGCAGATGAGGAGCAATGAAGAAAGGGGGAGCAGAGTGGAACCGGAAGGCAGGAGGCGTCGGTAAGCGGGAAGAACGGTCCCTAAAAAGAATGCACGCGTAGAGATTGCCTCCTGGAAAAAGCAACCAGACGGAGCGGAAAAGGGGGAAGGGGAGAGAAAAAAGAGGAAAAGAAGGAAACTCTGAGAAGACCAGCCCTGCGGGACGCCTCCTTCTTTCCCGAGCCCTGTCCATGGATCCCCCGGCAGCACGGCCCTTCGAGACAACCACTGCAACACCCCCACTCACCCCCTCTGCATTCAAGAAGACGACCAACCCACAGAGAGAGAGAGAGAGAGAGAGAGAGAGAAGCGTAGGGGAACCAGCCATGGACCAGTAGCCCACTGAAGACGAAGACCAGCAGGCACCATTCTCCTCTCTCTCTCTCTCTCTCTCTCTGCGCAGAACTCCATGGGAAGTAGTCTCTAGGGGAGGTGAGAGGGGGAAGGAGAAGCCGCCAAGACTGTAGGTTCGCTCTTCCCTTCAGAACTCCTCTTCTCACCATTTTCCTAATTTTAAATCCCGCATTTTTATTATTCATTTAAACATTTTTTAAATAAACAATAAATGCTTTTTTATTGATTTAATCTTGATGAATAAATCATCGTTAAATAGGCCAGCGGAGCGATATTAAAAAAAATTCATTCGAATCCGACTGCGGCGGATGAACCACTGGCTCGTCAACGGCCTAACAGCAAGGGGGGATGGGGTCCCACTCGCTTGGATCCAGTTGTTCGGGTCGTACGGTTGACTATCCTAGCCTTTCTGGCGGAGTCCATATATGCTCTTTCTTCTATGTTAAAGGGGGCTTTTTATAATTTTCCTATAAGTAGATGGGCCCCGCGGCCGACAGTCCTCATTATCCTAACACCCATTGGGTTGGAACGGATGTAGCCTCTGAAAAGTCAAACGTTGAATTTTCGCCGAATGCGCGTGAACCGGGGGGGTGTCAGACGTCGAGGAGATTAATTGTTAGAGATTTCCGTAGAAATTCTCATGATCGGGATCGATGGAGCTCGCGATGTGATGGAAGTCCACGCCGGAATCCATGAGGTCATGAAACCGGAGGATGCACCGCTGAACTCGTCCCCAGAACGTCACCTCCCGAGCGTTCATGGGGTCAACGCGGTGTGTTTACTTGTGCTGGCGGACGCCGACTTTTCAGAGGATAGGAGGAGAGTGAGAAAGGACGACCCGTCAACCAGGCGACTTTGCACGCAGTGAGGGAGAAGCTTCCGGCTTCTCCCCAAACCCGGGTCAACTCTGTTCTCCCTCTCTCTCTCTCTCTCTCTCTCTCTCTCTCACTCTCGCAGGCTCGAAGAAGGAAAAGACAGGGGAATGAATCAATTTCAGGCATATGATTCATATAACTTCCAGACAAATCGAGAAAGAATTGGGGTTCTACAAAGAACGAATTCGATTCTTTGTGCAGAGAGGAGTTGCCGACATCTGCAACAGTTTCTAGAGAGAGAAAGAATGGGGAAACGGGCGGCGAGGAGGGCTGGTCAACTCCTAGGCAGGAATTAGGAGGCGAGGCTTCTTGAAGGCCAGTGGGCTCTGGACCTCATCCTCATCCGCCGCCACGCACCGCCGCAGGGCGGCAGCGGCGCCGTCGGCGAGGAACTCCGGCATGGCCGGCAGATTCAGGTCGAAGTTCCTGAGAGTGGAGCTCGTGCCGGAGGAGGAGGACACGGCGGCGGCGTTGTGGGCGGCGGCGCCGCCGTCGTAGTGCAACCTCTTGTGCCCCCCGAGGGCCTGCCCAGAAGGGAAGCACCGGAGGCAGATGGAGCACTGGTGCACCCGCCCGCCGCCCGGCCCAGCCGCCACCGCGGTGGCGGAGCCCGACGAGGCGGAGGCGGTGGCACTCGACGACGAGACGCCGTCGTCGGCGCCGGCGACGAGCTTCCGGTGGCTGGCCTTGTGGCCCCCCAGGGCCTGGTACGACGGAAACGCCTTCCCACAGACGTTACACTTGTGGGGAAGCTTCTCCGGCGAAGTCGCCGGCAGCGTCAGCGTTGGCGCCGCCCGCTCCGCCCGCTCCGCTGGCCCGCCGCGTGCGAGCATGACGAGGCACAGCGCGAGGTACTCCTCCTCCGTGGGCTGCCGGTCGTAGAAGCGGTGACGCTTCGATCTCTTCCCCTTCGACCAGGTCTCGGGGCAGTGAGCTTCCGCCACCTCGCAGGCCCCAACCATGGACGAAACCTTCGGTGCCTCCATCACCATGGCGACTGAAAATCGAGCGCAGAGTCGGAAATCGAGAAAGAGGAAAGCAGAAGGGAGAGAGAGAGAGAGGAGGCGAGGGCGGAGTAGTTGGAGCTAAGAAGGCGAGCTGAGATTTTTTTCTTCGGTGAGGGAAGGAAGAGGGGAGACCTTTCTATTTATGGAGGTGGGAGGGGGCGTCGGTCAACGTTGGGGAGCTGGGATGAAGCTGGAGAGGCGGTCACGGGGTTCCAGAAGAAAGAGAAAGACGGGTGGATATGTACAACGGTGCGACCTGGACAAGGCCGCCAGGGGAGAGAGAGAGAGAGAGAGGGGTTGGTGGGCCAGTCAAATAGTCGAACACGTCGCAGATGCCCCGCCGCCACGAAGACCAGTTACACACCACTTCACTTGGGGGGGAGGGGGGAGATTTTATTATACGCCCTTGTTCAGTCGGAGACCGAAAGCTGGAGACCGTTCCGGTGTACCTTTCTATGCAACTTAACTTAAACGGCGCCCGTGTTGCGTGGGGGATAGCCATTCCGGCGAGCTTTAGCGTACCGTCCTCTCCACGGATGTTCCGCGGCAGTAATGGCCGGTGGGGCAGTCGGCGCCCGGGGCTTTTCGCACCTCCCTTCCGAGTCTCGAAGATCACACGTGTTCCTTATAGAGTCCTCCCCAGTCAAAACTCTGCATCTGCTAACGTGGAACACGTGCCCATTTCCGTTGGCTACCTTGGGGCTTCCGTAGTAAATGCATCCACGCATAATGTATTAAATTATTATTTTAATTATTAATTAAACATAAACAATCAGAGTGGCGCAGCGGAAGCGTGGTGGGCCCATAACCCACAGGTCCCAGGATCGAAACCTGGCTCTGATATTGAGAGCAAGCTTCCCTACCACCAAATCATTTTATTTTTTTTACTACGAAATATCCAACAGAAAATCACTTTCCCTTATGGGACCTCAAAACGGGCCAGTGACCATTTCTCCCTCCGATTATCCCCTCCCCCCTTCCTTTAATCCCCTCTGTATATCTCTCTCTCTCCTGCAAGACAGGTCAACGATAATGCCCGGTCACATAAAGCATACGGTCAAACCTTAAAAACGTGGAATAAGCCCAAGAGCACACCGCTCGAAGGGGGGAAAACGTCGAGCACCACATGGGCGGCGCGTAGTTCACCGACATACAGTCAAAACAGGCGAAGGGCATTCGAGTTCCTAACCCCACCAATGATGTCAGCAAAGTGGAGACGGTGATTCGCGGAGTCAACCCCCCACTTGCCGAGCTGCGGGTTGGTCAACCACCGCAACTCTCTTACCCGAGCACGTACCGACAGTGGAGGAAACCTGCAGCAAAACGAGGAATGATTAATGAGGCCGCCAAACCCTCCGAACCCAACGATTAATCAAACATTTTTTTCCGAATTCTCACGACACATCATGAGCAGCAGGCCAACAGACGTTCTCAACGCCTGGTCAACGCCTCTCGAAGGAGAGAATCATGCACCTCACCCCCTCAGCAGCTGCAACAACAATGTCAACTCCCCCAAACTCGCTGGCTCATGCCCACATCAGTCAACCCTCCCAAACCCAAATCCTATTGGCGGAGACACATACATGGGTATATATATATATATAGTTTTATTTTCTCAATAAAAGCAGATATAAAATAGCATGGGCATTCAGAAAAGCAGATAAAATTTTGAACTTTCTTCATAAAAAATTGCAAGGATGAGGAAGGCCCCAGCAGCCGTACCAGGCTTCTGCTGGGCAACCTGCAAGTAGGGCAGCTTTTCCTGCACCTCGGGGTGCTCAAAAGGTGCTCAGAAGTGGGGCGGGAAACCAATTGAGCGTGAAGAAATCCTTGGTAATGGCGATCAAATGAAGTGGCAATGGAACTTCTGATAATGGCGGAGATGGAGGAGGATGGAACACGTACTTGGGTCTGAGTTGATGAGCGCAGCGGTCCCCTGGAAGTCGCAGCTGCCGCCGGTCTTCTTCGATTTCTGCCAGTAGCTGTTGAATGCGAAAGAAGCGTGGGCGATGATGTGATCAGGGTAGAAGCAGCTCCCATGGGGTTTAATCTCCTCGCAGTCGGCGCCGCCCTCGCCGCAAGCGTAGTCCATGGCCTCCTGCAGCGCCTCCGGGATCGCTGTGGGCTTCGCCACGCACCACGACGGGCCCCTCTCCGCCTCCCAGCCTCCCGGGGCCGCCAAAGGCGCCGCCGAGCACGGCGGCGCGGCGGCGGAGAAACCGGCTGGAGGTGGGTCGTCGGGGATCTCGCTTGGTGCGGCGGCGGGCACGAAGGAGAAGGACCCATCTGGTGCTGAGGCGAATGGCGGCGATGATGGGGTAGGGTTTTCGCTGGAGAAACCAGGGGATGAGGCGAAGGAAGAAGAAAGGCTCCTGCGAAAGGTGTTCCCCTCCATTATGGTCCAGATTTCCATGAATGGGGAGAAACCCAGGTTTTCGAGAGCCAACTTGTGAGCAGACACCAGAGAGTGTGTCGCCCCAAGGGAGGAGGAGGAAGGAGGTGGGTCGACCAGGTAGGAAGAGTTGGACCTCCACAGATAGGTCAACAGGGGTTTAAGGGTTTTGACTGCTGAGTGGTGACCCAGACAGTCGGAGGAGAAGGCTGCGGAAACCATGATCTCCCTCTCGAGGCCCCATCTGAGGAGAGAATGGTGCAGGTTCTTCACTGAAGGCAGCACCATATCCCACTGGGGGGCCCTCAGCGTAGTGCAGAGAACTCCCCTGCCCACAACAATGGCGGTGACGTTTCCCGATGGGAAAACAGAGAGGACGTGCCTCCTCAGCCATGTCTCCGCCTGCAAAACGCTGGATGACACCGCGGGGAGGTCTGCCACCGCGACGGAGACCGCCATGGCCGGCGCGCTGGCGCCGTACCCGGGACGGTGGAGCTCCAAGAACGTCGCCGAACCATGGAGGCCAACGAACTTGATGACACCTTCTTGACCTGCACCTGCGACGAGGGGGAAGGAGAAGACGATCAGAGAGAAAAGCCGTATCAGAGCGAACCGTCTGAGAGCGCTGGAAGGGTAGTGAGGCTCCCCCCTCACCAGCAAGACCCAGGATGGGGAAGAAGAGCACAAGGAGGGAGAGTTGAAGCGCCGCCATCCTCGTCTCCTACGCCGCCGCCTCTTGTTCTTCCTCCTGCCGCAGAGAACCTGGTCGGAGGGGAGACAAGGGGTCTCTCCCGGCGAGAGGAAGCGGGAAATGTGGGTGGCCGCCTCCGGCGGGAGATAGCGGCGAGGGGACGGCAGGCGTTGATATCTGCGCTCTGTTGCGGCGTACGGTCGGAAGAAGACAGGGCGTGGAATGCGTGCAGCTCGTAGGTCGAAGGCTGACAGGCCAGCAGTCCAGGCATTGGTCCATAGTAGCTGGGGCCCACATTAATCTCTCTCTCTCTCTCTCGATACAAGTTGGCCCATTTATGGTCAGGCCCAAGACCATTACTGGGCCTGGTTCGAATAACGAGGCTACACTTAGCCCGTTTAGAATCCGATAAGAGGCTAACGAGTACTGTATGGGAGGAATTTTTAGGCACATTAAAACCGGGAGTTTTTTTTCTGTCATTGAATTTATTCTCAGCCGTTGGATTATATTTGGGCGGATGAGATTCGGTGCCAAGCAAGCCAGGACAGCCCAGGGATGTCATTTTTTCATATATTTATATCTATGTGTTGATCACATTATTACGTGGCCGTCCTCGATTTACCACGTGTAGTCTCTCTCTTTCTCTCTCTCCGAGTCGGCCCATTTAGAATCCGGTAAGAGCTTACAGGCTGCTGCTTTTAGTGGGTCGCGGGGAGGAATTTTTCGGGCCCATTAAAGTTGGGACATTTTTTTCTGTAACTGAAGTTATTATCAGCCGTTGGATCATATTTAGACGGATGAGGTTGGTTCCTAGAACTCTCACGTTGCTAGCAGGAGGGCGAGGATTGGAGGGGAGAGAGTTGAATTCCCCCGCTAGAGAGAGGAGTCGAAAGTGGTGGTGGTGGTGGCGGAGGGGATGGGCTCCTGCGGCGGCGGCGGGGCGGGAGGTGGCTGCCAGTCGGAGTGCTTCCGCGACCGGGAGGGGGACGAGGAGGATTCTTTGAGGACGGAGGATCTGAAGCGCTGCTCCGGCTCCTGCTCCGGCGACCAGTCTCCGGCGAACGATGGGCGTGGTCTCTGTAACAAGTGCCGGGAGATCGCTGCAGTGTACAACAATCTTTGCGGGGCCTGCTTCCGCTTCTCCTTGTATGGAAAATTCAAGGTCGCTGTTACGTCGAACGGGATGATCTCTCCGACGGACAAGGTCCTTGTCGCCCTCTCCGGTGGCCCCGCCTCCAGGTTCTAGATTTTTTCTTCCCGCATCGTATTCCACCCTTTCCTGCCCCCTCCGCCAATTCTGTGTCGCCTAGTCCAGAATTTTGACTCCGTTGGTATATACATCCACGTAACTGGCTAGCAGTGACTCACTCCCTTCGATTAAATAGACTATGCGACCGCATGTTTGGGCCGGGAAGACTAGCCTTCAGTTTGTTTCTGAAGACATCGGTTTTTTTTGTGTGTTCGAGGGAATTTTCTTCCTCATACACTATGATCGAAGCATGCGTGTATCCGGTTAAGTGGATGTATAGATCAGGATTGCATATCGCGTGGGAGAGCATGTTTTATTGTAGCCCAGGGCTGCCGATTGACTTTCTCTTTTCGAGTTGATGACGGGCTAATGCTTCGTTGTCAAAGGCAAGGACGGGCCAGTAGATTGATGACTCTAACAAGGGTGAAGATTAACATCGAGGCTCATCATTTCAATATTACAAATTGTTATGTTTCAGGCAGTTTTATGTTTTGCCTTGCTTCCTTTTCTCCTTTTTAGGAGTAACTTATGACCTACAGATTTCATGTTGAAGTGATGAGACTTATGGCCACATGCTTCCTCTTATGGTTGAACAGTTAACATGCTCTAGACTGAAAGTTAGATCATATGATAACGACGTGGTACTGAAATTTCGCTGAGCACCTCATGCCACCAGCTCGTTAGTACCAGTGTTACATTGCTTTTGACAGGTTTGCAATGTTTTTTAACTGTAATGAGTGACAGGTCTGCAGCATACGATTTTGACGTGGGAACCTTGTGACGTGAATAAAACTCTCCGAAGTGAATCTTGTAGGTTAGTCTATACCATCCATCGTGTAGCTCAAGTAATATGAAGAAAGATATTTTGCCTAAGATAGTGAGAGATGTCGGACATAATGCCTAAGGCATAATGTAGACTTCTATGGTAGGAGATATGGGAAGAAAGGAAGCAGTTGAGAAAATTATGTTAGAAGGAATATATTAATGAGATGACGACCTATATTCTAACCTGTTGACAGCTCAAAACTCCTCTTGCTTATTTGTCGTTGATCGGCTGTAGTCCATTTCTCGCATTGTGGCGCTGGTGTGCTGTAATTGTTTTAGGTTTGGGTTTAATGAATTTTGCACTTCAGTAGATCATTTGTACGTGCTGCACATCTTCATTATTATATGACTATTCTATCTAGTTGTATGAAACTCTCTCTCTCTCTCCTCCCCCCTCTCACATGTCTGTGTGAACTTGCGTATCCTATTTTTATTTACAGGATAGCCCTGGAATTTGCCCATGAGATGCAGTTGAAGGCGCAAAAGAGTTGGGATGCAAGTAAAGATCAAGCTTTACCAGTTTTCGGTGTTGGGGCTGCCTTTATCGACGAAAGTATACCTCTTAGGCCTTCCGAAGTGGTTCAGAAAGCAATAGAGGAGATGAGATTTCGCGTTTCGCAGTTAACACCGCCTCCAAAGGTGTTTCATGTTGCATCCATTGGAAGCCTTCTTTCTGCGGATACAAAGGATGGGACTGGATTAAATGCTTTGCTTGAGACTATTAGTGATGCCACTGGGAAAGAAGATCTTCTGAGTTATTTGCGAATGCTATCCTTGCAAAAGGTTCGTTATCTTGCTTCTGTCAACGTGAACTGGGCTTAACAAATAATGATTGAATTTCTTACAAAATTATGCTACTATTTTGCCTCCAGATTGCTTTAGATAATGGATATAGCAAATTGGTTCTAGGATCTTGCACGACAACGATAGCATGCCACATACTGTCTGCAACTGTGAAGGTTTGTCATCGGCAACTGGGTTTAGAAAATTACACGAAGTTGATTGATCTTATTTATCAGCGGAGATCACATAACATGAATTGTTTTCCTAACAATGAATGCCCAATTTTAGGCCGAGACTGCAGATCTCTGAGCTGATGCCATATCTGAGTGGGCATTGCGCATTGCTTCTCTAACAAGTGATATACAAAGTGTTACGTTTTTGCAAGATGTTTGGCCCATTTAGCTGTATGATAGCCTTCCATTTTACTAAGCGAAAAGTCCCGGAGGATTTTCTTCTTTCACTTTATTTACATGCAGTGCTATATAGGTATAATTCGTGGTTAATTTCCCGTTAGCCTTTATTATTATTATTATTATTATTATTATTATTATTAAGATTGATTTAAGAGCTTTTAATTGTACTTTGAGAGGGAACTGGGTTAGTGATCTGTTGCACGGAAGTTTAGAAAAAGACACAAAATAAATACCCTTTCAGGTCAGGGATATCTGTTTTCAGGGTCCTCACCATTGGCAGTTTTTTTTTTTTTCCAGGGTCAAGGTTACTCTTTACCCGCAGATATACAGTATGTAGATGCCAGATGGGAGATTCCAGTTGTTCTGCCTCTTCGTAGCTGTCTTGCAGAGGAGCTTTCAATGCTTTGCCACCTTGATGGGTAAGTTTGGCTATATATCTATACAGAAACTCATTCCATTCACCTCTTCTCTGTGACGACTATATGATCAACTCCGGTTAAATCTGCAGCCATGAGATTCATCAAGTTTTCGATCAACCTTGTTCGGGCATCAATAATTTGGTCTCCTCGTTCATTGCACGTGTGCAGGTGTGATGGGTATTTTTTTCTCTATGTATACTTTTTTTTTTGAGACATATTCCTGCAATCAGTCGGACTGATGTTTGGTAATGATATCTTATTATCCATGAAATCGATGAGATTATTTGTGGGTTAGCACTGCCGTGCCGTGCCCATTTTTCTTTGCCTGTGTTCTCTTCTGACAGCCCATCTCTCTCTCTCTCTCTCTCTCTCTCTCTCTCTATATATATATATATATATATATATATATATCTCTTCCTGGGCCAGCCCATTGACACCTTTAATTACATCGTTTGTCATAACTTCAGAATTCTTAGATTCATGGCATTCCTCTCCATCTAAAAGCCTTACCTTTTTCCTGACGAATACACAGGAAGAGAACCCTTCTCGTGCCCGGACAATCCTCAGAACAGCAGAGAAGCTACGCCCATTCCATTTCAACAGACTTTCAGAGAATCTTTCTTATGAGATGCTGCCATCTCGTGTGCGTCGGAAGCTGCAGACTGCCGCAAACGCCGAGTTCACTCCATCAGAGCTCCTTTGCCCAATCTGCGGCGGCCCACTCACGGAATCTGATGTCACACGCTTGAAATCCACCGTCAGTAAGTCATCAAGAAGACATGAGGCTTTTGCTGCACATTGCTGCCAGAGTTGCTGCTCTCAGATCCTTCCAAAGGAGCTGCCTTCCCTCGAACATTTCTATTCTCTTTTGCCCGTAGCGATGAGAGGGAGAGTGAAGGATGCTGCTTCTCCCGGCAACCATTGGCTGAGGTGAGTACTTTCTTTGCCATCTTTGTCTACAACTTGAAGTCAACCCCCCCCCGGGCAATATAAGGGGGAGTGAGCTACCCACGTCAGTGGATCCCACCCGGCATATCTTATTGCTGACTCTGATTCACTGATGAACATGGTCTCCAGCTTGAAGTCAACCCTCCTTCCACTTCCCCTTTAAGTAAACCCACACCATCTTATTGTTGATTCTGATGCCCATGTGACAGTTTTGACAAGCTTACTGAGATCGACGAAACTTGGTCTCCAACTTAAGTCAACTCTCCCCTTTCCATAATTCGCCAATATGATGATCAGAGAACTAACTACCCACGTTGCCAAATCCCACGTGCAACACCTTTATCGTTGACTCTGATTTCCAATTCCCATTCTGATTACCGTATTGAGATGCATTCACACCATAGCTTCCACATTTATGTGGGTCCTCCGATCTTGCGAATCTATCAGTAGATTCTCCTCTGTTCCTGTGGCTTATCGGTCAACTCTCCATCACGATCACTCTCAGGGACCAAATAGAAGACTGTTTGCTCTCATCTGACGAAGATTAATAGGCTGACGTCACGCGATGACGTGTGAGTAGATCTCTGCCCATCTTGCTCCGGTTTGATCGGATTTCCTTTAAATGGTAGTCTTATGCTGGAGTTCTTCAGGTGGTCGTGGTATTGGGCCGCGGGCTGGATGGCTGTCGCTGTCGTTGACTAATTAGAAGGAAAGTCGTCTTCTTTTGATTCGGATTGAGTCGGAGCAGCTTCCGGATCTGTAGCCTTTTGACTCTCCTGTGACAGTGACACCTTTGAGATCTGGATCAAAATATAATTATTCATAAGTTAAGGTTGAATTATATAAAGTCTGTCAACGGTATAACAGAATGATATTCAAGGGAGTGTGGGCCGGGCCCAAAAACGCATTTTCTGGGCTTATCTCCTGGGCTGGGCCCAGAAAAAGCTTTCCGGACTTTGGACCGGACTATCTGCAAGGGAGGGTCTCATGAAATGGGCTCCAAGCCCGATTATAATGAAGCCCGGGCCCAGTCTCCATTGGATCTCACCTGATACAAGAGAGTGGGAAAGAGAGAGCCACTTGGACGATCGCTTGATGGCCATGTGGCAACGAAATAGGCTCTGGACCGGGCTTCACTTAAATATTTTACCTTATTTTTAGTCTTTTTTGTTACATTAATTCTCCATTTTTATTTCCAGATATTAAAACAAAAAATCCTGAATTAGACACTAAAATAATGCTATATATTACAACTGTTCGTCTCGTAAATTCGTCAACCAGGGAGACCAGTCTAGAGAGAGAGAGAGAGAGAGAGAGGGAAATTAAATCATGACAATTTTTCTGGAATATTTACTCGGAAAAATATCTATTATTATGATTATTATTTTGTAAAAGACACAAGCCCGGTAAGAAAGCGGTATCCGGCTTTTGGGTGTTTTCGTGTGTCACTCTCTCTTCTCTCTCTCTCTCTCTATCTCTCTCTCTCTGTGCTTGTAGAAGGTTGGGGGGGGGGCAGAAGGAAGTAGAAGAAAATGTCTGCTCATGGGCAGCAGAGATCGAACGGGGAGAGGGGTCGCGGCCAGAGAGGGGCGAGGAGGTTCGTACCGAAGGGCAACGATGCCTCTCCTTCGCCCTCTTCTTCGTCTCGTCATAGCGATGCTGTCGCCCCAAAGCGGGTGCCGGCGACGCTCACGGCTTCCCTGAGAGGGGCGGTGTTGTCGTCCTCAGACGGGCCGCCGGTGCGCGGCGGAGAGAGAGGTGGCGCCTGCTTCGTGAATTATTTGCCCCAGGATGAAGCGGTGGCTTCGGGCCTCGGGGTGGAGAACGGGGGCCTGGATGCCGTGGAGTCGCAGGCCGTGGTGGATGTTCTCAACGCGGAGCTGTCCCGTATCCTTAAGATGAAGCCCAAGAAATTCTGGGAAGAAGGTGCGTCTCTAGGTCGTTGGATTCTGGATGATCGATTCCAATACATTTCTTCTCTCTCTCGCTCTCTATAATTTGCAATTGGGTGGGTTATGGTGGTAAAAAGCAGGTGGCAGACAGAACTATCCGGTTGATCTTCTTTCCTCTTCAACGACACTGATCCTTTAGACCTTTTGAATTATATCTTCTAATATCTATAATTAGTGGCGCTTGGCAGTGGTTCGTAGTATCTCGCTGCATGGGTTCCTGGACAGCTACTTACGGTTCAGGAATAGATGGTATGATCTCCCTCATCGTGGACCTAAGGGAACCATTGCGGGGATAGTTGTTGGAGAAGCTGAGCTGAGCCGTCGCGTCTTCATGGCCCTCTATCGCATGTGAGTTGACTCTTCCTTGGTTTACCCATATCCAGCATAGGTTAGGATGTCTTAGGCATGTCTGCTTCTGGTCAGAGCACGCTGTTGTCGTTCCTTGCAAAGGCAGACGTGCCTTATGTATAATCTAATTGTCTATTTTGGCAAGCAGGTCTACAAACAGAGATCCGGGTGCTAATCTTAGTGATTGCCTCAATTCCAAGGAGCATGCAGGTGTCTTTGTCTTCGTATTCTCCTCTATTATTTATATTTTTCATAGCCATCTGGGGATCGTGTTTGCCAACAGATTAAGGTATATGTATTGAATTTTGAGGATGAAAATTCTCATTTCTTTCATGTATAGCCCTCTTGCAGGGAATGAAATTGTTGGACTTGCCAAAGTTGCTGGATATCTGTGCTATCTATGGTCATGAGAATGCTGCGCTAACAGAAACGCTAGTAAGCATCTGGTGGTTCATTTTATTAAAATCTGCATCTTCAGTGCATGTTTCTTGGCATTAGATGTTCTTCATATATACGCCAATGCGGCCCCTTCATTGCATGTTAATTAGCATTCAATATTATTCATGCTAGAAAATGTAGGTACGTTTTGATTTTGTTTGACAGTAAGATAGATAAAAGTAGGAGAAAAGATGGAAGTAGCAGGGACACCATGTTTTTCTTTTTTGGGTTTGCCCTCTCTTCTGTCCATGTGTTCATTTTCCTATACTATGGGCCACATCCAATTCTTAGAGTCTTGGTGGATTTTATTTTTTAGGAAATTTTGGATATTTTAGTGCAGGTGGGATTTGAAAGGGAAAATGGCTTTATGGTGCTTTTTAAGTAGTTTCCAGTGCTGTGAGCTCCTCTAGATGGCTATGTAATGGGTGATACTCTTTCGCGAAATATTGGCCTACTGATAAGCATAGATGATCAGTGAATCTAGCACCAGTGACATTATGTTATTAGAAAATATATTTTTACCTCAATTACGTTCTTATAGTTGAGTCTTTCTCTCACAACTAATTATGTAACCATAGGCAGATTGATTTTAAGATTCTCTGGAGTCCAAAGCCCTTTCTGTATCAGCCTTCTTTAGTCTTGTGTTTCGTTAAGACTTGGTGTTGTCTCCAGAGCTGAGTATTATTGGTTTGCTTCAAAGCGTGGTGCTTTGAATGCTTTCCCCGGAGGTGCTCTAGTGAGACTCAGTGTATGCTTGATGCCGTTTGATAGGATACCTGTGGTATGGGATTGGGGACTTCAAAGAGCAGCCAGAAAGTAAACATACGCTTCCATTGCGAAAATTTCGATGAAAGGCCGACTGCTTTGAATGCTACTACTTCTCAGGGGGGTTTGCTTCTTGGGGTGATACACATTTTTGTGATTTTTATTGTTTGTTAATGTGAGATATTTCATTTTCAGGTTATGAATGCAGTAAGATCACAGCCGAATGTTGTCCAAGATATTAGCACCACTCTTTCCTACTTTCTGAGCATCGTCCGCACTATGCATCAGCGTTGCAGCTCATCACTAGAGGTGCGGTCCTTCATCCTCTCAATGAAGGCTTGTAGTTTTAAAATAGTTACCTTGTTATCTCATTTGTGATCAATTTTCAATTTTTTTTCAAAATCATTGCTTGAGCCTTCTTCCGAATTTTATTTCGTTCCATATAACAACTAGAAGTCTTTAGTCTTCGGAAAATGGCCTACGGAATTGTTATATCTAAAAATCCCTTCATCGTTTAATGTACTGTCATCAACCCGTTTTTATCAGTCATCTTCTATCCAGTTAGATATCGCGTCCATGATATATGTTCTTCAGACTTTGTTCTTAGAAGATTCAACTGTAAGAAACTCTCTCTGACCATTGTAAGAAGAGGTTGCATACTTCAGCAAACAATCATGTGACTGCATGTTTCTAGAGAAGAACAGGGAAGTGTAGTTTTTGTCAGAACACTCGTCTAGGAACTCTGACCATTGTATCGTGCAGTTCTAGGCTTTCTTCCACTTTAATTTTGAATAATTTGACATTTAATCTCGCATGAAATAGTAAAAACAATTAGATTCGTATCAAGCAAAAAAATGATATTTGGGGAAATGCGGTTTTAACTAAAATCTGTCAAATAGTCTGTGACAGTTGCGCGAGAAAGAGGCTATATAACTTGCTTTTGATGACATATTTCTGTACTACATCTCTTAAGTTCACACTTATGGCGTCATTTGTTAGAAGTCTTTCATTGATTACGGATGAGAGGGGAAGTAACTCTTTGGAAAGGCAGTTGCATATCTGATTCCTGCAGTTAACTGCTTATCTGATTCGTGATCTGAATCACAAGGAAAATCCTGTACTTCTGAAAAGACGACGGGAAGACATAAAATAAGTAGAGAAACCGAAAGCTAAGAACTCACGTGGACACTTTGTTCAGGTTTTACTTACATCTCCTGATCTCGAAGGTCGTGGACTGCAGCTGCAGATGGATCTCTTGGAGGCAAGTTCCCAAATATACTCAAATATAGTGGAATCGCCGTTTTGTTTCATATTTGTTTCTTTTTCTGATTTCTTGTCTTCTCCTTTGTCCTCAGGTGATGGACTTCATAAATGATGCAGTTGTCACAATGAATGCCTTTGTTGATGCATACAAACCTGCAGCCGTTTATTTATCTCATCCTGCCGAAATAAGGTGCTGTGATCAGATGAATCTCATTTCTCTTTGACTTTGATTCTGTTAGACATTACCTTGGAACTCCAGCTTGTTGGCTACTTGTTCTGCCAGCTTGGAACTATCTTTTTTGGGTAATTCATCCTCTTGTTCCATGCTTTTCATCCTTTTTTAAAGGATTTTTTTTTGGTCTGAATACGCTGTTTTTCATCCTTCTGTCACCAATCTGTTGGAGAATACGTGTCTTTGACTTTCGCTCATAAAGTTCCAAACATGCCAGTGTTAGTCAACTGTTATGTGCCCTTCTTCGTGTGCAGTCACGACGGTGAGGAATTGCTTAACGTCCTCGCAAGATTACATGATTCATTGTTACCACTGTTTCAACTGGGCTTTGTGCGTATCTCTGATATCGGAGGAGTTGGGACACAGAAGCCAGTCCCTGGTGCTCTTGGAAGTATTTTCCCTAGTTTGAAGATGCTCTCATTGAGGATAGCCAAGTTTGGGTGGAATTTGCTTGACATCTGCTACTTAAGTGACGACCCATTTGAAGATAGTCTTTGTTTCCGCACAACTACGAAGATATTTCCGGCAATGGTCGAAGACCCTGTGATCAGGGGTGACATTCTCGTCCAGACACTTGCAAAGGTCAACGGGGAAATTTCTATGCATATCCAGGATATCAGGAGGCACGAAACCTTTCTGCAGAATATTGAAAGGAAGTACAGCATATTGGCCCGGATCAGCAGCCTCCGTGGCAAAGGTTCATAGTTCTACGCCTCTTCCTATAGGTGGTGTCTCTAGAAGATCCAATCTCATGCATTCCTAAATAAGTAATGATCCTCAGCCAAGAACTATGAAAGGTTCATAGTTCTCACATGCTCTCTTATTGCTCCCATTCCGTGTTCTCTTCTTGCCAGAATTACTAAAATGCTTTTAGGTGGTGTCTCTAGAAGATCCAATCTCATGCATTCCTAAATAAGTAATGATCCTCAGCCAAGAACTTGCCCATTATTCTTGTAGGTGGTTTGGTTCTTTTCCCTTTATTATTTCTGTCATGGGGGAAGCCTTTGATAGTATCTGAAAGAAATTAATGAATAAATAATGCTGTTTTTGCCAAGAACTTGGTATCATATGCTTTGGTTGCTCCCTGTATTATTTCTGTTCGTGGGGGAAAACCGTTCAAAATGTGGGAAAGACAGATTTTATATGTAATTATTATAGTATCAATGCAGCATTTAATACGGCATAATCTACGTATGATGCCAAATATTAATAAAGTTTAGTTATTGCCGGGCTATGATCATTTCACTGGCTCACGTGCACATGCAGTGAGGCTGGGTTCTGTTTCTGTCTTTACCTACTTTAGACTATCTTAAACAGGCATTAGATTTCTTCCGCCATCAATTTATCCATTAAATGCTTGTTTAATTAATTAAAGGCTCATCTGGGCTGGTGAATACTTCTTACATGTACCCTCAATCCATATTGAAAAACCCTAATCCTCTGTTTACATGGCAAGAAACGTTCTTTAATGGGTCTGTCTGATTAATGAAAACCCCAATTCTCTATTTACATGGCAAGAAACGTTCTTTAATGGGTCTGTCTGATTAATGAAAACCCTAATCCTCTGTTTGGTCTGGATTCAGGATGGATTTTCTTGGACGAAGAACAGTTTCGTCACATATCTGGGATCACAACCTCATCTTTCCCCAGGTCGAGGGAGGAAGAACCACCAAAGCTTCCGGCCTTCTCAGAGGAAGACACTGCGATTATGGAATCAAGGATCAGTCAAGTAAAGGATCTCTTCCCCGATTATGGCAATGGATTCCTTGCGGCATGCCTGGAGGTCTACGATCACAACCCAGAAGAGGTAATCCAGAGGATACTAGATGGCACCCTCCACAAAGACCTGCTCTCCCTTGACAGAACCCTGGAGCAGGTTCATCTCCCCAGGCCTGCACCCGCCGCAGAGAGCGCAGTGTCAGCAGTTCCAGCATCCCATGGCAGGAGCTCTAAAGGGAAAGAGGTGCTAACCCAGGCAGAACCACCACCACCACCACCACCACCGCCACCACCATCATCATCTTCATCGTCATCTCAAGGGAAGTTCTTCAGAAAAACAGAGTACGGAGCCCCCGACGCCATGATTCTGGACTCGAGAGCAGCCAAGGATTCAGTGAGAGCTGCCGTGCTCGAAGCGCAGTATGAAGATGAGTACGACGATTCGTTCGACGAACTGGGTCTGAGCGTGGTGGAGTCGGGGCTCGAAACGGCGGATGCTTCAGGTAATCGGATCAGAACGGAGGGTGGTTCTTCGAGGTGGCAGACCCAGAGACAGCCGCAGTACTACGTCAAAGATGGAAAGAACTACAGCTACAAGGTCTCTGGTTCGGTTCCCGTGGTCAACTCTGAGGAGGCGGCGCTGGTCAACCAAGCTCAGAGAGAGACCATACATGGCCTGGGGAAGGGGGGGAATCGTCCTCTCGGAGCTGTCAGGAGGCTGATGGATTCACAGGAGGGAGACGAGGATGGTGAAGCTGCAGGTGATGCCGGCCGTGGGCACACAAATCCGCGGGGGCGGGGGGGGAGAAGAGGCGGTGGGGACAGGCACCACAGGAAAGACCGGGCGTTGAGGAAGGCGTTTGCTGGGTTGACCACTAGTTGACCGGCAGGTTGCTGTGGTTGACCAAAGTTGGAGCAGATCGTCCATGTGAATTCATGGGTTAGAGCTTTTTTGTCTTGTTGACCTGGCAGCAGAGAGAGAGAGAGAGAGAGAGAGAGAGGGGGGGGATTCTCTCTCTTATAATAGCATAGTGCATATGTGTTAGCTTCTTTAAAGGGTTAATGTGCAATTACGTCCTTTCATGTGAATTTTTTTAAATGAATAATCCCTCTTATGTGGGATATTTTCTTTGGAAAATACTCGTTCAACTAATAATATATATATATATATATATATTGGATTTATTCGTTTTCTTAATATTATAAACTTTCGCCTTTTTTTTAAATGTCCCTGAAAAAAGAGCAAATTTAAGTCACTTCATTGTGCTCAGACTAGGGAGGGGCCTCAGTAGTACGCAGCTCACTCAGTTCTGGTCGTCTTTTGGCCGAACTCCCCTCCAGCTAATGGGCTTGGGGCACGTGGACCTATGGGTCAAACCTACCTGGCTTGCTGGGGACCCTGCCACCGCCTCTACCCAGCGGGGCCCATCTCCCCTGCCCCGCCGACAGATCTTCATGGGTGACTTGGTTGAGATGTTGGCGGCAAAGGGGCAGGTGGGCCCACCCGTACTCCCATCGCCATCTCATATGATCAATTGACCTTATGAACACGGCATTGGGTCTGAGTAACCAACGCCTCGGGGGAGAAGTAAAATCCACATATTTCAGCAAAAAAAAGTACCGATAATACTTCCAATAATTAATATCATTAAATAAATACAAAATTATTATAATTCTTAGAAAATATTAACGACGGCCCAACGGTGGGACCCGCACCGCTCGGGCTGCTGCTGTCTCTGCGGCTGGCGTGTTCCGCTCCGGGAGAACGAACATGTGCTCCCGTGCGGATTGAAAAATTCCCACGTCCTTTTTTTTGCCCCTTGAAAGTTTGTACCCTACGTGGCGGTGTGCACGGAGATCGCGCGTCGGGAACCCCGCTGGATCTCGCGACATCCTGACCGTCGAAACTTTCAAAAGCCGGCATACCTTCCTTCCGCCGTCAGGAATGTGTAGACCTTCTCCAGGGTTCGTCGTATGGACGGTTGAGATCCTCAGATCTACGCGCTATCAGTGCTGGAGAAAGCGCCTAAAAAGCAGATTCGCCGCCACGTGTGTTCCGCAATAGCACGCAAAGAGAGAGAAAGAAAGAGTAACATGTGTAAGAAGGAGAAGCAGAGAGAGAGAGAGAGAGAGAGAGAGTGGCGGCTCGTACTTGCTGAGGTCACGCTGAGGGGGGTTGGGCGGTGTCCAGATCTCGGAGGCTTCTGATTTCTGTCTTCTTCTTCTTCCCGACTGGAGGTCGTCGGCTAGCTCCGGAGTGGAGATTTCATGGCGTAGTAGTTTAAGCAGAAGCGGAGGAGTGGGAGAGAGAGAGAGAGAGAGAGAGGAGGGGGGGGGGGGGGAAGAGCGCGGAAGTCGGGAAAATCGTACGATGGCCCCTTGGAATCTCCTCCTCCTCCATCATCTGGTGGCGATCGTTCTGCTGCCATTGTTGCCGTCCTCTGAGGTTTGCAGGGCGGTGGCAGCGTGGGAGGACGTGGAAGGTTCCTCCGGCCGGAGAATTCTGCACCAGCCGCTCTTCCCCGTCGACTGGAACTCGCCGCCGGAGGGGATCTCGTACTCTCCTCCCCCCGATCAGGCATTCTTCGACGCCGCCCCTCCTCCGCCTCCTGTCACCGCCTTCAGCTCGACGTCGCCGGTGGTGACCGTCGCCGCCAATGTCTCCTCCGCTGCTCCCCGTTCTCGGCCGGAATCGGGAAAGATGGTGGTGATTGGAGTGTCGGTCTCGGTCGCCGCGGTGGTGCTGGTGTGCCTCTCTGTTCTCCTCCTCTACAGGCGGAGAGTCCGTCGTCTGCCGGGAACAGAGAAGTTGATCGGCCCCGGCAGTGGTGGTTCCCGCCGTCTCACGGCTCCCGGCGGAGGTGACGGCCGCGCTGCCTCCGACCTCTTGTACCTCGGCATGATCGAGCCGTCCAGCCGGAGGCACCCCGTGGAATCCTCCAACCGTTCTCCTTACCGGAAGCTGGAATCTATGCGCGCTCTGGAGTTGGTTCATCAGCCGAGCCCCGAGCTCCATCCTCTGCCGCCGCTGACGGCGCCGCCGCGGCCGCCGGAGATTCCGGCGGCGCTGTCCGACGACGACGCCTTCTACACGCCGGAGCGCTCGGCGTCGTCCGTCGCCAGCGAGAGCCCCTGCAGCACTGTGTCACGGAAGAGCGTCACGGCGGTGGCGACGGGGAAGGAGAAGAAGACGGCCTGCGCAGTGGATTCGTCTCCCCGTTCCAGAAGAACTTCAAGGAGCCGTCTCTCGAATTCTGCTCCCTCAGAAACTAGGCATCCCCTTCCGTCACCGGCGACGGAGGCGCCTCCACCGCCGCCCCCGCCACCGCCACCGCCACCGCCACCGCCACCACCACCACCACCACCACCACCACCACCACCACCACCTCCTCCACCTAGAAATATCAAACCACCAGAGCCCCCTCCATCGCACCTCAGACCACCATCTTCGGAAGCATCTGTCAAGCCAGTGCCGGCAGTTCGGCCTTCCTCTCGGTGCCAGTGGGTGAAACCACCAACCCCTCCTGCACAGAAACCTGTCTCTGTCACAGGATTTGAAGGTAATGGCGGCCACAGATCTTCTTCTCAGTCGTTTGACAGAGAAGGGGACGACATGGGCAGCGGTGAGAAGCCCAGGCTGAAGCCTCTGCATTGGGACAAAGTACGAGCGAGCTCGGATCGTGTGATGGTCTGGGACCAGCTGAAATCCAATTCATTTCAGTAAAGACTAGAACCCTAACGGATTCCCCTTATCTTCCATGCATTGGCATCCCACGCATTTTGCTCATTTTTTTATCCAATTGGGAACCTTCTCAGGTTGAATGAGGACATGTTTGAGACTTTATTCTGCAACTCTGCAACTCCTGCCCCAAGGGCTGTGAACAGACGACCAGTTCCCCCGCCATTGAAGCAGGATAACAGAGTTTTGGACCCCAAAAAGTCTCAGAACATTGCGATTCTCCTGAGGGCATTGAATGTGACATGGGAGGAGGTTTCTGATGCACTTCTGGATGGTGAGTTCTCTGTTTCTGTCGCCCACTCTATCTGAGATTCCTTGCTGATATGTGGATCATCATTTCTCTTTCTCCACTGGAATCAACCTATGGAAAATCTTCACAGATTTTTAGACAGTTATAGGAGAATTCTAGCGAACTGACAGAATCGGCCATGGCTGCACCTCAAGCATGGTGATCAGATGAATGATGCGAGGCTGTAGCACTTTTGGAAAACCCATCTTGAAAAGGGCATCTATCAGTGTCATTTTTTTTCCCTATGCATGGTTTTTTTCAACTAGGCTTATCTCGATCACCAGACAAGAAAAATGCAGGTTCGAATCCTTAAAAGTCAACGCTTTTATCCCCCGCATCCACCCTTTTCCTGCTCTGTTCCAGAACATCAAACTGTCCAGAGTTCTGCTATCTTGTGTTCTCTTTATTGAGAAACTCTCGGGAATATCCTCCCAATAAACACTGGGATCTAAAGACTGCAAATGGATCTATATTTTTTATATTATTTGCGTTTTGTTGCCTCTTTGGTGCGATCAGCTGATTGTACCATCACCCCGAAAATTCATGTTTCTCTGCAATTATGCCAGTATTGTTTCATAATTCCTCTATTTCCATGCCGGTAATAGTGAGTGAGTGAGTGAGTGAGTGAGTGAGTGAGTGAGAGAGAGAGAGAGAGAGAGAGAGTTCCTCTAACCTTGGTCAACTCGTGCAACAGGCAGTCCAGACGGCTTGGGCGTTGAGCTTCTGGAAACATTGGTCAAGATGGCTCCGACCAAGGAGGAGGAACTGCGGCTTAGAGACTACGAGGGCGATGTATCGAAATTGGGTTCTGCGGAGCGCTTCCTGAAAGCAGTGCTCAACATACCGTTTGCATTTAAAAGAGTTGACGCGATGCTCTACAGAGCTAACTTTCAGTCGGAAGTTAAATATCTGAGCAAGTCTTTTGAGTCTCTAGAGGTAAGAGAATCTTCTTGGCCGTTGACTTTTTCCCGGGGGAGCCATTGGGTACTCATAATCGCTGCGCAGTTTCTCCCAACAGATTATTGAGTTTTTCTCAAAAAATGCTCTTTTCCAATGAAGTTTATAGAGTAGCATCCGGATATCATGCTCTTAGCGAGAAAAATAACTATATTTAAATTATTTAAAGCTATAAATTCATGATAGATCCCAGCATCATTTGACTTGAATCTGTTTTTTTTTTTTTTTTTTTTGGTGGTACGAATGCTGTGTTTGTCAACTGCGAGATCCTGAATAGGATCACCATGTGGGTGAGATCTTTCTTGTTGACCAGTGGAGATTTTTGGTCAACCGATGTGACAAACCCCTTTTTCCCGTTAATCTGCGTTTGACCAGGATTCACCATGATCTTTAGATCTTTGGTAGTCCCGGTCAACGTCAGCCCTCTATTCTCGTACTTCTCTTATCTTCTCTCTGCTAGCTAATAATAGAAACAAACTCTAGCGCCTGACATTCTCTCTCTCTTCTTCTTGGTTCCCCAGGCCGCCTGTGAAGAGCTGAAGAGCTGTCGTCTGTTCCTGAAGCTCCTCGACGCCGTCCTCAAGACGGGCAACCGGATGAACGTCGGCACCAACAGGGGGCAGGCCACGGCATTCAAGCTCGACACCCTTCTGAAGCTCGTCGACGTGAAGGGGACCGACGGCAAGACGACGCTGCTCCACTTCGTCGTCAGGGAGATCCTCCGGTCGGAAGGTGGCGGCGGCGGCGCCGCCGCCGCCGAGGCCGATCTCAGACAGCGGGGGCTGAAGATGGTGGCCGGGCTGAGCAAGGAGCTCGCCAACGTCAAGAAGGCGGCGGCCATGGACTCGGAGGTCCTCAGCGGCTACCTCTCGAAGCTCGAATCGGGTCTGGAGAAGATCAGGCTGGTTCTGCAACTCGGCAGGACGACGAGCTCACCAGGGAGGTTCTTTGAGATGATGAGGGTTTTTCTGAAGGAGGGGGAGGAGGAGATCCAGCAGGTGAAGTCCGAGGAGAGGCGGGTCCTGCACCTGGTGAAGGAGATCACAGGGTACTTTCATGGCGACACCATGAAGGAGGAGGCCCACCCTTTCAGGATCTTCATGGTCGTGAGGGACTTCCTGCTAGTGCTGGACCGCGTTTGCAGAGAAATCGAAGCGACGAAGCCGGAGAGGGCCACGCCTGGGGCCCCCATATCGGCCGCACATAGATTCAGGCCCAGGCAGGACGACACCTCCGACGAGGACAGCTCCTCTTCTTCTTGAAGAACCAGGGCCGCCATCCTCGCTGCTCCGAGCTATGCTTGCCCTTTTCGGCGTGGGCCCTCTGGAGGCCGGAGATAACCCGACGACAGTTGACTCCAGAAGATTAGGAAGTCAACGGCAGCTCAGATTGTGGCCCTCTGGAGGCGATCCCCGCGGCCGGAGGCATCGGTGAGCTTCTACCATCTTTCATTCACAGGGTATGCTGCCGCCCGCATCAAGAGAAATCATAAATCTGTTCGTTTCAGGCTGCCATGAACACTTGTTACACCAATCATACAGAGGGGAGGCGTTGACCGGATGTGTGCTCTGATGATGATGGTGGATTATGGCAAATCTCGGGAAAGTGTGATAGCATTCAGACGATTTCCGGACCGTTGACCACTGAAATGAAAGATTTGAAACAACAATCTTTGATTCCATGAACCAGATCCTGTTCACATTTCCTTTTTTTCCCCAGTTCAGTGATGCTTGATGTTTCATTTTCTGCAAAACATATGAGAGTCAAAGTCGCCGCACTTGGAATCTGGGTCCGATGGATTCGAACCATTTGTACACCTGAATTCAAAGAAAAAAAAAAACACTCCTCTTCGGGAATTCCTCTGGGTCCATGCGTTGACTCTATAGAGTCAACGCCGTCAAACAGCCGCCTGCACTCGGAGCTCCGAACCCTCCCTTTTCCACCCGCCATTCCTCACAGGCCCATTCTATCTCTCCCCTCTCAACCATGGCCGAGAAGATTAGGGCTTCAGGGGCTGACATAGACGGGGTTTGGTGGTGATGGAGGACAGGAACGGAGTTCAGAAGGGCGATCAGGGGCAGCAGATACCACCAATCCTCTGAGATGGCCGTGGGGAAGATGGGGTAGCAGGCCTGGGGCCGCTTCGACCTGACCTCCATTAATGGCGGCTACTGTTTCCCTTCTCTCTCCCACCACAGTGACCGCCCAGTCTTCCAGTCTTTGGGGGTATCCGCTGCCTTGCGCTCGATATCAGAAAAGGGAAATGTGGCCATTAATTCCATTAATTAATTATATATTTTTATTTCCCTTCATTATATTTCGAATAAATATCAGTTTTTTATATAATGTATTATTCGTATTTATATTTTTATTTCTTAGAGAGAGAGAGAGAGAGAGAGAGAGGGGGGCGCTGACATCGCTGAGATGGATCGAGGCTGGGCCCACCAGAACTTTTGGGGTTCTTGCATATAGGCCCCTGTAAAATAATGAAAAGTTAGATAAACACCTCTCCCGGTGCGGTGGTTCTGACCAAGCAAGAAGCAAGGGAGCAAAATAAAATAAGAGGATTATAAAGGCTATAAATGTAATTATAAATTTAAAAAAAGATTTAAATGAAAGAAACGAAAATCTCGCCGAGATCATAGGCGATGAGAAGTCCACTCGTCTTTGCCTGTCTCACATATATTCTTGCCTCACGCATGCCGGCGGGGTCAGCGCCGCAAGCCGTCATGTCTCCTCCGTAGTCGCCGCCGGTTCAGAAGCTCGGCGGTGACCCTCCGGCGAGAAATGGAGTAGCGACGGCGGGGTATGGAGCAGCCTGGTGGCGCCGCCTCCCTCTCGGACTTCCTCTGCACAGAAGACCGGACTTGCTTGGACGCCGGGGACGACGACCCGGCGGAGCCTTGCAGCGCCGCCTCCCTTTCCGCCATGGACGGCGGCGAGGAGGAAGGGGAAGAGGAAGAGAGTGTCGTCTTCCTGAACGACTCTGCCCTCTCTGACACGGAGGAGTACATCGGAATACTGGTCTCCAGAGAGAGCGCCTTCCGGAGCGCTGGCGGCGGCGCCGCCGGTGGCGGCGGAGACTGGTTGAGATGCGCCCGGTCCGGCGCCGTCCGGTGGATCCTCAAAGTGTGCTTCCTCTCAGATTTGACCCTCATATTCTCTCTCATTTACTCTCTTTCGTTGACCCTATTCCTGTTGGATGATCAGGCGCGGGGTCGTCTCCGCTTCAGCCTCCACTCCGCCTACGTCTCCGTCACCTACCTGGATCGATTCCTTCTCCGGCGAACCATAGACGTAAAGCCAGATCTTGAATCGAATCTGTTGTATCATCTTCTTCCTGTTCTTGGGGAGGAGGGGGAATTCGTCGATGATTCTGACCGAGGAAGGGAACCCATCCGTTTGCAGAGATGCCAGCCATGGGTGATGCAGCTCCTGTCAGTGGCCTGCTTGTCCCTGGCGGCGAAGATGGAGGAGATCAGAGTTCCTCCCTTGCCGGAGTTTCCTTCTGGGGATTACCAGTTCGACAGCAGGGCGATCCAGAGGATGGAGCTCCTCGTCTTGAACACTCTGGAATGGCGCATGAGCCCCATCACCCCCTTCGTCTACCTCAGTTTCTTCGCCATCAAGCTCGCCGGCGATGTCGCCGCTGGCGAGAAACTGTTCTACAGAGCAGTCGGGTTCATCTTCTCCACCATCGAAGGTGAAACTCCGGCGAGATGAACGCCGCCGAGAAACCCACCACCTGAGCTCTCACTTCCACTCCCTGTTTGCTCCACCAGGGATGAACCTGGGAGACTTCCGAGCCTCCGCCGTAGCCGCGGCGGCGATCTTCGCCGCCTCCGGGAAGGTCCCGACGGAGACCTCCATGCGGGTCATCTCAACCAGCGGATCTCCGCCAATCGTAGGTCCCCTCTTTCCCCCCCCCCTCCCCCCCAAATAAATCTCCTCTCATCTTCTTTCAAAGATCCTATCACTGGTCCCCCCATCTCTGTTGTTAGGGCCAGGTCTTCGCCTGCTACAAGACGATGATCCAGGAGTCTCGGAGCTCTCAATCGGGACCGGGCCCCCGCGGCGCCGACATGGGCTGCAAGAGGAGGAGGGACGGCGCCGACTGACGGCGGCGGCGGCGGCCGCCGCCGCCGACCTGCTTTGCTCGGTCTAGCGTTTAGCATCGGGGAAAGATTCAGCTGGGTCGGCTCTCCTGAGCAGGAAAGCCTAGGAGGAAGAGGAAGGAGGAGACTGTAGGATCAAAGCCTCCCTGTACATTCATCCCCGTAATATTTTTCCCTAAAAGGAGGGAGAGTGAGTGAGTGAGGGATGGGGTCGTTCTGAGAGTCTCATTTTGGAACTCCGCGTTCTCCGTGAAGTCAAATCACGCCGCCGTGGGAGACCGCCGGGGGCGGCTCCCCGCAGCTGCCGCTCGAGCCGCGGCGGCGCTTTTCATCGGAGACCAGTGGGGGCGCTCACTGTTCGCCGAAATGCCTCGCCCACTGTCCCCGTCTTCATGATAAGACAAAATAGCGATTCTCTCTCTATCTCTCTCTTCTCCTGCCCCCTTGCAGCCCATCTCGCTCCTTTGCCAGCCGAGAGAGAGAGACTGCAGTTGAGGGTAAAATGGTCTTTTCATTTGTACACTAAAAACTAAATAGAGAGAAACCACTAAAAATTCTGTTTACTAAATAAAATGGGCCAGATCAGTTTGGACTTTGGGCCGAGGCAGACCGATCCTAATGGCCCAATGGGCTTTGTTGGAATTAGGCCATTTGGGGCCAGTTAAAACGGGCCTACTTTTGGGACTAGTCGGCGTCCGAATTGCGCCATGTAAAGACCGTTAATGGGCTAATTTTGTAATTGGGCTGACCAGTGGAGTTTGCTCCGAGACAAATGGTTATACTTGGATTAAGGCTGAGTTGAAATTGGGCCATTTTGGCGCAGTAAATGGGCTGTTTTTTGGGCCATATCTTGTCTGAATCGCGCCACTTTTGTGATTGGGCCGATTCGGCTTACTGGGCTAATATTTTTAATTGGGTTGAACTAGGTTTTTGCTAACGCTTATTGGGCTCTTCCGTCTTGAGGGAGTGGTCCAGGTGGCTGGCCTCAAAGGAGGGCGGAGGAGCATAAAAGGAAGGGATTCCCTCGGCTGAGCTTCCGTGCGTCTCTTGGTCGCGGACGAGCTCGTCGCCGTCGGCTTGGTGGGCGTCCTCTCTCAGCCAACAGAGAGGAGCAATCGACCGCCGGGAGAAGCCCTAGTTTTAGGGGCGAGTGGGAGCTATCAGTGTTCGGGGGAGCAGGAGTGAGGCGCGGCTGTTTGCCATCACCCATGTCTCGACGGGAGGCTCGGGATTCGCACGGCAAGCGCTGGGAGTCCAGGTCCGAGCGAGATCCCAGGTAACTTATCCCGTTCTCCAATCTTCCTGCTGAATAGGTTGAAATACTTTTATGGATTTGAAATCCCCGAGTGAGATTGGTTCTTCGGTGAGCTTTTTCCTTTATTTTCGGTGGCGAGATATTCTGTGGGAGGGAGGGAGGAGAGCGAGGGAGAGTGATACTTGTTTTTGGATGTCGATGAGCCTGTCGATGGTGGTAGAGAAGTTAAACCCTTGGAAGCTTTTCGCATGGGGCGGCGAGTGCCTGAGAGTCTTTATCCGGTGGGAAATCTATACAGAGTTTATAAAATGCTGCGTTCTGGGATTATCAATTCGGAATTTGATGTTGTGAAGTGAGGAAGACGCATTTTATTCTCTATTTTTTGAATGTTCAACTGGTTGTTGAATGTTAATCTATATATTTTTGTTTGATTAATATGTTTGTAAGCGTGAATCATCCTTTCTGGTTCATCCTTTGAGCTCATATCATTTGCGAGTAGCACAATGACTCTTCCACCGGAAGAACTGGTACTTATCTATTCTTTTTGAGAGAAAGTCTGCTATTGTTTTTGAGCTATCAAGAGCTACGTTACCCAGCCTATTCTGTCGCAGATACCCACATCCTTGGATTTCACTCTAACCATCGTCCAAATAAACTCAGATGGTACCATATGAAAAGGGTTCTTCATCCTGTCGGAAGGGGATCTAGAAACATGTTCATAATCTCAAAAATTGGGAACGCAGGGTGAGTGAGTTGCATTCATCAGATCCAGACAGAATGAGTAACTGCTTTCTTGAAAGATGGAAGTTTTTTTTTTTTTTTTTCGATTCAGGGAGTGTTCATCTCTGTGGGGAGGGGGCCGCGGCTTAGTGTTCATAACTTCTCATGTTTCCATTTTTTGGGAGCCGCAAGTAAACTGATGTCTCCATGCTGATGTTCTGATTATTTTACCTTCATTGATCTTTTTCGCCCAGCCCCAAGAGATCAAGAAGAGATGGGAAACATGAAACAGAGCAGTCACATCCAGAGAACAGCTTGAAGACCATGGAACAGGCTGATGGTGACCAAAAGTATCCATCTAGGTCAAAAGACGATGTACCAGTCGAGGCTAATCTTCCATCAGAATCGAAGGGGAAGTCAGATTTTGTGAACAAAGAAGTGAAGAAGAGTGATATCCCCTCCGAGGGCACCAGAAATTCCAATGATGAAACAGATGTGCCAAGATCCCGTTTACATTTCCAGGTATTTGAGGCATCACTTTGAAGCAGTATGTCCCTTATATATATATATATATATATATATATATATTTATGTTTATATATATCATCATCCTGAAGCAATGTGTTCTGGTGAATACTTTCTGTTTCTGCTAATGTTCGTCTTATCTTTTACTTTTTTTAGCGCAAATATTCCCGTCGTTGCCATGACAAGAATTTTTCATGTTCTTTCTAGTTTTCTTTTAGTTTCAGCTCCTAGTCATATCACCGTTGACTATAAAAGGGACTTGTTGGTCAGTATGCTTGCATTCCATGTAGTGGTGTTAACAGTTGGTCCAGAAATCATGTAGTCTTATTACCGTTGACTTTCCATAATTGTAATGCTATATTTGGTAAGTTTCTGAAGTGGCATTCATAATATTGCCTGCGTCCATTACCCAATCTGGCTGCTGATTGGTGGGCTATTAAGGATGCAGTGATCTTCCCAAGCTGCATGCTTACCCCTTTTTGATCTCGTCTCACTTTATTTCTTTATTTCTTTATTTCCACCACCACTATCGGTAGATAACTTCATCTGGGAGGTAATATCATTAAATATTTACCCCAATTCTGTACTTCATTTCAGTTAATGACTCGCAAGGTATTCTTGACTGCAATTGCTCCCAATTAGATAACTACAGAGTATTTATCTAATTTCTGTAGGAAAATATGTTCTTGTCACGGGTATATGAATCGTTGAAGAAATTGTTGCTTGCACATTTGGAGATTTCTGCCTGTCCATCCATTCGGTGGGGAAGTCAGATGATTTCGCCCATTGCTTGATCTTCTCTCTGCTGAAGAATTTTAATGATTTTCCACATAAAGATCATGCTTTTCATCAAAAAAATTCTTTCTCATATTCCGTTGCTGATATTCTTGGGATTGATCTTTCCACGGCAAGAACCCGGATTCTTTCTTCGAAGTTTGCTTGAAATCTCAGGCGATATCTGCTTGTCATCTCCAGCATGGCGACCGTGGCGGGGAGGAGCACGGCGACGGCCGCGGCATCGGTCGCAGAGCAACCGGTGAACTCTCTCGTCTTCTCCCTGTTCCTCCGATCCTCCCGTCTCCACTGGTATTTGCCGGCGCCTTCTGATGCCCTCGTTTCGCAGAGAGGAGACCTCCCTGGGATGATCCCAAGGAGAGCTCAAGCCCCAGGTTCAGAGATGATAGAGCTTCGGAGTTGCAGAGGAGGGATAGGAACCCTAACCGGCTGGACGACCGCTTCTGGAGGCATGACAGGTACCAGGAACTCGAAGCGGGGGCAGCGCCACCGGCGAGGCGGAGACCGGCTTTCAGAGAGAGCAAAGCTCCGGCGGCGGAGCCCCTTCCGACGGCGAGGGATGCAGCAGGTGCGGAGTTCCTGAAGTCGTCTCGCCGCGATCGACCTGGATATCGCGGACGGGAGATGCCGGAGAGGAGCGGCTTTGCCGGAGCAGATGATCGGATCTGGAGAGAAGATCGGCCCCTGCAGTGGGGAGAGAATCGCCGGCCAAGCTATCACCCGAGAGAGAGGTTCGGCCCCGGCGCCGGCGCCGGCGGGCGGTGGGGGCGGGAGAGGTGGATCGACGGGCGGTACGGCGAGAGCAGCGGCCAGCCCCCCCAATTCGGGGGCGGCTACCAGGCGGAGAGATGGAAGCACGACCTCTTCGACGAGGGCAACCGGAGCCCGACCCCGAAGAACGAAGAAGATGAGATCGCGAAGGTGGAGGCCCTCCTATCCTCTTAAAACTGTTCGTGATCCAGCCCGTCTTCTCTTCCTCCCGGGTTCTCCAGGCGTCCGCAACCCTGAAACCCTAAACGCCTGCGCAGATTCTGCCGTCCGCCATGGTTGCGGAGATGATGAATTTGATAGTTCAGCCAATCGTTAGGCTTTTCCGTTTAGAGGGACTTCTAGCCGTTATGCCGTGAAACTATCGCGTGTACTGTTTTTGGGTTTTTCGGGCCCAGCCCGGCTCATGCGTAGGTCGGGCCTGGCCCAATTCCTTGTCACTAGGCTCTCAAATACTCTGCTATTTACCCATCCTATTCATAAAATTTTGCTCCTATTCGAGCCCGTGGGCTTTTATTATTATACATGCATCTGAGAAGGAAATTATTAATTTTGTTAACAATCAATATTATTATAATTAAAATGATAGGTCTGTTAAATATTATTTGAAACATTTATATATATATTTTTTAATGAATTTTTCGTTTGCGGTTTCGAAGATCGAGTCCATCCCCTTCCTTGGGCGGCCGCCTAAGTTTGCCGATGTCTGTAGCCAGCGGGAGGCCGCCGGTGAGGATGGCGGTACGATCCGTCTTCGACGCGGGGGCTCTCCGCAGCGAGTTCGAGAGTGCAGGGATCAGCACGAAGTTCCTTCCCTTGATCTGGAGGTATTTTGGAGGGAGGGGGAGAGGACCTGAAGTGGTGGTGTGTGTGGCTGAGGTTTTTCATCTCGTTTCTGTTTTCATTGTGCAGGCATGCCCTCGACAACCCTAATTGCGATCTAGAGGATGTTCCCTCTCTGCCGTCGGCGGCGTACCCGCTCCTTCGTGACAAGTTCAGGACCATGACCTCGTCGGTCGCCTCCGCTGTAGATTCCGCGGATGGAACCACCACCAAGCTCCTCGTCCGCCTGCAGGTTTCCGTCCTCTTGTTTTATTCCTTATTTTCTCCAATTACAGGCTTCTTTCTTTAAGTTATTCAGAGCATTTTCCTCTTTGTAATCATCTAAAGGTTGACGTCTGGATATTAATCCCATAATCTCCTGTGGCGTTGGCTTCGTCAATATTGACGGTCGGCGAGGGTCTGTAGGTCGTGATGAGCTCCACCTTGAGAATTCTTACATCTCTGACCTCTTTATGTCCGATTCTTCAGCTTTCCCATTTTCTTCTCCTCGGTCTCAGATTAATACCTTATTATCTATTTGCGGTCTGCGATCTAGGCTATGTAGTGAACTGGCTACCATTTTCTTCTTCGAGCAATTACCAACTAAAGGCCTCTCCCGTATGATCTGATACCTGTCGCGCTGTGGTCTTGGGTGACAGCTCGGTTTGCTGTTGCGACACCTGACTGTGTGAAGTCTTTGTCACAACTTGTATCAATGATGCAACTTTGTACGGATAGGTCTGGTACATTGTTTATCCATAGTCATATAACTTATCGATGATAATGTGGCCTCTCTCAATAAACCACAATCCCGTTATTCCTGATCCCATACTGAATCAATGCAGACTAGGCAACATAGTATTCAAAAGTATCCAATTTCAACTGATTCCGCTCCGTTGTGTTATCATTTAGTCTTTTTTCCTATGATAAACAGAACGGCAGCTATATAGAGGCTGTGATTATGAGATACGATACACGATTGGGTAAATATGATGGAAAGCCTCGTCCCGGAGGCCTAAGATCGACATTATGTGTCTCGTCCCAGGTATTCTCTTCCCTGCTATATCCGTCCATTTTTACCTGTAAATTTTAGTTCATCTCCCTGCTGTAGAAATTAGTATCATCCTTTTTTTTCTGTTTTCGTTTCCTGCACTAGGTTGGCTGCAAGATGGGTTGCAAATTCTGTGCCACTGGCACCATGGGCTTCAAAAGCAATTTATCATCAGGGGAAATTGTGGAACAGCTGGTTCATGCCCTTAGATTGTCAAATATACGCAATATCGTTTTCATGGTAATCTTTTTTTACCTATGTTTCTGTCTGAGCTACTTGATATTGTGGTGTACGGTATCACTGGTCGATTTTTATTTTCATTTTATCCTAGTGATCAATGCCTTTATGAGAAATGTATGAGCTTCTGTTGTAGAAATTAGCAGTCCGTGACCTGAATATGTTCTGCTTTGTTGCTTGTCGTATTTATTAACACTTGTCATCGCCAGATATGGGGAATTTTTGCACAATTTGATCCCCATTTTTTATCCCAACTAGTTTCTTGATTTCTTATTGGGCAAATGCAGGGGATGGGGGAGCCCTTGAACAACTATTCTGCGGTAGTGGAAGCTGTCAAGGTCGTGACTGGAAGCCCTTTCCAGCTCTCGCCAAAGCGGATAACCATCTCCACTGTAGGTGACGTTACTGTGGCAACACTAGCAACCACCATGCTATTAAATTATTTAGGCACATATATTACTTATCAGGAATTCAATCTTCCCTGTGATATGCTTCACATTTGTCACTGGTGATGCTCCTGGAGCCATAATTGATCAAACATATCCACTATATGCTGTTGACGAATAGTCTTCATTGGTTCGCCCACTTTTGGGAGAGCCCAAAATGGGTTGTTTCTGACCATTTTTCCCTCCTTCAACCCTTGCCGGTCGGAATAGACGATGTCTTGTGAGGATTATCGATCTCTTGTAACTCTTGGGCAATTTGACCTTCATTTCCATGAAATGTTCCCAATTCTGAGATTATTATCTATTATGTACGTAGAGAAGCTGCCCTGATACTATTTTTTATACAGCATTTATAAGATTTTCAGTTCCAGAGCCCTCATTAATGCAATGCTGTTCATTTCTAACTTGCAAAGAACGGTGACCAAAATTGATGGTCTCAACTCAGGTTGGGATTATTCACGCCATCAACAAGTTTCTGGGTGACCTGCCGAATGTAAACCTGGCCGTCTCTCTGCATGCACCAGATCAGGAAACCCGTTGCCAGATAATGCCCGCCGCCCGGGCCTTTCCCATCTCACGTTTGTTAGACTCATTACAGGTTTATCAGAAGACTTGGTGAGATTTCGAACCCGTTGGTAGAAAAATATTCTCCGATGATTTATTTAGAGTTTACACTGGCAAGTTAATGTGACCAACATTATTTCAGTGGACAGAAGATTTTTATCGAGTACATCATGCTTGACGGGGTTAATGACCAAGAACAGCACGCCCATCAGCTAGGCAACGTGTTAGAGCCTCTGAAAGTGGTGAGTTACTGTTGATGGCGGTAGAAACCGTGATATTTCCCTCTAGTTGTGCCCGTCTATGATCTCTAGTTCTGTTCATCATGAATTCTTTCTCAATTTACGTGTATATATTTCTTTGCAATTCTCTCCAGGCCCTCAAGTCATCATATTTTACTGCCAATCTCTCTCTCTCTCTCTAGATATATATATATATATATATATATATATATATAAATAGGGGTTCGGTGTTGGAACAGGTAGTGAATCTGATACCCTTCAACCCCGTGGGCGGCGGGACCTCAAGCCACTACAAGGCAACTCCCAGCCAGACCGTTCTCAGCTTCCAGAAGATTCTGAGGGGCGTCTACAACATCAGAACCACCGTCCGCCAGCAGATGGGCCAAGACATCAGCGGTGCCTGCGGCCAGCTGGTGGTGAATCTGCCGCTGCGGCGGCCCCTGGGACTCACAACCCTCTTGCCCGACATCGAGGATCTCCGGATCTGATCCTTCCACGGTGACACATTCTCCCTATTTCCCATTCATTCACTAATCTTTGACCCGGAATAGATCCCTCCCCCCGCCCCTCTCCTTGCTCATAAAAACGGAATCTTTTCGACCCTGGTCAACCCAACTGGCCCGGCTCAAGCCGAACTCAGATCAATCCAGTAAAGGGCTTGATTTTATGGGGATTAAAATCAAAAGATCGGTGACCTCCATTACCCCTAATTTATACCTCTATTTGACTATGCATGATGGTGGGTTGACCCTGTATTAGTGGATCACTCTTCCATTTTTCCCATAAATGGTGAACCTCTTGACCGTTTAAAATGATAGCTGTTCTCTACTGTCTCAGGAGCTTCAAAGGCGCGCGAGTCCAAGTCAACCCGGGCCGTGAGAATCGACCCGCTTGGTAGAACAGTTGATGCAAACACGGCAGCAGGAGTGTGCCTGCAAGCACCTCCCCCATATCCATCCGTAGGTTAGGTTACTGAGAGCGACTCGTTTCTCTGTCATGGCTGTCATCATCTTCCTCAGAAGCTTCAATCCTCGTCTTCCTCCACTGCCCCCATCCACTCCACCATATCTTTCTCCTTCGAAATAGATCACGGTTGGCCTACCACATCATCTGCTGGTCTTGACCTAGTCAGAAACAAGAGCCCCATCCCCATCCGGCTCTGTTGTTAATATAATCCCTCCCCTGAGATGGACCGGAGCTTCCAGACGATGAGGACGACGGCCCCGGACAGCTGACTACGGGGAGCTCATCCTTATCTTCGCTTTGACTCACCAACCATCCATGAAACTCAGCCCATATTCAGTAATTTTCCCTGTGGCGGTGGAGAATGGGTCAACGCTCGCATCCGCCTGCGTCGCCGTCCGACGGTGGGTGATATATAGATCCGGCGAGAACCAGAAGAAATCTCTGCGGCGAGAACCAGAAGAAGTCTCTGCGGCGAGAACCAGAAGAAATCTCTGCGGCGCGGACCAGAAGAAATCTCTGCGGCGAAGACCGGAGGAAATCATCTCTGCGGCGATGGAGGGGATCATACCTCTGGTGATCCGAGCTTTCAGGAAGAACAGGAAGAGGAGCAAGTATCGGTGCCTCTCCAAGAACCCCAACCGCGCCATGCCCGCCGGCGAGTGTGAGGACGGAGGAGATCAGTACCACCACTACAACAGCCACTTCGTCTGGAGGAGCTCCTCCTCCTCCGCCGTCGCCGTCGCCGGCCGCGGCTACGAGGACTTCCCCCGTCGGTACCCACAACCGCCGCCGCCGCCGCCTCGGGGATTCGCTCCGAGCCGCAGCGTAGGGCACGGTGGCGCCGCCCTGCCGCCCGTCCTCTCCTACCCCGAAGAGTTGAGGAGGACGAAGAGCGGCAGCGTCTGGTAGGAGGAAGGGAAGAGATCTCTGCCGCCGCCTCTGTAAATTCTGACGGACTCCGCTCCTCCCTGATTCCCAGATCATCGTCCTCTCGCCGCTGCAACGGTCGGGGGCCGGCATTGGACGGCGGTGATCCGATCCGAGAGGTCTTTTAGCAGGGTGCATGTTAAAAGGAGTGATCGCCTTTTTCTCTTGTATGATATTATTTAAAGAAAGTTTCTTGGAAAAATGGTCCCCAGTTTTCTCCTTTTTTAAAAAATTATATGTAAAAATAGAAATTCAAAGAAGGGGCGCTCTATCCCAACGGCTACCGGTTGACAGCTTCCCATTCGAGCGCTTTGACCATTGACCCGCTCAACTAAAATTATTGACCCGCTAAACGCTCTGGTGTTTAGGGTGCCTTCGAAAGCCCAGGTCAAAGCACGTGCACTAGCGTTTGGAGATGTGACGTAATTTCCCGACAAAAGCAAATGCGGCGTACAGGTTGATGCGAAGAATTTTCGACCGAAATATATATAGTCACGGCCAAAAGGATCAGGATCTAGTGGGTTCCCCGGTCATCGGATCGTCCAGGAATCGGGACGATCTGAGTCAATGCGTCCGATTTCCATGCCAATCCCGGCCAAAATCCCCGGTTCGAATTTATCGACCCGGTCCGCCGATTCTGACGTGGCGAACAATGATTGGGAGGACCACGAGGAGCTACAGCGTGGAAAATCGTCCTTCACTCTCCGACAGGTCTCCGTGGCCAACGGTCGGATAACTCCCACGTGTCAACAGAGTGGAAAGAGGAATCCGCGACTGAGATTACGGCGTGATGTGACGATAAATCACCGCTACCCACTCCGAACGGACGAACCTCCTCCTCCCTTCGTCCCTTTCAGAGGTCCCCCCTCTCTCTCTCTCGCTCTCGCTCAGTCTCTCTCTAAGCGAGATCGGAGGAGATATCGCCAAGCTGGGGTGATGGCATTGGGTGGGGCATCCTCTCCAACTAGCCGCGGGCAATTCCATTTCGTTTATAGAACTGGTTGCCGAGATTCCTTCTGCCTCTTCTTCTGCCTTCGTCGCGGCTTCAATTGCGTCGGGTGTATGTGAGATATGATCGCGGCTGCCTTGGGGCTCCCGCGTCTGTGCTCCCCGTCGTGCGGGGCGCTGCGTGGCCGGGGGCGGAATCCAGGGGCGTGGGTGCCGGCGGAGTCGCCGGCCTTCGTCCGGATCGAGTCGGTGAGTGGTGGAGGAAGGGAACCAGGGACGGTGGTGAGGCCCGAGAAGTTGGGTGGTATCATGGCGGAGGGGACGTCCAAGACGGGGAAGGCCTTTGTTTACGGGGAAGAAGAGACAGCCGCCGGAGGAGGGGATCAATCTGCCAGGTTGGGGTCTGAGGTGGCTCCATTTCCTGACGAATGTGATTGCTCTATGAATAGTGTCTCGGACAATGTTGCCCAAAGTATGTGACAAAAGGAAATTCCTCAGCGAATTTCCCGCTTTCCCCTTTCTTGTATTCAATGTCGTATATTCTCCTCTCACATGCTTCGTAAATTACTGAAAAACTCTTCTCCGTTTTTCCGCAAAAAAAAAGTAGATTCTTCGCGATTCCGATGGTCAATCTCGTTCTCAGATGCGTAGCGTGCAAGGCTACAATCCTTGAATTCCTCTGCAAAAGAAATAATTCTTGTAATACTGGGGGGTTACTTAGCAAGACCGGAGTTGCATTCTGTCCACTTTATTCCTTACAATCCTTCCAAAGTCTTTAGCTGTATCTCAAGAATTCCGTCATGTAGTAACAGTGGGGAGTGCTGACATGATTGAAACCTACGGGTTAGTGGGATTCTCTGCGATGGTAACGATCACGAGATTGCAAAAACCTTCTGCCTCGTATCATGTCTGCGTGGAACTGAATGCCACGTCCCTGCGATTCTCCTTACAGCAGCCAAGGAGCGGGTGATGATCATCATCATTTTTGCTCCCAGTGCTGCAGCATGCTTGAGAAGACCATTATTTACCCTCATTTTCTTGCATGCTTATCCAGGAATGAACGGGCATGTGATTTCTACTGTTGGGAGATCGACGAACATTAAGTGGCATGAATGCCCGATTGGGAAGCTCGAAAGGCAGAGCTTACTCGGGCAAAAAGGATGTATCGTTTGGATCACTGGCCTTAGTGGTTCAGGTTTGTCGCATGAACTCAGCTATCCTGTCATCTATCCGTTGTCCGTATTTTCACTTGGAAGTTTTGAATTTTTTTTCTCCTCTGCACTACTTTGCTGTTATCTTAATGATTTCTGGTGACAGATGGGATATCTTGGAAACGGAAAATGCAGAGACATTGTTTAATTTTAAAACACTGAGCAATAGCGTCAGTTTTTCAAAAATATTTAATTTTAAGACCATTTTTTTTAATATCCATATTTTTATTTTATTTTTTGAATCTCCAGTTCAATGTTACTTTTCTGTATAAGTTTTCTGAATCATCATCTAAAAGTGGAATTGGTGCTATAGCTAGTTATTTTGGCAGTGGAGCAAACGGGCTTTGGAGTCATTCAAGAACAGATGCTAAGGAGAAATTAATTGAGCAGATGGCATGACGTGATGCTAAATAAGTTGACTCCCCAGCACTTACTTCTATAGAAATCGAGGGATTTGATGCTGGATTCCCGTGAGAGCATTTTACTCTCTCTCTCTCTCTCTCTCTCTCTCTCTCTCTCTCTCTCCCTCTCTCTCTCTCCCTCTCTCTCTCCCCCTCTCTCTCCCTCTGTTGTGGAAGGTTTCCTTTCTAGCTTTTTTTCTCTGCCTTTCAGGATCATAGGATTCGTGAACTCTCTGCTTCGAAATAAATCTTCTCGTGCTGTGAATTTACTGACGAGAATCGCAGGAAGGATTTATCTTACAGGAGATCAAGTTACTTTATCACATTATTTGGTAACATTGAGAAGTCCTGTAATTCCTTCGAGGCAAGATGATCATGTATGATGAAAGGATTGTGAATTCTTTTTTAAAAAGTTAAAATTTCTTTCATTCAATGGATAACCCTGACTTCCACGAGGTAGACTCTAGGGAGGGCAGGCCCATGCCCCATGCCTCGCCGGAGTTTAAAGTAGTTCTGAACATAATATCCATATCTTGTGGCAATTTCTGTGGAACATAATGGCAAATGTGGGTTACAAGCAGATGTAGCAAATTTTCATGCAATATTTTCTTCTGAAGAAAATTATAGAAAAATTGCATTTGTTCTTTCAGGTAAGAGCACTCTGGCATGTGCATTAAGCCGGGAACTGTACTGCAGAGGCCGTTTATCCTATGTTCTTGATGGGGATAACCTCAGGCATGGATTGAACAGTGACCTGGGCTTCAAGCAAGAAGATCGTGCAGAAAATATACGGAGAATTGGTGGGTACCGTCACTAGTTCTTCATGATACCGACTCATCTTCAACTTTCTATGGTCATTTTTATCTTCTTATTTGAGACCATTTACCTCAACAATCGACGATTCTTTGATATTAAAACCCACAACTGTTTGGCAGAATCATTCAATCGTGCTCTAGGGCATCGTGGCATAGGCCCTTTGGGATTTTATTTTTTTTCTTCTCATATCAGTCTTGATCCGGTGTGTTATCACATGGCAGGGGAGGTAGCGAAGCTCTTCGCAGATGCTGGGGTCATCTGTATTGCCAGCTTGATTTCCCCTTACAGGAGGGACCGCGATGCTTGCCGCGCCTCATTGTCTGAGGGTACTTTTATTGAGGTCATTTCTTCTCCCCATTATCAACTCTGCCAGCGTAGAATGTCTAGTCTATCGCAGAGCCATCATTCTACTCCACGCTTTGTATGATTCATCCACGCCTTGTCCTGTCAAGAAAAGCTTATATAAAATATATACTGCGGCAGGTCTTCATGGACATGCCGTTGGAACTGTGTGAAGCAAGGGACGTAAAAGGCCTGTACAAGCTTGCACGCGTGGGAAACATAAAAGGTGGGCCCCTGGCATTCAGAGCTCCCCCCATTCATCATGGAAAAAAAAACCTGATTTTTTTTTTTTCCTCGAGGTCAATATTTATGAATCTACGAAAGTTATTATAAAACCTTTTTTATTCATTATAAGTGAAATAGAATTCGAGCTGACCCAACCATGCTAGCTTAATGGTTCATTTAACCAGTGCTGGTTGTTCTTACTTGGGTATGAATAATATGGGTGTATATTTCCTAATTACCTCATAAAATTGCTTCAGGTTTCACTGGAATAGACGATCCATATGAAGCACCTTTAAACTGCGAGGTAAGGAGCTTGATTCCATATTCAATGTTCTGATCTCTGATGACGTGAAGTTCATTGGCGCATTAAATTATTGAAGAATTACAGCAGAAGATGGGGGATGAACCATGATGGAATATATTTTCTCCGATTCTATTATTTAATTTATTTTCTTACCGCATGGTGGGTAGAATTTCATTAGAAAAACTAAATCATGATTAGGGTTTTACCCCTGTTGGTAGAAAATTGCTGTAAAATTACTCATAAGTCCCTAAATGTTCTGAGATTTATCGTTTCAGATTGTAATACAGCAGAAGGATGGGGTATGCCCTTCGCCCAGCGCCATGGCCGAGCAAGTCTTGTCGTACATGGAGTCCAAGGGCTACCTTCGAGCTTAGTTTGATCCGTTGTGAGAACCTCGCTAGACGCTGAGTCCACACCTCGTGGACCTGCCGGCATAAAGAGGAAGAAAGGCTCCTGCTTTCTGCTGCTGCTGCTGCTGCAGCTGCTGCAGCTGCCGATGACGATGGAGACGATTTGATGGTGATATTATTGTTTGTTTATGTATTGATTTCTGCTGGTTAAGTTGGACGAGGATTGGGTCGAATAATGATATCTATTATCGGGTGTTGTTCTATAAATTTGGATGTATTTATTAGGGTAAAGATTTGTGTAATGCCGGTGATGTTTATACACCGTTGTGGAGTGATGGCTGTACTTTCTCTCTCTAGACCGTCTTCAACGGCTATGAGGGGAGCGATGTGCCCGTGATCCCACGTCCACTCAATAAATGAAGTGAGAGAGAGAGAGAGAGAGAGGCTCACACACACAACCACTGCTCAGGTGCGCTTGCCTCCTACCATCACCTTTTTTGTAGAAAATTTTAGAGAGAGAGCGAGAGGGAGAGAGATGGGCGGTGGGGAGGTCGACGAGATCCCATGAAAGCCGAATCCTACACTCTGAGAGAGAGAGAGAGAGAGAAGCGGGGGGATGTGGGACGTGAGACCCTCTCTCTCCCCTACCCCACCCAGCCTCTGAAAACATAGAGCTAGAGAGAGAAAGGAAGCACGATCAGCTGAATGCCACAAAAACCCATCTTGGAGAGCCACGCCTCCCCCCGCCCACCGACCTGACTCTCAGAAAACTTAGAGAGAGAGAGAGAGAGAGAGAGAGAGAGAGAGAGAGAGGAGGAACATGATGGGTCTCCTGCTCCAGTAGGGCAGAATACTACCCTCACCCCCTCTCCTCCCACGCCCCCCGGCCAACGACTGCCCAGTTGACGTAGTGGTTGACTTCTCCCTTGTGATTAAATGGATACCCTCTTCAACCCACCCTCCCTCCGGCCAGATCATCATCATCATCCTCTCCACTCCACTCCCTCCTCCGCCAGCTCCACCACCAACCACATCCCCCACCACTGCCTTCCCCACCAACTTCTTCCCCGCTCCGCCGCAGAATGCTGCACCACCGCCTCCTCCTCCACCCGCTACATGGACAGTGACGACTTCTCCGCCGCCGCCGCTGCCGCCTCTTCCACGACGCCTCCATCGCCGACCCGCGGCGGCAGCTTCGCCCTCCCCCACCTCCCGGATCTCGCCGTCGACCTTCACACGGCACCACCGGGGACCTGGGCGACGGAGCTCCTCCTCGAGTGTGCCGCCGCCGTCTCCGGCGGCGCCACCGCTAGGGCCAACGAGTTCATGTGGCTGCTCAACGAGCTCTCCTCTCCCTACGGCGACACCCACCAGCGGCTCACCGCCTACTTCCTGCGAGCTCTCCTCGCCCTCTCCTCCTCGTCGGCGGAGAGCTCCCTCCGGGCCCTCGCTGCCGCCGTAGACCGGAACCGCTCCTTCGAGTCCACCCGCCGGACGGCCCTCCGCTTCCAGGAAGTCAGTCCCTGGTGCACCTTCGGGCACGTCGCCTCCAATGGCGCCATACTGGAAGCCCTCGACGGCGAGCCCTTCCTCCACATCCTCGACCTGAGCAACACCTTCTGCACACAGTGGCCCACCTTCCTGGAAGCTCTCGCCACCCGCTCCGGCGACGCCCCACGCCTCCGCCTCACCGCCGTCTTCGGCGGCGCCGCTTTGCACCAGGTCGCGAAGGAGATCGGCGCCCGCCTGAAGAAGTTCGCCCGCCTCATGGGCATTCCCTTCGACTTCCACGCCGTCCACCACGACGGCGACCCGGCGGAGCTCGACTTCGACTCTCTCGGAGGTGGTGGCGCCGCCGCATCCGGCGGCGCCGGGCTGGCCGTGAACTGCGTCAACACGTTGCATGGGGTGCCCTCCGGCGAGCGGCGGGACGCGATGGCGGCCGCGCTCCGCCGCCTGCGGCCGAAGATCGTGACGGTGGTGGAGGAGGTGGCCGACTTGGGGCCGGAGGGCGGCGGCGACTTCGTGAGGAGCTTCGGGGAAAGCCTCCGGTTCTTCGCGGCGTATTTCAACTCGCTGGAGGAGAGCTTCCCGAAGACCAGCAACGAGAGGCTGGCGCTGGAGAGGGCGGCGGAGCGTGCCATCATGGACCTGGTGGCCGGCGATCCGGCGAGGTCGACGGAGCGGCGGGAGACCGCGGCAAGGTGGTCGCAGAGGATGAGGGCCGCCGGCTTCTCGCCGCTCCCTCTCAGCGACGACGTGGTGGACGACCTCAGTGCCCTCCTCAAGAGGTACCGCGAGGGATGGTCGATGGCGCCGCCGCCGCCGCCGCCTCCGGCGGGGACCTTTCTTCTGTGGAAGGAGCAACCGGTGGTGTGGGCCTCCGCCTGGAAGCCCACGCCGCCTCCGCACTGAGAGAGAGAGCGGGATGGCGGGACGCACGTGCGGACGCGAAGCTACATGGAGGAGGAAGATGACAACCCGACAGCAGGAAGAAGGTGGATATTTTTATTTTCTTTTTTTTTCGACAATTAAAAAATGGCGAAAATGTGAGAGGAGTGAAAGTGCTTCCGCCGCCGGCGGCACGTCCAGATTTACAAAAAAGCCCCTCGTCAACTTCTCCAAAGTCCAAGCCCTCCTGGAGCCAATGTCTTCGTAATTTCGCTCATCACACAGCATCAACTTCTCCAAAGGTGGGTCAATCGAGATCATATCATATCGCATGTCGGATCTTGGTGACTCGATGCTCCCACTAACGCTAATGACACAAGTCCACTCCTAGGATTAATTATTTTAGTACAGATTCTAAAATTGGCTGATTTCGTGGACCCACCAAGAAAGTCAACGACTTGGTCTGAAATGCTACAGAAAATAGGGATTTTGTAATTTTTGACGAATTATTCATCAAAAGTCCGGTTCTTCCTCCCTCTTCTTCCTCTTTCTCGAGCAAAGTCCTGTTCTTTCAGGCAGCGAGTGACGCTGGATGTGGTCGCTTGATGGGAAAGATGTCAAAAGCGTCGAGCCTGCCACATCGCGGCCATGGCGGAGGACCTGTAGCCCCTCCTCCGGAGGAGGAAGATGATGGGCTCGGCCAGCTCACGTCTACAGCTCTCTCTCTCTGTCTGTCTGTCTCTGTGATCCATTGAGAGAAAGGTGGAGCTTTCGGGTTGGGGAAAACGATAGTGGGAGCTGCTTTTGAGAAGGGGGGGAGGGAGGGAAAAGGGGGAGGGCTGCACCTTTCCAGCTCTCCCTCTCTAAGAGTAGTAGGTCATACGGAGGAATGATGCTCCCGATAGGGGAAGGGGGAGGGGGAGGGGGAGGGGGAGAGCCGAGGGGATGGATGACTGCACCGGCGAGGAGCTCCTGGCTCCAATCGGAGCCGACAAGAGAGAGGATTGCACCGTCGAGTAGAGACAGACGGAGCACGAAGGATCTTCCCCTCTGAGATTCGTGGCCCCGCTCTACTCTACCCCCAGTGTGGGTAAATAGATAGCTAGAGAGAGATGTCGATAGCATTATTCCCTCGCACCAAACTCCTTTCTCTCTCTCTCTATCTCTCGCTGTCTCTCTCGCCCACATTCTCCTGGCTCCTTCCCTCCGGCAAAGAGAATGAGCAAGAGGAAGTTTCCTCCGCGCTCTCTCTCTCTCTCTCTATACTTGGGGAGTAATACGGGAGGGATACTGTAGAGAGAGAAAGGCCAAAGGGCACAATGGCCGAGGAAATATGGCTTGTACTAATATTCACAATATGAACAGCAAATGAATGATTCACTGATCAAGACGAAAGAATCCACCCAGTTATTGGAGGAGCAAGACGACGACGAGGCAAGGAAGAAGGAGAAGAAGAAGATCAGTCACCGGAATCCCCGCCAGCCCTCCGGCAGCCGCCACCGGCTGTGCCAGTACACGGACACCCTCGACCACAGCGGGAACCCGAAGCTGTACTCGAGCGGCTCATCGGCGGCGCCGCCAACTCCCACCGGCAGCCACACGTACCTCGAGTCCCTCAGATCGGAGGGGTTCCACCGGTCAGCCATGAAGATGAACCACCCGGGCAATCCCCGGAGCGGCACCACGAAGCTCCCCTGCGAGAAAAAAGTCGTCGCCCTGAAGATCTTGTTGCCGCCGGCACATGGGTTCCCCATCGTCTCCCACGGGCCCATCATCGTCTCCGCCGCGTGCACCATCGCCGTGTTCGGCGCCCAGCCGGAGCAGCCGGAGGTGATCATGTAGTAGGTTCCCCGGTGCTTGAACACTGCCGGCGCCTCCCGCCGTTGACCGATGAGAATCCGGCGCATGTCGCCAGTGACGTCGAGGTAGTCGCCGGTGAGGGGCCCGACGTGGAGCTCGCTGTTGTCGTCGGAGGAGTAGATGAGGTAGGCGGTGCCGTCGTCGTCCTTGAAGACGGTCATGTCGCGACTCTCGCAGTCGTGGGGACGCTTGCTGTAGAGGTACTCGAAGGGCCCCGTGGGGGAGACGCTGACCGCCACGCCGACGGCGGCCTTGGTGTAGTTGGCGTCGTCGACGTGCATCCACATCACGTACTTCCCCGTTCGGTCATTGAAGATGACCTTGGGCCTCTCGAGGACGTTCCCTTTGTGGAGGTCGTGGGTGGTGTTTGTTTCTTCCCCGGAGAGGACGATCCCCTCGTTCGTCCAGGTCCACAGGTCCTTGGAGGAGTAGCAGTTGACCCCGATGATGTCAACCTGGTTGAGGAGGGGAGGAAGAAAAAAACGAAGTCAACGTCCGGGGTCTCGAGAGGACCTTTTTTTTTTTCAAGGATGGAGTCAACGCATCATAGTTAGTTCATGCAGCCGATGAAGAATAATATTTAGTAGAAAAATCAAGCACAACTCAATCAAAATATTCGGAGTCAAACCCCAAAAAAAGTGGCCCAAAGGCTACTCCATAGTCTGGTCACCCAAGTTGACTTCTTTTTCTCATATATATGTATATATTCCTGAATATCATATCCATTCAGATAAATATCGACCCAAATACCTACTAATTGATAAATCTGACGATAAGTCTAATAAATGCGATGTAGTTTGACCAGAATATAGTCAGCCTATAGTATCTGACACAGTAGAACGCCATATCCAATGAAAGTAAATAATGACCCATATGATTACGAGATTAAACCTCGAAGTCCCCACCATTTCTAGGGCTCCTTGAGCAATGCCCTTGACAATTTTGCTAGAACTAACAAACCCCATGTCCATCCTGCAACCTGGTTCGTCTGGAATCAATTAATTATGAACCAAATGCAGCCATCCAAATCCAGCTGGTAATCTTAAATTGACTGCTCCCAACTATCTAGTCCAGTAATCTTCAAGCTCTTTTGCATCATCTTTGCAAAAATGCTTGATCCATAGTGTGACAAGATCCAATCCTACAACTTCCTGAGCACTGCACCCAGAATGGGATATTCAAACAAATTGGTTGTTTTTCTCCTCTGCCATTTTTCGAATGGGTAGCCTGACAGATTGTGTTGTTGGTCTCCTCTTTCGGTCAAAGAAATAGATAAATTCATCTTGTGTGCTTTTTTCATTCTGTTTTAAATTATTTGTCATGGAACAAGCTAGAAAGAACCCTGAGACATGAAGATATTCAGTGACAAAGACTCAGATTCTGATTTCATTCATATTTGTAGTCAAATATTTGATTCCAATGATGAATTCTGACATCAGCATCTTATATCACCACATGTAAAATTATTATTAAATTTATATGCCAATCTGATGTGAATAAATCTTCATAAAATATTCAGCATCACACAAAGTAACAGTATGACAACACTACCACCGAGCATTTTCCAAGCTTTTATAGATGCTTTGATAGGCAGGCACCCCGTTTGATTGAATGTTCATTGAAGAGAAATCCACAAGATATATTTATACACATACATGTCATTTGCCGATATGTTCGTAGATCAATTATTGATTATCAAAATTTAACATAATCCACAATAAAAATAACATTTCTTTGGTTTATTTCCCATCTCTAATCAAAGTAGACAGAGAAACAATACCCAAAAGTGGAAGCAAACAATGAAAAGAGGCACATGAGGCACATTTTAATGGGCAATTTTTTTGGTAAAAGAACTATCAAAAGTAAACAAAGTGGGACAATTCATGACGGATATCAGAAATAAAACTGACCCGTGCAGATGCTTTTCTATGTGCTTGGTAGGTTGGGCCATCTTTGTTTTCTCCATACCAGTAGTAAGTACCTGTACTTTCAACGTACAGTAGCCCACCTCCATGGGCTTGAATTGGATTCCCTTCGGTGTCTAACCATTGCCTTCCGGGATAGAAATGCATACTATCATTCCCTTCCTTTGATGGGTCTACTGCTGTTCTCCTGTGAGGGAAGAAGAAGCTCCGCAACTCTGAGGAGTCATCCAAGAATTCATCAATTACAGTGGGTGGCTTCCTTGGCCCCCTCCTCTTAATAGCACGCGGAGATCTCCTGCTTCTGGGAGGGGGCAACTGAAAGCTCTCCTCCTCAGTCTGTCCGAGTTCTCTGGTGGCAGAAATTTGTCTTAACCGGGCTTGGCTCTTCTCAACGTCAGTTCGATGGGATACCATGTAGAAATGGATGATCATGATGCATCCCACCATGCTACAGACCATGATAGGTAAAGGGGACCTCATAGTTGCACAACAGCGCAAAGCAAATGATTTACGATGTCTGTTCTTGATCTTCATTCTCTTCCTGCTTTTATCCCCAAATCAAAGGAGAAGTCCACATAATGCAACCTGTAAACACCCAATACTAATCCAATTAATAATTTCTTGAATTACCAGATCTAAAATCTGTAATCATATAGAATTTCATAGTTTATGAATCAAAATTAATTTCAGAAGGTATTAAAATAACACAAATAATAAGGATAAGAGCAAAAGATCATATTTAATTTTACGTTGAGGTGAGATTGAGTACCAGTGCCACATCATTCTGATGCACAATGCATGAAGAAATAGCATAATCTTTATAAGCTTCTATGAATCTGCCTTTGTAGACAGCTGGTCAAAGAAATTAACTTGGCACCAAGTTCGTGCTCGTCAAGCTCAGATCTATCTGGTTTGTAAGATGTAGGCATGAGGAAAGTTTTAAAAAAAAAACAGAGTGACATGGCTACCCTTCTCCATGCATGAAACGATATCATCTCAGCATAAAATTGGAAGTGATTGATGAGGCAAAATGATTGAATTTGCCCTCGAAGATCAAAAGAAATAAGATAGTCAAATGCTCTAACCACGACGCAACATTAATGCCATCCAAAAGTCTGGCCACAAAGTTTGTTCCCCTTGATAGAAACCCCCTCAACAAAATTATCTCCATCAGCAAAAAAATTCAGCCAAAACCCATCTTGGACATCCAGCCAACAAGAATTAACCCAATCAAGATCAAACCTAGAAGAACACCTCCAAGCTCAAGATCTAAGAGACAACAATCTAAGAGACAAGAGACTGCTTCCAAGCTCAAGATCAAACCTAGTCATCAAATAACCATCACTAGACGTGGCCGCTCCTGCTCCTTGATGATCGACTTCTACAAGCACACATACCAAACTATTCACTCCCCTCATTCCGGAACTTTCAGAAACTCCACAGCCAACCTCTCCCCATCAGCCCCCTCTTTTCCCCCTCGCACAGACTAATCACCCACCTCTGAACTTCTACTCCTTAATATCTCCTCCTGATCTCCCTCCTCTCGCTGCCCCAATCCCACCACTGCCGCCACCCATCACTCTCATCTGCCTCAACATGGCAAAAACAATCCGTCACAAACTTCAAACTTCTCTTGTGACACGAAGCATCGTCACTGGTTATCTTAACTATCCTTCAAGATTCTCACAAATCAGTCCCTCGTCCCACAGTGAAATGTGGACCATGTTGTCTTTTATTGATTCTTTTTCAAATAAAACCTTTATATTCTTAAGTTCACATAACATGTAAAAATTAGATATTTAGAATAAAAGGTCACAGCTAAATGAGCACTTTCATGTCTCTCTTACTTCAATATTACTTCGATACTTCAATATAAGTTCATTAAGAGACAATTTATCTCTTTAGTAATATAGCTCACTTCAAGCTGATTAAATTGTGCAAGAAGAAAAATTAAAACTAAGTGCACGAACAAATCTTTCAAAATCTAATCTTGGCCTTTAATTTTGATGCAAGATGAGACATTTCAGAAATATATTATTTTATATTTCCCTTACTTTTATAACTGAATAAGATAAAAAAAAATTTAAGATCCTACTCGTTTTGATCTTATCATTCTAAACAAATCTTTTTTAAAATTTGTTAAGAAAAACCTTTATTGTAGTGACTTCTTCAGACAAAATGCCCCTAAAGGCTTCTAAAATAACATGCTTCATGATCATGAGACTCATGTGATTAAATCGATCTCACTTTTTTGTATTTTCCTTATCATCCTGTGAATTGATCTACCTTTAATACAAGTCCAGATCTATGACACCAAGAACTATTATAACATTATCCTTTTATATTTTAAAGTCAGTGCCATTAAACATAAGAATAGAGTTAATGCTAATAGAAATATTAAAAATAGAATTCATAACTATGCAAAAGAAACATAAAATTCACATAAGTAATTGAATTTTGAAATAATGGTACTTCTCATCACAAGATATTGAGTGCAACATTAATAATTTACCTTTGGACAATAATATCAACTGCAAGTGATATCTTAGTGTGATAAATAAATATTAACAATAAATTTATATCAAACAATGTCTTTATTTAGACTGACTTATTATTCACATAAAAATACTAAATAATTATCACATATTTATTATCACAAGTATGTGTAATTTAATACAATAGTAAAGTTTCTTTTGGGTCAATTAATATTCTCGTGAATCACATATACATCATCTTATACTTTATAGAAATTAATCTCCACAAGATGTCCTACTGTGGTAGAATGTTACTTCAATCAATAATTCTAAAATATCAAACATATACTAAAATTTGAAGCATGAAAGCCTACCCGACGTGCACCAAGTCGGCGCACTGTTTATCTCATCCTCTACCGCTCCCGACTAACCACTCGCAGCCCAAACCGCCTCCCGATGAATGCCCAATCAAAACGACCCGAAATCCAATGGGCGTTTTGCCTCCTTAGGCCCGAATGATCGGCCAGAAACGGCCGCCCTTACCCCTGGCCCAATCGGTCTGCCGTAACGGCCCATTCGAAACGGGGAACAGGGCGTACGCCCGTTCGCCTGGAAATCGTCCTTCGGCGAGGGGAAGAGGGGAAAGAGGGAAGCGGCCTGCGGAATCCGCTGCGGCCCATCGTCCTCCGGCGCCGTCTTCTGGCACCGCTCCTCCGCCGCCGTCCGGTACCTCCTCTATGCCTTCCAGATCCCCTTCCGGCGTCCAGAACCATTTCTAGATCCGGAGCTGCCGTTCGCCACTCTCCGGCCTTCCGTCCGACGACAGAAAGGGAGAAAGCGGAAAAAGGTGAGTTCCTCCTGCAGCCCCACGATTTCCAAAAGGAAATCTTCCCTCAAGGAAAGGAGAGAGAAAGAGGTGTGCGAAATTCACCACTCCTCCTCCCCACCCTGCACGGCCCACAAATCCCTCCCTAGTAAGCGCAGAACCTAATGGCTTGGCACAAGGGACGCCTGTGCGATCCATAAGCCATTTGGATGTCTGAACCCACCTCAATTCTGATGGTGGTGTTCATCCAGCTCCGAATCAATTCATCCTCACATTCATACATAAAAAATTATGCCAAGATAAATATAAAACATGTCATTCTCCAACTGAAGGATATGGTATTGAGTGAATTCAGAATGATGAATTGAAATGAGAATGAATGAAAAATCAAACCTGAATCTATGAAAGCTCAAGAATGGGGTGTGGTCTTTTGGATCAACACGAAGGAGTCGTCCAATGACTTACTCACAGAGAGATGAGATGCTCCAAGTATTCTAGATGTGTGATCTGACCATGACCCCCCTATATATAGACAAGTGATCTGACCAAGTGTCATTTATCAATTTAGTCCATTATAAAGTTGTAATAAAACCTTATATTTATACATATTTATCTTTATACCTATAGAATGTCGTAATTTTCAAATACTTAAACTTTAATAAATCATTCTAATTGAGATTAACTAAATGATAACCTCATAATATACAATACATATATATTTTTCTATATTGATATTAAATATAATTATTATTATTTTTACGTTGTGGCAATTTTCCCAAATTCTCCATCTATTGTAATTCATCTTGCCTGGAAAATGATTTGTACAATTATTATTTTTCTTAATGCAACCTCCTTTATGTCATCTGCATGCGAGCACCTTTGGAGGTTTCTTATTCTGAATGATGATTGCGTTACTCTCTAGCTCTCCTATTTTTGTTCTTGAACGGGTGAACTGTTGCATTATGCGAGCACCTGTTCTTAATAGCTCTACGTTTTTTTTCAATGATACATTTCATCTTCTTTCACGGTTGATTTCTTGTTATCTTCGGGGATAGTCACACGCTCTGAGTTCTGTGTTATTCATGGCAATTCTTTATCCTTGAGAAGGAATTATTCTTTCCTCAATCACTGATCTAATCAATTTAATGTGTTTTTAGATTTTTTTTGAATCCATTTGCTAGGTTCTGGCTCTCTCGATCTATTGCACTCTTATGCAAAGTCTATGGTTTTGTTCATTTGATTAAATATTGATTTTGAGCTTCACTTATGAATCTTACTCTTTTTTTTAAGTTGCACGCATGGTATGCTATTTTTATGTTTAGTTTGGTAGTTGTGTCTCTTTCTGGAAGTGCCCTGATTATGCTTTTTTTTTTTTCTGAGAATCTGCTTGCTTGGTAAATATTCTGAGAGTCTCGCAGGTATCCAGTTTGATTTCCTTCTATCTGGCACTTCAATTTCCCAGTATCTTGTCACTATCATTGGTTTGGTGAATTGGGCCCATTTACTCGTTTGAGGACCGGAGGATTTTATACACCAGAAGAAAAACATCTTTCATGGCAGAGAAGTTCCCAGTTTCCTGTTTTTTGGCTGACATGGATAATCCTCTCAACTCTGTTCTGTTGACTAAAATTCCCTGACACGCTCGCCTTCTCTTTAGAAGTGGAAATTATACTTTATTGGTGCGTGGCTTATCTTGAAGGCAGACATCGATCATTGGCGTTGGAATTCCCATGGTTGTAGACCAGATAATCTATTCTGACCATCAGACTATCAAACTGATGACAGGGCTTCTGACTTGTGAATGATCCTCTCCAGGATGAACTTTCTGGTTCAGAAACCTTGTGCTCCTTAATATATCTCCTATATCACGCTTGAATACCTGTTGAGTCAGAGGGGGGGTTTCGTGGTTTAGTTGTTGTGATCGTGATTGTTAAACTGGATTCATCTCCCTGTGTTCGTCTCATAAGCCAAAGTCTCATATTTCATATTATTAATTGTGTTTTTCCTTTTACGTCGTCATTTAATGCATCTCTCCCTCTCTAACAGTCTGGGGTATAGTCTGGGCAATCTCCATAATGGTAAAATAAGTCATATCCCACAGATTTATTTTGATCCATATTTTCCGTTAATAAAATTGCCGGTTTTGGAATCATATGGTGCCTCAAATATCATCTTCTGGAAGTAATGGTAGACTGTGTATATTTGACAGTGCAGGTTCTGACTAATGGAATTGA